ACTAGCTGAAAATCCTGAATTTCATAAAAGATCTAAACATATTGAAATAATATATCATTTCAATAGACAGGCTATTCAAGAGGGAAAAGTAGAACTTATCTACATCCCTAGAAAATACCAGCTAGCTGATTTCCTCACTAAAAATGAGAATAATCTGCTACATAAGACATTTATGAAAATGGCTAGCCTGGGACCTAGTGAGGATATAAGATAATAAGGTTTTATCCCCCATGAGGGTTTTATCCTTATAGATCAGCCATATCAAAAGAATTGCCATTCATTCTAGGCTGATATAACTAGCATATTTTTACCTGATTAGAGGTTTTTAATGCTAGAAACTAGCATATTAGCTAGGGAAAGAAACTAGTGCCTTTTTCCCTTTTATAAAGAAAGGTTTTTGCACTAGGAAAATGAATATTTAATCTAAACATTCCCATGTTTAGCTTAAGGGGGGGTGTTGGTGAAAACCATGCTATAGTTGATTGTTGACCATATCCATGGGTTGATCCGCTATGGTTGATCGTTGATCATATCTATGGTTCTAACCTTATGGTCATGGATCATCATTGATCATCATCGATTTCAACCATTAGCAAATGGTGATCTAATCTATGAGATCACCCAGCTATGAGATCATTCAATATTCGAATGGCCTATGCTAGAAGGAATCATCTATAAATACACCCTTAAAATCACCCTATAGCTAGTCATAATTAATTAAGGAATTAAGACATTAAGCTAAGATATCCTTAGCTATTTTTCCTTCTACTATTCTATTCTATTCTACTACCATTCCTCCTATTCTTCCTTTATACCTAGGCAAGCCATCTATTCCCCTCTATATTCATGAAATTTCCTTTGTCATTTATATACTATTTAGTATATACTGTTCATTTTTATTCACAAGTTAAAACCCTAACAGAACTCTAGTACAGTTCCCGACCCTTGTGGGATAGGCCTAGTTAGGTACAGAAAGCTATTATATATTCTTATCCTTTCTTAATATAGATATTATTAAATGCTAAGATGATATTAATCTTTATAAAATATTTCATCCCTTTTAGGTTATTCAGGGTTTCCTTTATCAGAGACAGTGGATATTAATCCTTAATAGTTATAATATTTAGGGCCTGGTAATTAACATAGATTTATATACCTCCACCTAGCTTTTTAATAAATAAGATAGGCAACATAGTAGGTAAAGAACTAGGACAGATAAAGCCCTTCCTTAGATTTTCTTTAATCCATTCCTTTAGGATCTTTAATTCTTCTCAGGACATGGTGTACAGGGGGCTAAACAGGAGGGTCTTTCCCTTAAATAACTTAATATCATAATTATAGGGGTGGTGTAGTGGCAGGCACTCAGCCTCCTTAGGGGAGAAAATATTAGCATAGTCCTTAAATTCTTCAGGTAGTAGGTTAGTGGGGTCCTCCTTTTAAGCTTCCTTATTCTTTAGGGCAGCTTCAAGATCTTCTAGGGTTATTATAAATATCTAAGCATTTCTTCAGGCATAAGCTAAACAGGCTGCTAAGGAGATAAAGGCTATATCTCTCTTCTCTAGTCCCTTTAGTCTCAGGGGCAGGTATTTAGGCTAGGTTTTTAGGGGAATGTCATGCAGGGCTTATATCTTAGTTAGCTTCTGGGGGGTATTGCAGTATTTCTGGCAGTAGTTACTATTAAATATAATACTATGGGCTGTGAATTATATCAGGGGGTTGTGTACCTTTATCTAAGGTATTCCCAGCATAATAGGGTAGTGTGCTAACTAGATAATATAGAACCTCACATCTTTCTTGTAGTGGTCCTTAATTCTCATATCCATCTGGACATAGTAGGTTATCTTCCTATTCTCTGGTTCTCTTCCATTAAATGTATGCAGGGTTATCAGGTCTTCCAGGGGGATAGGCTCTAGCTTCTAGTCTTCAGCCCATCCTTTATTAATAAATCCTCATCCTTTAGCTCTAGTGTCCAATAGGGCATAAGTTAGTAACTTCATCTTCTTCTCCTCCTTCTCTAAGGTCACGGGTAGTATCATAGCCTTTAATTATTATATTTATTCCTCAAGGTCTAGTCTATAAATAGTGGTGGTAGATATTTAAATAATGCGTAGATTCTGAGCCTGGTTATAGCTTACTCTAGGCTCACTCCTTTTACTAAGGAGGTCTGGCTTGGAGATGGGCTTCTAGATTCTGGAATCTATCCTCTCTGGGGACTCTCTGGGCGTGGTTCATAAGAGGCCATGATTTAAACCCTTTAGTGGGTATTAGGATAGGGGCAGTCCCTAATCTGGTGTTCCAGGGAACCACAGCGGAAGCAGGCACCTGTCTTACAGCAGGAGGGGCTATATCCCCTTCTCATTGGGTGTTGGGTAGTGCCTAGGTCCATGGGGTCATATTATTACACTGACATATGCTCATTCCTCTGAACAGTAGGGCGCTAGGGTTGCTTAGTAGACTTAGCAGCGACAGGGCCAGGGCTCTGGGGTGACTGGGGGCGTTAGGCAGGTCTGGCAGTAACAGCATAGGTTTTAATAACAGGAGGCTAGTTTATAGTGTACTAGTGGTGGTAGTTCTCAAGCTCCTGCAGGAATCTGGCAAACTAGTGATACTCCTAGCTTAGAGGCTGGTTGTGCATAAGCATGCTTTAGAGTTCATAACTAATAGCCTATTTAAGCAGGATAGACAGGGTCTCTTCAGGCATCTTGCCTTCCAGGGCCAGGCATTAGAATTTAGCAAAGAAGGTGCTAAACTCTTTATTAGTCTGATACAGGCTGAATAGCTCATTACAGGCATTATTTACATGGTTAGGGTCACCAAAGGCATGCTCCAGGATGTCTAGGATGTCTTAGTAGTTATTAAGGGTGCAAATTCCCTTCCTAATATAAGGAAGAATCTGAGTGTACAGCATGCCCTTCAGGCAGTTATTTACATAAGCTATCTAGCTCTGCAGCATTGGGAAGCAGTTAAGGTTAATGTTTATTTTCTCTTGAATCTAGGCTATGAAGCGCTAAAGGTCCTTTTAGTTGCCTTTAAACTTATCAGGGTTGGGGAGTTGTTCTGATAATTCAGCAGCTTTAGAAGATGGGGTAGTAATTAATACAGGCACTCCTACTAGAGTAACTACAGGCTTCTTAGCAACAGGCTTATGCACAGGCATAGATACAGGTGTATTCACAGTAGGGGTAGCTAAGTGATGGGCCTGGTCCCTTTCTATAGCAGCCTTTATATACTGCTATTCTTTCTTATGTAGTTGCTCCTTCTGGTACTGCTAAACAGCTCTTAGTTTAGTAATTTCTTATTCACACCTCTACTCTAAGGTAGTGAATTTGTGCTAGAGTTCTAGGCATCAGGCCTTAGATTATTCAGCTCATTAGTTTGCTTCATTAATGGTTGATTTAGCTTTCTGGATGTACTTATATGCTAGGCGGCAGTATTCATACTATTCAGTGCCATAGCTAGCAATGTGCTTGGAGAACTCTTTAGGGGCACCCAGCAGGAATGAGGGCAGAGGGGCAGGCATTCTGACAGTGTCAACTCTGAGGGAGGAGCTACATAATGTCAAGATGCAGGCTCGCAGGCAGGCAAGGATGGGTTAAAGAGGTAGTTGACACTCAGGCTAGCCTCACTAATCTTTATCTAACAGTCCCAGGCTACAGGTAGACTGGTACGGGTAAGCTCTATAGATAGGATGTAGCTTGAAGAGCTTCAAACAGGTTACAGAATTATGTGGTGAAGATATTCCCAAGGTCATGTGATTCCTCCTCAGCAATGCCAACTCCTATTCACAGCAGCACCGTGACACTAAGATGCTTAGTTCTCTTACCCTCTTGCTCCTGAAAAAAGAGTCATTAAGGGCCTTAGTCTTATGGTTAGTATACCTTAATCTATGGAGAAGACTAAGCTAACTTTAAGCAGATTAGCTGTGGATAATTTATTATCTTTATTAGCACTTCTGGTTATGGAAAGAGTACTATAGTGTCCCTCCTTAAATACTTCTATGATCCTACAAGTGGCACCATCAAAATTAATAGCTTAGCTCCTCTCACTGAGATTAGTCCCTGTCTTTATCACAACAGAATCACTCTTGTTTAATAAGAGCCCACTCTCTGCCCTAATAGTATCCATGAGAACATTACTATGGGACTTAATGTTAGTCCTAAGGAATAAGCCCTTGTTAGAGATAATATACTAGAAGCAGCTTGCTGTGCTGCTAATATCTAGGATTTTATGAGCTCTCTTCCTGAAGGTCTTAACACTCTTTATAGCCAGGGAGGTAGCTAGCTTTCTAGTGGATAAAGACAGAGGATCACCATCGCGCGTGCTCTTATCTATAACCCTAGTATCATCTTGCTGGATGAGGTGACTTCAGCTCTTGATACTAAGTCTAAGAGAGTTATGCAGAAAGCCTTGATGAATACTGCTGCTAGTGGAGATTATATCACTATAGTTATTACCCATTGACTTTCCACTATTAGAGATGCTGATAAGATCTGCGTCTTCTACCAGGGTAGAATTGTTGAGGCTGGTACGCATGATAAGCTTATTAGGCAGAATGGTATATATAAGTAGATGTGTGATGCTCAGAGCCTTGACAGGAGTAGCTTAGCTTAAGTCCCTACTGTGGGCTCTGGAGCATAATATTTGAAGATGGTTTAGAGATAGACGCGATGTAAGGGGTATTTTTCTTAAATGAATAGACTTATAATTGTGACAGAGGGATTCAGTTAGATACTGTTTCCTTCTGATTTGTTTCATTGCCACTGACCTTCTCTTTATTTTAATTACCCCATGCGGCAATACGACGCATAATCTAAGCATGATTGATGGAATGAATTCTTTATTGCTGGTAAATAACTCTCTAACTGTAAGATTAGTTAATATATGACTGAAACATTTGCCTTGACACCCTCGGAATCAATACCCAGGACTAGTATAAACCTCTGACCCTGGTTGAGAGGTCATTGATATGGTTAACTCCCTTGGTCACTTCAATATGAGCCTTAAACCAAAAGTGTAGCGTACCAACAAGCTGTGCTGTCCTTGAAAGTCTGGTTGACATGGTCAAAGCTGTTAGGTGCATAATTAAGCAATGCGCCCTCTTGAGCCCAGCCAGGAGAGTCTTGCAAGGTCTGCAAAATGACACTATCCACATACACAGGCTTTCCATGAGCGTGGCGGTGGTGGCAAGGGACCCATCGTTCTGGTTCGGCTTGTCCAATCCTCTCCTCAGAACTCATATTGTCAGCAGTGGCGTGGGCTTTGAGGTTTGGCGGCAGGCTGGAATCGGGGCTGATGTAAATTCTTGGTATAGTACGGAGTAAGGGACGACTTGAACTGAACCAGGGGGAAAACCTTGTTGGCCTTGGCGACGGAGTCGGGTCGGACTCAGAGCGCAAGCATTCCCGCAAATCCCAGTCTCCGCCCGGCTGGTATCCACAGTTCAGTACATACCAGTACACTACGTGCACACCAGATGTGATTCGCCTTGGCTCGGAGGCCGGTGCTCGCGGGGTCCGTGACCGAGCGACGGCCCGTGTCCATCCAGTGAGGTGAGTCATCAGGTCAGCCCATTGACGGCGAGAGCCATTCCGACAACAAAGCAAAGCAAAGCAAAGCAAAGCACTGTGGTAGTTGTGTCAAGCTCAAGCTAGCCCGAAGCCTCAGTCTTGCTGTACTGTCACAAAAACACCTATTGGTCAGCTAAGTGCTGCAACCGTTCGTCACTGGCTGTGGTCTACGTCATCGTTGGACTGACTCACTCTGCTCACGATTTATGCTGAGCAAAAAATCTGCTCCCCGCTATACTACTTCCAGTGCCGTTTCCTATCACTATACTACCCTTTCCCCTCCATTCTCTGGGGCCGAATTCACTCTTTCCGAACCCCGAGGTCTTCGTCGTTGCATAGCATAGCAGGAAGCCCCCCAATTTTGCGATATCTGCTGCGACACCTGCGCCGCCACAACATGGATGAGGGCGGTCAGCTCGAGACCAGCGGACTTGGTGGTAATGGCCCTGGATGGTCGCCAGTAACCCCCAATGCAAATCGCCGAGCTGTGAGTACCTCCGTCTCTCGCGTTTCAGCCTCCTGACACAGACGTTAACTTCTGTCATAGTGCGATGCTTGTCGTACTCGCAAGGTATGCATGTGAGCATGAATGCGGAAGACCCACACGTACCCTTGAGTCCTTTCGCATGATAAATTGCAGAGCCTCAAGCTTACGTACCTATGTCTAGGTTCGCTGCGATAGAGAGTCGCCTTGCTCCCACTGCATCAGCGCCAAAGTTGTTTGTATCTACACTCCTGTCCAACCCCCAAAGAAGCGCACGCGCATTCTCCTCACTCCCCAATAGTACGCGTACCCTGGGCTCCATCCACCTGTATCCTTTCTCATGACATCCTCTCTTTCGACTTGCACATTGTCTGACGTATCAACTCCCTGCCTCGTAGTGAACGAAAGATAGACCTCATCGACAGCAGGCTCGAAAAGGCAATCAGGCTTTTGGAAAAGCTCCAAGCGAGCGAGTTGTCCGACGGCAGCTCTCGGCCACCCGGAAATTCACAAATCTCTACCCAGACACCCCTCTCTGTCTCAACGCCAGCCAGCGACTCAACCCAAACGAAATGGGCTCATGGGCAGGTGGTCGAGGGAGACTCCTCTTTAGCCGCCCACTCTGCCTTTGCCAACGAGTTCTTACAGAAAGTAGTCGCCACCAATTCCCTTCAAGCTTCCAGCCCAGAATTATGTGACACTCTTGATGAGCTGTCTTCTATCCTAACGCAGGGAGATGGTGCAGGTGATGAGCTAGCGTACCCGCATGCCAGGCCCATTCAGCGGGCCAATCTCCCAGGGTATGAGATGCCTCCCCTAAAGAAGGCCATTGCTTTGATTCGTATGGCAAAAGGTGCCCCCCCCCCAACCTCCCCCTTCCCCCTTTCTGGCACAAATTCATATTCATATGGCCACTCAAGCTAACGCTGTGGTTGATGCTTTAGCCAAACAGCTCGTGGGGAGCGGCTGGATCTATGAGTTCCTTCCATTCCAACGATTCACAGACATGTGTCTTGACGTCTACTTCAATGACAATCACTCTGAAGCTAACTTTATCACTGTCAACGCTGGCCTTTACTCGCTATTCTGGGACTACAGTTTCCAGGTCGTCCCACAGGAAAAGGACGAATGCATCACCCATGCTCACTTGTGTCGCGACAACCTTGAGACTGTTTTATCAAACCTGCCATTGCATTTATCTGCGACTTCTGACACGATTCTTGCTCTCCTTTTTGGCGTATGTAGCCTGTTTAATAATCAGAAATGCTTGTGCTGACCGCTTTCGAGGCTTTCTATGCTATCGAGCTCTCAAAGCCTTCTCTTTCATGGACCTTGTCAGCAAAAGGATCAGAACTCTGCCAGACCTTGGGCTATCACAGGCTTGCGTCGGTGAAAAATGACAAACAGGAAGATTTCCAATACAAACAGTTTCTGTTTTGGAGCATCTACTTCATTGACAAGAGCCTGTCTCTGCGGCTGGGGCGACCCTCGACAATACCTGACTGGGATATCACGGTACCACGGCCATCAACCAATGATTCTCATTCTGAGCCGGTTTTAGCATACTTTGTACTATCGATCGAGACGGCGCGATGTCAGGGCAATATTTACGAGATGCTGTATAGCCCCAATTCCATGACACAGCCCGACCAGGTAAAGCAGTCTCGGGTCGAGGCTTTGGTGTCTGATCTACGCAACTTGGAGGCGAAGACTTGGGAAACCAATGTAGGTCAACGGCAACAAGCAAGTAGGTGAACAAGTTACTAACATTTACCTAAGACGAAATGGTTTGAAGAAGCAAAGGAGCAGTCTGGGGAGGATTTGATCAACTTCTTCTACATTTCAGAAAATGTCCTCCGTCTGTCCCTCCTAACCCTTGTTCATCGAGCCGCTCCACCCCTGCCTGGCTCTGTCACAACATTCAACTACAGCTGTATTGCCGCCGCGAGAGCCACCTTGGAGAAACACGAAGAATGCATAGCACTCATGCACAAGAGCGCAACATCCTACCTCGCGACTTACATGCATTGGTGAGCATCTGTCTTCATATCTCTATCTCGCGCAGTGCTGATGTGCTTAGGACACTTCTATTCGCCCCCTTTATTCCATTCATCGTCATATTCTGTCATGTTATCGAAACCCAAGATGAGGCGGATCTAGCCCGCCTCCAAGCCTTCGTTACTTCTATTCAGTCTGCCTCTTCTATTTCTGGCCCCGCCGCCAAACTGCACCGCCTGTTTCAGGTTCTCTGCAGAATTGCTATGGGTTATGTGAAGTTCCGTTTTTCGGCAACGCCATTGGACGGGTGGCAGGACAGCTCAAAGATAGACACTTATCTGGACGCGCTAGGATTCTCCTCCGCCAGTGCATGCATTCCTGGCCGACAGCATCACCTTATTCCTCAGCATGATAGTAGCAATAGGGAGGCGGAAACCAACGATGCAAGAACTAGTGCAGACGCGAAGAACGATGAACTTCGAGTTATGAATCCGATGATGTGGATGGCAAACAGCGCAGAGTTGGAGGAATGGCTTGAAAACAACGAGGTCATGACAGGGTCGATTTAGAAAACGGGTATCACAAGTTAGATGAAGTCCTAAGTGATATTTACAAGACTTTTGGGCCGCGCGCAAGCGCGGCCTTGAACGCGTATCTGACAAAAAGCAAAAAAAGTAAAAGACCCTTAGTAATAGCATGTATCCCTGGGAATAAGAGTCTTAATACTAAAATTCTTTTTATAATATTTTATAATATTTTATAATATTTATAACTACTAAAGGAAATAAAAAAATAAATATAATAATTATCACTGTCCTTGATGAAGGTCATACGCCATTCTGTAGCGTCCTTGTAGCGAGGGCAAAAAGGTGGGGTTAGGTAGGTGATGGTCTCTGGTCGCATTTCCTTTGTTGTGGTTGTTGGTTGTACGGGTTCTCTATTGCCATGACGGCAGCGGATGCGCGAGTTTTGGCAATAGAAGAAAATTTCCCACAATAAGTCTTCTTCTTTGTTTGGGTTCTAGTCGTTAACCTTTTCTCTATCCTTTCCTCTTCTCTGACTTAACTCTTCTTGTTTTTTTGATACAGAAGCTTTTTAGTAATTTAATCATGGCGCCTTGCACACGTGCAACTACTGTTTTGGTATGGAACCCGAAGGTTGTTTGGTGTCTTCACTACTTCTGTACCAGTGTTAAGAACTTTGACCCCTCTAATGGTGCGGCCTTTAAGATTGACTGCCACCTTGATGCTAAAGGTCTATCTTGTGTCGTTAGTGTTCCACGAGGAATATGCTATGTTTGAGTATATGTTTTGTTGACCTTCTCCTCTTTCTTGGTCATCACTAACAATCTGGATAGACCGCAGTGGGTATGCATGGTAATGCTGCTAATCTATCCGCGGTTCTGGTGTGGTACACCAGCTTTTAGAACAAAGGCGATGACGGGCAGGATCTCTAGGCCAAGAAGATTATTAAGGGGATTAACAATGCGATGGAGACCTTGTGTCAGGCCTTCGAGAACGTCGAGACAGCCCACCGTAAGGCTTATGGTCTGACAGGAAACAAAAAAAGGATCAAGCGGTAGGCTTTCTAAGCTATAAAGAATTCATGAGTAATGTGTTAATGTTTTGTTATGTTTCGCAGCCTAAGAAAATCAAATCTGAATTATTCTGTGCAACTCGTCGTCGGGACCTCGCGCATATCTTGCCCCCCCCCTCGCGATGCGCTGTGAAGACTGGCGAGTCTATGACTCGCATAAGTTGCTCCGTTTGCTTCCTGGTGACGAAGGGTATGTTGAAGACCTAGTTGGTACCTGTTGCCTCTGATGGTCATCGTGAATAGTGTGCTCTATGCCAAGGATGTCGTGAATGCGCTATGGATCCGATGACCGTCGACGGGGATGGATATGAAATCTTCCGTTCGAGTTCCGGCCTTACCCCTACCAATAATTGAAGGCTGTGCCCTCATTCTAGTCTTGTAGGATGATACTACTCTCATTCATAGAATCAAGAAATACAGCAAGCTTTCAACGGTAGAGCGTTGCTGCAATATTCCTCAAATCTAAATCTAGTCTAAAGCTTGAGCCTCACACATCTTACTATACATGCCACCCGTGCCAATCAATTCGGAGTGTGATCCCATCTCCACAATCCGACCCTGGTGAAATACACATATCACGTCCGCATCCTTGATCGTACTCAACCGGTGTGCAACAGCAACCGTAATCCGATCTCCATCCCTCGCTGTAGCAAGCCCCGCTTGCACAACCCGCTCACTCTCGGTATCAAGTGCACTCGTAGCCTCATCCAGAAGAAGAATCTTTGGATCACGGATCAGCGCTCTCGCGATTGCAATACGCTGCCTTTGACCACCTGAAAGCTGTGATCCGCCAAACCCAACCAGCGTAGCCAAGCCATCGGGGAGAGACATGACAAACTCCCATGCATTAGCCGCTCGAAGGGCAGACTCTATTTGACTGTCTGCCACATCGAGATCAGCCCGGGAATCGCATCCGAGACCCAATGCGACGTTTTCGCGTATGGAGACTGGGAAGAGGTCTGGTTGCTGTTGCACGAGGGAGACAATCTTGCGATAGAGGCGTGGGCTGAGACTTGGTAGAGGTGAGGAATTGAGCGTTATCAAACCTGCGGATGGATCGTAGAACCTTTCCAAAAGGGCTATGATGGTTGATTTGCCACATCCCGATGAGCCGACGAGGGCTATAAATTGGCCTTTCTTAACCTGGGGGAGTTTAGTTTCCATTCGCGAGACCGGGAAGGGTAACATACGCTGAGATCAAGGCCTTTCAGAATAGGAATTTCGGGTCGACGAGGATAGGAGAACTTGACCTTGTCCAGATCAAGGGTATGCACTGCACCAGGGCCCTGTTCGCGACTTCCATCTCTCTCCTGCACTGTTTTCTGAAGATCATTCAGCCAGAAGAGATAGTTTGCGGCGTTGACACCATTCGTGATGCTACTAGAAAACTGGAATAGCTGAGATGCGCTCTGCGCGGAGAAGAACACCCCCAGAAAGGCGACAAAGAATGCGTAAAGGGTAATCTCACCAAACGACAACAGCCGACATCCATACCAGAAGCCAAGAGCCAGGAACCAGTATTCGGCAGATTGTGTAAAGGCAAAGCTCGCCATTATCGCAAACAGCGGACGCTTCAAGTCAGCAATCGCTTCATCTAGCTCTCTCGTGTATCTTTCCAACACACAATGCTCTATCGCAAGGGACGAAATCGTGCGAATGGAAGTAACGGCCTCTGACGCAATAGACGCGCTAACTGAATAGCGCTTGGAAGTATCCCGATCAAGCTTCGCGTCCAGCCTGATCTTCAGATACCCTGAACCGACCAACGAAGTAAGACCTGCACATGTAACGACCAGACCAAGTTTCCATGAGTAAACGAGTGCCAATACTGCACATGCGAGAACATTCAAGGCGGCGATCAATACGAGACCAATGTTATACCCCATCAGCTCGAGGATAGCCTGTGGGTTTGAATCCACGCGCGCAACCAGTGCACCAGTGCTATTCTCATCACGATCGAAGAATTCAATATCTTGGTGGAGGATGTCGTGGAGGCATTGTTTCCGGAATTTGTGACCTAGATGCTGGGCGACAGTATTGGTTGCGTAGCCGAGAATGAAGTAGGATATAAGACAGCCAGCAGCGAAAACGATAAAAATGGTTGCGAGGAAGTTGCCCCTGTGTTCCAATTCCATCATTGGCAGGGTGAAGATCTCAATCACACTAGAGAGGAGAACCGCTTGGCCCGGGAAGGTTGCTCCTATTTTTGTTATTAGAAAGGGAACGAATGGCACGCGATCACTTTCGTTCACTTACCACCAACTAGACATCCAGCGAATACCAAACAGTACACGTAGCGAATCTCGGAGGTCTCTCGGAGAAGACGATAGATGATAAAAATGATGTTCCGTTGCTTGTATTTGTCGTAATCGGCATAGTCATTCCGCGGCATGTTTCCATTGGGTTTGTCGACGGAGCTGTATGATGCTGGGACTGAGGGTTTATTCACGATATCCACTTTCTCGTCGTTGTCAGATCCGGGCTCAAACTCTGGTTCTGATTGGCTCGACACAGCCAAGTCTTGTGCTCTCACAAGTTGAGCGTATTTAGCGCCACGTGCAAGCAAAGAATCGTGTGTTCCCTGCTCAACAATGCAACCCTTTTCCATAACAATAATGCTATCGGCCTTTCGGATGGTCGCAAGCTTGTGTGCAATGACAATCGTAGTCCGACCTTCTGTAGCCTTATCCAGGGCCTTTTGAACAACACCTTCGGCATGCGGATCTAGAGCACTAGTAGCCTCATCCAGGAGAAGAACCTTAGGCTGAGAGACAATACTTCGAGCGATAGCAATTCGCTGCTTTTGACCACCTGACAAAAGGCCACCACGTTGGCCTATGTTAGTATCGTAACCATTCGGGAGGTCCATAATAAAGTCATGTGCAAAGGCCATGGTAGCAGCGTCTTGGATTCGTTCCATTTGCTGATCCATAGGGGCATGTTCCCACTTTGTGCCAACAAGTCCTTGCTTGATGTTGTCAAACACAGTACCCTGGAAGAGGACTGGCTCTTGCTGGACGAGACGGACATTTTTCCGGAGCCAGCTGAGATTCAACTCGTTGAGTGGATGGCCATCTAATTTGATGGTTCCTGACGCAGGGTTATACCAACGCTCGAGGAGGCCGACAATCGTACTCTTTCCTGAGCCAGATTGACCCTGTAAAGAATTCAGCTTCAAACACGGCCGCGACGACTTCATGATTAACTCACCACCAGAGCAGTGACCTTGCCAGCCTGGGCTCTCATGGAGAACTTGTCAAGGACCTTCACCTCAGGCCGAGTGGGGTACGCAAACGTAACATCGGTGAGCTCAATATCCCCTACAACCTCTGATGGCTGATGGCCGTTTGTATCATACGGATCAATTTCAGACTTACGATCCATCAAACTAAACAGCGTAGATGCCGCAGTGGTGGAGCGAGTGAAGTCGACCATGTAAGGGGTAAGCATGGTCAGCTGCGTAGCAGCGATGATGACCGACATGACAACACTGGACTGTTAACAAAAAGCCCTATCTATTTCTGATTAAATAAGGAAACTCACGTAAAGATACCCCCCGGTTCCACAATCTCTCCCCTAGACAACATGCGAATACCTTGCCAGAAGGCCAAACCGTAGCCTAAATAGACAATACAGTATTCGGCAGAGAAAAACGTGCCGAAAATGACTGACAGCTTGCTGCCAATCTTATGAGCACTAGATAGGTGCTCGTCAAATCTGTCAACAAGCCTATCTCGAATTTCAAACGCATGCGTAGTCCGCACGCTGGAGAGAACGCTTTCTGCAAAGTGATTAGCCTTCGCGTTGATCTCGAGAATCTGATTCTCATAAACTCCCATAAAGCCTCCCGCAATACCATTGACGATCATCGTCGCTGGTGCAATGGAGAGGCATATCAGGGTCAGTTTCCACTGCACGACGAAGGCGATTATGAACGCTGTGATGAATGCCGCAATGCCTTGCAAAGCAAGACCAAATTTCTCACTAATTCCACCCTGAATCATGCGCCCGTTGGAGGTCGCTTGGGTTGCAATCGAACCTCCAGTTCCAGCATCAAAGAATGCTACTTCCTGACCAAGAGCTGACTTGAGATATTCATGTCGAATGTTCCGAGTAATGACGTGAGCGGTGTGGGTGAAAAGCGTGTTGTAGATATAAGAGAGGACGAAGCGGGCAATACCGAGGTATACAAAGTACAGAGCGAGCTCTGACGCTTCCGAGCGAAGTTGGGATGGAGAGGATTGCGATGATGTGAAGTCGGTGATGCTGGTGACGAACTGGCCTAAGATGAGAGGTTGGAAAGCGATGCCGGCACCAGAAGCAACAGCTGCGACGCATGCGATGGTCTGTAGCGAGAGCTCGAAAGGCCCGGCATACCGGAAGATTCGCTTGTAGGCGGCGAACGAGCCTTCGGGCTTGACTGGAGTCGGCGCTGTTATCGCCCCCTTTTCGCTTTCAATCCCTTTGGTATCCATGAGGTAGCTCTGCAGGATTGCTAAGCATGTAGAGACCAAAGGACAACCGAGAACTTGAGGTGCACTGGCATTAAGGGCACCATTTGAGTTTATATACCTACGGTTAGTAAAGGACAGGGAACGTCTCTCATTTCGGGAGCGCGATGTACGGCCTCCGCATGCGGATTTCACGGGCTCCGTCCCCACCCACGATCGTGGATCAGCGGAGCCATCCATGGATGTAAGGGTCCAGAACCAATAGATCATGGATGATTTGTTGAGTCATGCCGACGTTTTTCTTTTTTTTTTTTTTGCCCTTTTGGTTTTCCTTTTCGTGCGGGGTCTCCTTTCAGATTAGGGCCATTCCATGTGGCCAATGGATGACCTTAGTAGTATTGGACCTTAATCTTGGCCTCTGCGGATACTTGGGGACCCTGTCTCGACGCCTCGATCTCGCCTGCGTCTATCTCCCAAGGGACCTAAGCAGTTTCTACTTTTGCGTCCTCGTCATGGAGGTTACGCATCCTCTCGGTGGATTCGATGTTCCTGAGGCCGTATCCTCGACCAATCGGAATCCGCCGATGCCGCGAGGTGTTTGTTATTCATCTGGGCTCCTGACCCTTTATCGCCATTGTTAACTAACTCATAATCAGTGCGGTGCCTGTCGATCCCGCAAGGTATCCCTCGACGCCACGTTACGGTCGGTAGATTAGAACCTGATAGACGAAACCTTTGTGGGGCTGAGATGGGTGTGGTTCGGGCTCGGTACAGTCGCCCCCCGAGTAAAGGGATACACATAAGGCACATCTGTCCTTGTTGCTTGCTCACCGAGTGCTCCTACCTCCGCACGATCTGTGTAAGCGAGTTTGCATAAAAATAATAACCAGACACTACTTCCACCCTTTTCATCTTCTCTCCTTCCATCCTGCCACTTATTTACCACTTATTCTCTTTGCCATTTACCAGAGCAACGCGCCCAGGCACTGTTCCTTTTATCATGGCCCCCAACGGTGGAAAGCTTGAAGACGTTTCGAGGACAAGCTTCGGATACATCTACCACCATTTGTTCCTGCCTCCAAAACTCCCGGGTGCAGACGACACCTCTCAGAAGAACGACACAACCCTTTTGGAATTTGTGCAGCGGTCATTGCGGCGTTTTCTCCCCGGACACCATGATGAGGACGCGGTGAAGGCAGGTATCTCGGTACTGAAGTCCTTAAGGACATCGAGGAACCCTCAAGGATACCTGAAGGATGTTGTTGTCCGAGATATTCTGAAGGAGCTATCTTCCAAAGGTAACGCTTTTTGAATTTGTTTGGCTCACAGGAGGAAAGCTTACCAATGTTTTACAGCACCTGTAGCAGCACTACAAATCACAGAACAAAATGCTGGTGTTTTTATCAGCAGAAACGCGGACACGGTGTGCTTTGAAGTTTTTGAGCTATCACCAAGAAACGAGGCTGTGGTGTCCATACGAGGACGGCTCGTGCGCCATTTCCCGGCAACTGCAGTGGAAGTCACGGCCGCTGATTTCGAAAGCCAAGACTTTCAGGTAGTCATGGCCAAAACTCTCACCAAGATGAGCCAGCAAACTGTAAGAGAGACGAAGCAGGTGACCAAGAAAGACAAGCAAGAGAAAGAGGACAACAACGAGACATCTGACCCGATGATTGTTACCGAACTCCTTGCAAGCATCCTCCGAGGATGCGGTAAGGAAGTTGCTGTGGACAAAATCTGTAAAAACACCCGCGATGATGTGATATGGAAAGACAGCAAATTTCCTTGGCGTCGCTCTTCGACTTGGCTTCTAGTTCGAGTAGCCCTGCAGTTGTCTATGACACGACTTTCTGCGACTGGAAGAAATACCTACAAGGAGTTCATGGCCTTTCTCATGGCTCAAGCTCTTCACGCTGCCAATGACCACCAGAAAGTTTCCAGCGACATCCTTCAAACGATGTTGAATAAGGTTTCACGTCGTCTCTGCAAGCTCCAGAGACCGAGCGATGGGCCTTGGCTGGTTAATATCCGACATGTCGTCTCAAAATCTTCGGAGATTCTGCATAAGCGATGGAGGTATATCACGGAACGAGCTGAACCGCCACTGAGCCTGAGTGAACTATCCAAGTTCAACATTGAGAATAATATCACCTTCTCCCTTAAAGATATGGAAGCTTTCATCAAGTCGATAACTCAGCGAAAAGCGGCGGTTCTCGAACCCAGGTTTCGTCCTACTTCAGAACTCAACTCATTGCCCCAGAACCAGTTGCCATCCGTTAGAGACTGGGGTGAGGATTACACACCTTTCAAGCTCCTCGAGATTGAGTCGTGGGTGGCAGAGAACCTTCAAACATGGATCGATCACCATATGAGAAAAGCAGATAATCCGGTGAAGGATTTGAGATATTTGATCGAGGCATACCACGCCAAGGCAGCTAGCTACTACTCCGGACGCCCCGAGGGAGCTTCGCGAATGATTCTCACTATCTTAGAACTCTGGTATGCCGCAGACGTAGCCGCCATCCAAGAACTTCCACTTTTGGCAGATTACAATCCACAGATTCCAGCCGTCCTGTGGCAATCGCTCTTACTTGGTTCATTGCAGGACATGAAGAGGCTTCAACGTCTTGAGATCTACATCCGGAATCGCGTCAAATCTGCAGAGAAAGCGGATAGGCCTTATATTCTTGGCTCATTTGGCTCGCCCGGCTCCTTCGCTGTTGAATTCTTTCGCAACTCGACTCGGCTCCAGCAGCTCAAGTATGAGATTGAGGCAGACGCCGCGGCTAAGAGACAGGAGAAACGCGATGAGTTTCGCAAAGCCAAGACGGAGTATGTCAAGCTGATGCAGAAGCACGCAGAGAGCGAATGCGATGTATCTACGAAGCGGGACGCAGGAGGGGTGGTCTACATTCATCCGTCTTCATGCCGACGGTGCGGCTTTGAATCAAAGGCCAACGCCCTTGCGGTTTTTGTGCACGAATGGCCCCTGCCGCAACACGAACTCGCTGCGCAGGCTACCGTTTTCGAGATGGCTGCTCCTGTGACTTTCTCGGAGTGGAGAGACCTGACAGTCTACTTGATCAATGACGTCCTCCTGTGCCGACCTGGAAATCCATCAACTCCACGGACCACCTACTCCTTAAAGTCATATCAACCTCTCAAGCCCTGGCACGCAACCAAACCGAACTACCGCATTCATCTGCGATCAGAAGCCAAGCCCAACGCTGTCATCCATCGACGGGCATTGCCTGTCGGGCAAGCGGTTGAGTCGGACGTCTGCCTGAGCAGCGGAGTTATGTACCAGTACTACGACGAGGCATTAAACTCATTTTCTTGCGACCTGGCATTGACCGACGACCTATCTGAGCTGTGTATCTTTAAGCTCCCCAAGAGAGCCCATGCACTGGATCAATTCCTTCGTCGCAACTGGAGAAAACCTGATGGTCAGACACCGAATGAGGTAATTGTCAGCCAATTCGAGTGCCCTGAGTGGATGCCCTTGAGCGAGTTCAGGGCACTTACTGGTATGGCGTATGGGCATAAGATTCAGTGGATGAACATTCTAAGGGAGTTGGCCATGCCGAACATCGATTTCAATAGACGCGAAACGGCAATGTTTCTGCTCCAGATGAGCCTGCAAGCCGGCCCAGAGTCATCATTAGTCACCCGATCCACCCACTCGCAACCATGCGATGAGTTATTTGGGCGGAAGATTCTGGAGAGCTTAACTGGCTGCGTCTTGCGTGTGCAGGCGAATTGGGAGTCTTACACTGCCTTGTGGTCCTTCACTTTCCTGACTACGCGACTTTTGTCACTGGTTTCCAAGGACCTGTCACAGCCTTTCCTGAATCTTCTCGAGCAGTGCCGGGAGACTTCCTACAGGTGGGTAAAGGCACTCCTCGAGCGAGTGGAGGAGACGAGCGATGACGTGCAGAGGAGGGAATTCCTGGAAACGGCTTCGAGCATTGCATTGATCTGCATTGATTCATTCAACGTTGACGATGGCTTTCTGCGTCAGATCTTGGCCAGTTCTCAACAGGCAGCTATTATGATCGAATGCTCTATCATAGTCCATGAGAACCTTTCATTGAAGACTGGTGACGACCAGATTTTTCAGGATGTTGTCCTTGACAGGTGGCGGCGCACTATGTATCGGGCCCGACCCATCATGAACGAGCAGATTGCTTCCGGTGGCTCATTTCTTTCCGATGCCGTTGAACAACGCTGGCGGTACTTCAAATCCACCTCATCTTGGACCCTCTCTACCGGGACGAGGTGTTGGCACCAGACGACGATGGACCATCTCAAGGTGCACCTTAACATATTGACTGGAGAGCTACTTGTTAACGACCTACCTCTTTCTCGTCTACCCGCGGATTACGAAACCCATCATGAATATAAGAGAATATTCGGCGACCTTTTACACAACGTTATGCCAAGCACGAGCTCGGGCATGGTCTTCTGCACAACCCAGCTCCTCCACGGCTACACGGTTCATTTTGGAAGGGAAAGGCAAGACTTGCTCCTCCGCCTAGAGAATGACAAGTCGTGCTACGATTATATCCCTCGTCGAGTCTTCGCTGGTTTACTCCCAGACTCCTTTGTTGATGAGTACGCGCACTGGTACAACAACAAGACGGGTGCTGTGGAGTTTTACCTCTTCAGCAATCCTTTTCCGGCTCGGTCCTGCAAATGGTGCCTTGAGGAACGCGATGGATTTTGGAAGCTACGTGGCCAAGAGGGAGTTTTTCTCTTAGCGCCTTCGAGTGGTCTGGCTCAATGCGTTGCGACCATTGTGGCTGATCTGGAAAGTCCGTTGAGCCTTCATATGCTTTATGATCCGAACAGGAGGTTACTTGATATCAAGATCCCAAGACTTGAGCTTGGCTTTTTTTTGAATGAAGGAGAATCGGTCATTCGATCTCACCAATTCAGGGAGATGCACGTTGACGAGGACCAGTCACTCGGCACTTTGGTGGGCCTCAAGAGCAAATTAGTACTGCGAGGTAATCAAACTCCACCAACAAGATTAGTGCTGATTCCGGAAGGCGAGGTCGAGATCAAGAAGAACGATAGCGACATGGTTCATGATCACGTCACTGTGTCTGTATGCCACGGAACTGTCCGGCGTGTCCAGCCTTACCAAATTGACGATCTCATGGGCCGTTTTGTTACTGAGACGAAGCTCGAAAGCAAGCTCTATCTAGCTTACCTTCATGCTCTCACTTCCTTCTGCCTTCCAGATCCGTTCATCGGGCGGCGAGGGACTGAAGAGGCCTTAGATATCCTTAGTTCTGCATCAGTCCGGGCGCCGACGGCGCTGAGTCCAACTGCTTGCAACATCCTGAATCACATCGCTGCGCTCGCCCCAAGCCGTCACTATCGTCCGGATCACTTAAAGGAGATGCAGACCGTGACCTGGTCCTCTCAGGTCAGGGTCTCAGTTCAAGATGATCGGTTTCTCACGATCACCAATGAGATCTTCAAGCGATCGTCCGAAGTCGAGTTTCTTTATCCGAACGCCGAACCTCAACCAGACCGAAAGCTGCACACTAATATGGATCTGGCTCAGCGGGCGATTTTCCGTAACGCTGGTCAATGTGTCTCTGGGTTCGGCGCCGAGGACTTTCACACGAACGATGATGAGATCTATCAGTCAAGGGACAATACAAGATCAGAGCGAGCAGCACGTGCGACCGCGACTGCTTACCAGGCTTTTCACGGTGAGCAGGGCCTCATGGAACCTGTTTCAGGGGGACTTGCTCTGAACCTATACAAATTGATGGCTATGGGGAAAACGGCCAACCACAGAGGTGCCCCCCCAAAGCGAGATATGGAATACGATTCTATGTGGCTCCAGAGACCAAGCTCTTACCTATCATCATACTGGTCTCAGTTGCACCATGCATTTCACGACAACTCACAGTGGCTCAACAAGATGGAGTTGACGGTTTGGATAGCGACAGTAGCCTATTCGACCGAGCATGATGAGCAGATCACCCAAGCACTTCTCATGATGGCTTTATCTCCCTCTGTGGCAGCTGCTCCACTGCCTTTGAACGAGGTACATGACTTGTCCAAAGGATACACCTTGCAGCCTGACATGCTTGAAGCCGCGGCAACCTCTCACATGGTCAAGTCTAAGCATGGCCCAGAAGGAAAGTCACGGTCAAGAACCGCCAAGGGAGACGGAAAGGCTGCAGACCGACTTCGGCGAGAGTACGGCAAGGATAAGAAGCAGGCGATCAACATCTTCAGAGATCGACTTGCGCGACAATGGCCCTGTCAAGTTCCCAAACAACCAAGCGACTACCACATGGAGGCATACATTGACGTCGCACGGGCAACGAAATCAATCCTTCCATCTTGGAGAATATGGTGGGCTAACAAGAATTTCAAAGAATATTTGGAAGGTTTTGTTGCTGCCTTGAAAAAGGTCCCACTGAAAACGGCCTCTATCGACGATCGATTGGTGTCATCTGAGCAGCCGACAAAGCCACATCATAAAGGATTCGTGTCTGTCAGTGATATTTTTCGACATGACGCCCCTAATACCAACAACGCCCCTGCATCGACTATTCAAGGCCTTGTCACCAAAGCTAGAGTAGAGACAGCGGAAAGGAAGGAGCTGGTAGGCATCGTTGATTTTCTCGAGTCTCGAGCATGTTTCCAATACGAGCGCAATTATCTGAACGAGTTGCGACAGAGTCTGTCGAGCTTGAGAAATAATAGCCAGAACAAGCTGGCCCAAAATGATGTGCCTACTGCTCTATTGCAGGAACATCTAGCATATTGCGAAACTCACCATAAAGACATCTACAACTCGCTGCGCAGCGCCGTCCAGCCATTTTCCAAGTCAAAACCGCGCAGTCCTGAGGATACGGTAGATGCCATTCTCTCGGAAGCTGGGCATCAGCCCAGGATTTCTCCAGTGTTCTTCCTGCAGCAGCTCAGAAACTCAGACTGGTCAAAACTGTCTAGTGCTTGGAAGAGTGCCATCATCCAGTACGGACTCGCAGTTACGGCTCTGCAAAAAGCCAGACGACTCATCCGATCCCAAAGTGACCCTGTTGACTTGCTCAGTGAGCTCGAGAACCAAGGCCATGAGGGCTGGAGCCCTCATGAACATCCCGAGTGGTTGCTCGTTGAATGTGAGAGTCAAATCATGATCCGGGAAGTCCAGCAGCAGATTGCCCAGCAGATGATCCAACCTTCAGGGGACCACAACGCCGTGATGCAGCTGAACATGGGACAAGGCAAGTCGTCCGTTATTGTTCCAATCGTAGCCACTGCCCTTGGCGATGGCTCGAGGCTAGTCCGAATCATCGTAGCTAAGCCCCAGGCTAAGCAGATGCATCAAATGCTAGTTGCTAAGCTCTCTGGCCTTGTCAACCGTCCGGTTTATCAACTGCCTTTCTCCAGAGATGTCCAGCTAGATGCTAGCAGGTCTAGGGTTATACATCAGTTGCTAGTCCATTGTCAGAAAGAAGGAGGTATCTTGCTCGTTCAGCCAGAGCATTTGCTATCCTTCCAGTTGATGGAGCTGGAGCTTGAACTTGATGGTCAGACTGAACTTGCTGGGGAGTTGAAGAAGACGAGGCTCCTATTCGAAAATCACTCTCGGGACGTGGTGGATGAAAGCGACGAAAACTTCAACGTCAAGTTTGAACTTATCTACACACTCGGACAACAGAGGTCAATCGACCATAGTCCGGATCGATGGGTCATTGTGCAACAAGTCCTAAGTCTAATCCATCGATTCGCCGCTGAGGTGAAGGAAGAATTTCCGCAATCGATAGACCTAGATGAGAGACATCATCAGAGATTCCCAGTGATCCGCATCCTACGCCGTGATGCTGAGAAGGCGATCTTCAACCGTATGGCCGATTCGATCTGCGAGACTGGCATCGCCGGGTTTCCCATTGCATATCAGCCTCCTGACATTCGAAACGCTGTTCGAAGATATATTACCCAGTGGGAACTATCACTCGAAGAGGTTCAAGCTGTTGAACACAGTCGGTTCTGGAACGGGAAAATCATCAACCACGCCCTTCTACTACGAGGCCTCCTTGCTGGTGGTGTTCTTGCGTTTGCTCTTGGCCAGAAGAGATGGAGGGTTAATTACGGCCTCGACTTGAATAGGGAGAAGAAGACTAAGCTTGCTATTCCTTATAAGGCCAAGGACAACCCAACGCCTCGGTCCGAGTTCAGTCATCCTGACATCGTTATCGTGCTTACCTGCCTAAGCTACTACTATGGCGGGCTCGGGGATCAGGCCCTCTTTGACTCCCTAGAGCTTCTAATTCGATCAGATAATGCTGATTCCGAGTATCAGTCTTGGGTACAATCATGCCCGACATTGCCGGATGCATTCAAACACCTCCAAGGAATCAATACCAAGGATCATACCCAGTGTGTGTCGACTGTTTTCCCTTACCTTCGATACTCCAAGGCTGCCATAGACTATTACCTCCACCACATGGTTTTCCCTCAAGAGCTCAAGGAATTCCCGTATAAGCTATCGGCCTCAGGATGGGATCTAGGCAGGAAGAAAAAGCACATTACTACCGGTTTTAGTGGCACAAATGATTCCAGATACATCCTTCCTCTCGATGTGAGGCAACTGGATCTCCCCGAGCAGAAACATACTAATGCACTTGTACTGGAGAACCTGCTGTGCCCTGAAAATAGCATTACTTTGATGACGGACGAGATGGCAGGGGCGACTTTTCACAGCCAGTATCTCCTAGAGACACTCACAAACATGAGCTCAAGGCCGCGGGTGATTTTGGATGTCGGTGCTCAAGTGATTGATCTTACAAATCTAGAGCTGGCAAGAGCTTGGTTACGCCATTATGCATCTGACGGGAATACGGAAGCAGTCATCTTCTTCAATGACTTTGACGAGATTGTGGTGATGGATAAGAGTGGCAGGGTTGAGGAATTACAAACTTCGCCATTTGCAGATCGGTTAGACCAGTGCCTTGTCTTCCTCGACGAAGCTCATACTAGAGGCACAGATCTCAGATTACCTACAAATTACCGGGCTGCAGTCACTCTAGGTGCACACCTAACGAAGGACAGACTTGTTCAAGCATGCATGAGAATGCGCAAACTTGGGAGAGGACAGAGTGTGGTCTTCTTTATCCCACGAGAGATTGAACAGAAGATCCGCGTTCTTCGAGGCCAGGAACCTTCATCGTCGGCAGATATCACCGTGGCAGACGTTATCTGCTGGGCTATCACTGAAACATGCACCGATCTGCGAAAAGCAGTCCCACTTTGGCTGAGACAAGGCCTCCGATTCACTGAGCAGCAAACTAAATGGGAGGATCTGAAGACACAGACTGACAGCGAAAGTCGACTCGAATACGCCAAAAGGTTCATGGAAGATGAAGCCCAGAGCCTTGACAGGCGGTACCGTCCCCGCCGGGCCAGCAGCGACATCTTCTCAATAATCAGTCGCATGGAACCGCGTGCCGCAACTGCTTTTGAGAGCCGATGCGTGGACTTTGGCCTAAGTGAGTTCGGAGACTCTTCATTCAATGAGGAGCAAGAACGGGAACTTTCGCCTGAGCTAGAACAAGAGCGGCAAGTCATGAGACCGCCTCAGGCTGAGCCAGCAGAACATCAGATACACCCGGGCCTGGAGGAGTTCATCCTCAATGGAGTATATCCCAAATATTCATTCCAGCCGGCTTTCATGTCCCTCGCAACTACGTCAGCAGCTCAATATCTTGATGTGTCTGAGTTCCCGAGGAGCATCCTCGTTACACGCGACTTTGCCAAAACTGTCAACAAGGTGTTGGGTCACGTCGACTTTTCGGACCCTTTCCAGAAACCCGTTCAGTGGATTCTGTCCGTCCAAAGAAACCCCAGTATACTCATCATTGTTAGCCCTTACGAGGTTCAACAACTGCTCACAGCCATTGAGCGGTCTGAGCATATTATACTGCACCTCTACTCCCCACGAATCAACGTCGGATACAAGTCGCTTGACAATCTCGACTTGTACAATATATCCGGAATCAGGTTACACCAAAAGGTTCCAAGGCACATCATCAGTCTCCTGTGCCAGTTCTCCGGTCAGCTGTACCTCTCATCATTTGAGGACTATGTGCAGCTGTGCGACTCACTCGGTCTCGCTTGGAAGCCTGGTAACAACCAAGTCATGATCGGGCCGGATGGATTTATACTGCCCGACCTAGCAGGAGGCGACGTGGTGAACAAGTCCAGGTTTTCAAAGAGCCCAGTGCAGTTCTTGAAGGTTCTCGTGGCGAATATAAGACAGAATAACAGGGATATAGGGAAAACTCATATAGGCAGGATTTTGGACGGAATGCGGTTACTGGAGAGTGATTTCGATGCAAAGATAGAGACATAGGTTCTTATGGAAGCCTTAGAATACGCTTTTGTCTTTTCATTATTTAGTCTTTACATTTGAGAGTATACCTGCGACTGCGTTCATATTTTCCAGACAGGCTCTTTAGAGCAAAGGTACTCATGTCGCTTAAATCCTTGCCCCGAGAGATACTACTTGAGGTTTTCGAGCAGGTATTAAATGGAATACATCAGCACTGTGACCCTGACTTCAGCTAACGCAAGCTCTCAGCTAGGTTCCGAAGATCTATGGAGTCTTTTCCAAACATCAAAGCCCTTTCGCCACTGCGTCGCCCCAACGCTGCTTCGAAAAGCCATAGTTGTATTTAATTCTGACAAGGTATAATTGAATGGAAAGCAGTTGCATTCATGTGTCGCATATGATATTTTGATGATGTGGGCATCAAATATACGGACTCTAGAGCATAAACCTCACGATTCCTACGTGCCGTTCCAAATGATCGAACTCCTTCCCCGATTAGTGAACATGAGGTTCTTCAGGAATGCTATACAGCCAGCTGAAGGTACTCATTTGCCATTACTACTTCCCCTTGTTAAATAGAAAACAGCAACGATCCAAAATGGCTAATAGTTAGCTCATCTACGAAATTCCAGTAAAGCCAGAATGGGGAATCGACCAGTGTAATAGATTCACACAACCACCCGTATATCGTAATTCAGTTAACATCGCCCACCACCGTGGAGCGTTGCTTGGCTGCAATCGCATCATATTGGGGTTGAAGTCTCTTTTGTATTTCGACTTTCAATAGCAATTGCTCCGCCGCTGTTAATCGAGTCGTGCCATGATTCCGAGAATTCCAACTTGCCTCCGTCTCATGAATATCAGCACTATCGTCATCTCCAAATACGTCTGAAAATTCGTAGGTACGCCATTCGGCGTTCTCCCAGTTCGTCCCTATATAATGCGTAAGCCTGAGGAATGCTAGCTAATTGTCTCCAGCAAGCACTCACATCCACCCTCCATTCCTGACCAGTCTTGACTTATGTAATGAAGCATGGCACCATGAGATACAACCACAATATGGATGTCGTTGTATGTTGACATGGCAGATTCGCGAGCTATGTGGCGCAACCAGCGCCGCGCCCTAGCGGCCCTCACCTCAATACGATCAACCCTTGGTTCCCATAGTGCTCCGCGGGACTTGTCATTCCATTGATCTCCGACTTTGCTGAAATCGATCTTGCCATGGAATGGTGGCTCGCTGGAGAGCAATGCGGGGCTACTCCCAGTATCGCACGGCAAAGTCAACACTTCCTGGATTTCCGGTAAAGCAGTCACAGGGATCCCAGAGACTACTGCCGGTGCAAATGATAGAAGACAAGTCTGCAATGTACGGCGCATTGGCGACGCAACCAGGTGTGTAATTGCAGCATGGTGAGGAAACTCCTGGCAGAGCCTGTGGCACTGAGCCTCTCCCATCAAAGTCAGCCCAGGGTCGCGTATTTGTAAATTTTCGGTACAAGTATTATGAACACCCTGGGCGTGACGGACTAGGTGCAAATAAATTGCCATATCCGATTTGAACTTGGGAGATGTAAGAAAGAACTCCGAAAATATCCCCCTGAAATACTGAAACTGCGCCGATATCGGTGCTTGTACCGAAATTCCGTCCAGCATCCGTCTCTCCTGGTTGGAAGACAGTAAATATAACCGGGCGAACAATGGAGTTTTCTGACCATCCTATTAAATCTTACCCGGGCAATTGCCAAGAGTCGTGGTGGTTCATCGTGTTCGGGAATGTTTTTCCGGGTATCTGGAATGATTACTCTCCACACGACATTCTTATTCCTTCCATTGGCTAGCGCGATGGATACTGCCGGAAGGAAAGATGATTCGTTCTGAAGTAGAACCAGTGCTGACGATCCTGAGAAGAGTGTCAGATGGGGAACTAATGTACTGACTAGACGTCTGATAGAATTCGTTGATTGATGATTGTATGATTGGTTGAACAATCCCTACTCCTGCCTGCTCCCAGCCCACAGGAAGGAGCGAAACATGATTCCGCCTTCACCCAGTTAGCATTTGTTTTCGGGTTCTTGGCTGACGTATTATTCATCACCTCTCTTTTGTATTATTGGTTAATTTCTGAGAGCTGGCCGCTTGATGGAGTTTCATTGGATAAACAAAAATATACGCTCTGGGAATCAAGAGTTTAATGCAGCAGGTAAAATGGCACTATTTAACTTGCTGTCTGAGCTTTGTTGGAGCATCCTACTCCGACTTCTTGTCCTTCAGCAAGGTGCCTTGCCTGCCTGATCCTAGTATGTTGTATGAGCGGTGAGGTCTTGGCAATAAATACCAGACGCCTCCGGTTGACACGAGTCTAGTCCGAATGCCATACAATACTGGAGAACCGGCGGACGCTTAATATAGGCCTTTAAGATGGTTATAGTAGTATTTCAGCAACCCCTTCCAGCTCGGCATTTCTCGGCCTCGGATCCCGGACCTTCCGGATTAGAGAGAACGGGCTCTGGGACTATCGGGTTCCGAGAGATAATTTATAAGAAGAGCACGCTGAATTTCTGCAAAAGTGGCATTCTATCCTTGAACAAAAAAATTAAGTCGCTCTCAACACTTGAACACCATGGCATCGAAGAACCCAACCAGCGGATTTAGACTGACGCATGTCGGTCTTCGTGTAACGGATATCGACAGATCCGTTACGTTCTACACAAGTGTTTTTGGCATGAAGGAATTGGGCCGCATGGGATTGGACACGACCACTGTTGTCTTCCTCGGTTATCCTGATGCAGCGGACCCTCAAACGCAACTCTTCGCTAGGGAAGGTGTACTAGAACTAGTATGCCCAAAGGTAACGATACTTCACCAAAGAGACTCGTCCGCTTCCGGCAAGTCATAGGCTGACCCTCCCATCAGAAGTCCCAAAGAGGCATGGCCGAATCAAATGACTATCCGGATTTCCGATTCGTCAAGCTGGCGATCGGCGTCCCGGACATGGCAACGGCCATGGAACATATTAGAAGTCACAATGTCAAAATACTCAAAGAGGCTGGAGTGGCTCAAGGTTCAGAGGTGGTGTCTACGTTTTTGGGTTGCGATATGCCCGACAAGGGGTTTGACCGGCCTCTGTGGGAAGCCGTCGTAGCTGTCCCTTTTGTGGAAGACCCAGACGGATACCTCATTGAAATAATCCCATATTGAGCTATATTCTGGGTTATTCGCAGTAGTGTCATATAACGGCATTCTGCACCGAATGTAGGAACTCGTTGCGTTACGAAATGAGTGTATACCTCGACATGACGGCCACAGTCGGTTCAAAGTCACAACTGCTCTGATTCTATGCGATACTAAATCCTAAGCATGTAGGCCCTTGCCTAAAGGCGCATTTCACTGAATCACTGCGGATCTCTGCTCTTCCTGCTCCATAGAACGAAAGACATCAGCGACGCGATGGAAAGACTCCTTCGGTACCCATGGAGGCATATTCTTAGATCTTGAATCCTTCCCAGGAAAAGTCTTTACCAACGAGAAAGACATCATGTCCAGATCCCTGGCCCCTTCTCCTGCCGGCAGGCAAGGGAACGAAAACAGGAATATGAAGGCCGCATCAACCCCTGCATTGTCGAGAAGCTCAAGCTGCGTCCCGACATAATCGGCCTGCTCTTTCTCGCTCCGAGTCGGGACAATATCGTTCTCGAAGATGCCAGTGCCGTCCGGATTCGTGCCTTTCAAGAGTACGAACCCGCCGTCTCCGCGCTCTGCTGCCCCCTCGTATGCGCAGCAGCCGACCTCTAAAACAGCGAGAGGCTTTCCAATCCTGTACCGGTCAAGACACGAGACGTACTTCTCCGCAGTCTCTCCTCGACGATAATAGTCTATGCCAACGACGTCAAAAATATCCCAGTCCACGACTTCCCAGGAGCCGGCCGAATATGTGATTTGTCCTCCGAAATGGGAACGAATCACCTCGACGAAAGACCACAACACCTTATTCAACTGGACAGACTTGTCACGCAGAGCCTGAGGAATATCCTCGATCATATGGCCGCTGGGAAACTGAGGGCCGAGAAACATTACACGGTCGTTGAAAGAATCTCCAGGGAAAACACATTTGCTGAAGATGGTGTATTCGCAGCCGGCGATAAAGACCAAATCAATGCCTTCGTTGCGTAATCTTTCTGCAGTTTTTGCCGCCACTTCGAAATATGCACGTGTCTCCTCGATGGTTGCATTCATCTTCCACGGATTGAGAAACACCTTTAGTCCCATCGAGTGTGCTGACCGCGCGGCGATCTGCAGTCGAGTTATCTCCTCTCCTTCAATCCGGACGGCGTTGGCATGCAACCCGTCGGAGATTGTTTTCATGTCATATTCGACTAGAGCAGGATTGAATGGCTCGACGGAGAATCCAGTGCCACTGAAATTGAGGCCAACGTCGTAGACAACGCCGCGATACTTCATGGTATAGTGCTTGTGGGAGAGGACTGATAATCGCGGAAATGTTTGCGGGTTCACAATATATGCAAGGAGAACGATCGTGTCCAAAAGAGCATGAGGCAAGAAACCAGAGGCATGTAGTAGTCAAGTATATAAGGCTCTTGAAGGTGTCTCCACTGTTCGGAATGCGCACTCTTGGCGCCCCGAGTGTCCGGCCATAGCTCGAAATTCCATCGAACCTGCAAGCCTGTACTTTCGGCAACCTCGTCGCCTCCATAATGTTAAGGCAGACCCACCTCTTCCTTTGGCCATGGATGAATATGGCCCTAGTTTCGATCTAAATGTGGATGGTATTATGGCTGCGTTCTCACTAGTTGATGCGGATTCGTCTTCCAATATCTGTCGTAGGGTCACGTGACCTCTACTACCTTAGTCAGCCCGCTGCCCCTATCTCACCGCTGGTTAGGCCTCCTAGCTAGGGAATCCAACCATCTCAGTGCTACGTCAGGTTATGAGCCCTTCTCCTTCCATTCTGAGCGATATTGAAGCTATTCAAACATGCCTGGCACTAGATCCAACCAATCAGGCAATCGGAACGCTGCCCCCGCTGAGGGGGCTGAGATGGCCAGCGATTCCGAGCCTACTCCGGCCTCAGGCCGAACCGAACCAGCTGCTGAAGAAACGGTTCCAGAGAACCAAGCAGCTAAGCTTCCAACGGATGACGTCAAACTAGACGGCATACCGATTCTGAATGGCGATGATGAGCTAGATGATTGGCTCACATACGTCCAATTAACGCTAGATCTCTATGATCTAAGCCGGTTAATCGACCCGATGATACCAAGGCCGAAACCGGAAGATCCAAACTATGCGAGATGGCGGCGACTATCTAAGCAGATTCGGAAATGGTTGATACTCAATATCTCAACCAATATGCTACGATCGGTCCGAGAATCAGCACTTCCCTGGGACTACGCCGATGAGGTTATATCCACTTTGACGCAGATTCTGCGGGGGAGAGGCGTCAATCGCGCCTGGGCTGTATAGGAAAGCGCGATCTTCATCCAGAGAGATGATTTCGCTAACCTAAATCACTTTATAGATGAGCTGATTCGTCGAATACACACGTCGAATAGTCTGAAATACAAGATCGAGCCACACCAGGCACTTATCTTACTGATTCGGAATCTACGGCCCGAGCTAGATCACTGGTGCGACGCGCTTATGATGAGCTATCAGCACGATGATCTTACCGAGAAGATTGACCAAGCCGAATTTCTCCGCATCTGCCAGGACGCTAAAGATCAAGCCCTTATATTGAACCAAGGCCTAGCAGCAGTTCCATCGGCTAAGCAGCCAATCACACCATCTACGCACACTGAGAACCAATCAAAGAAGCCTAATAGGCGAGCTGCAAGCAAGGGCCCAGCAATACCGAACTGGAGAGGCCCTAAGCTAGGCGAAGACCTGCAAAAGTGGCTATCTGATTGGCTCGCTAAAGGCAAACCAGAAGGGAAATGTGCTTATTGCCGAAGAGGCCAGCATGCACCATCCAATTGCTGGTATCTAATTCCCGAGATACGGCCCGAAACATGGCAGCCAAAGAAGGGCACCTGGGCCGTACCAGCTACTAGCAAAACCACCGGAACCATGAATGCGGCAGTTGATGACACATCTGATGAAGAAGATGGACCAATCACAACACATTTCTATGGTGCCGCAGTGGCAGACCAGCCGCAGGAAGCGCCTGACGAACCTTATCAAGGAGAAGCTCACTCGGCTATACGTCGACCATCCAATTGGATTGCAGATACAGGCACTAGTGGCCATATCTCCAACGATCTAAGCGACTTCATAGACTACACACCATGGGGAACCAATGAGAAGCCGTATACGTATGGCTCAGCCGCGGGGGCCGAGGGAAGGACCCTTGGCCGAGGCACCATTCATTTGCAACTAGAAGATGGTGATAGTATCAAGTTTCACTGCTACTACAACCCGGCATCGCCATACTGCCTATTCTCCGTACTATTGGCAAAGAAATCGTTAGGCATCTGTTACCGACCTGAAGATAATACCATTCGAAGGCTTTCAAATGGAAAGATAGTTGGCTACACCTACGAGGCGCAGAACGTCCCGTGGCTCAAGCTAGCAGCCCCACCCATAGCCGCTGCAGCCAATGAGATTGAATACAGCCTTCTGCACCGACGATTAGGTCATATCGGCGTTACGAAGATGGCCTCAACTCTCAGGCACAACGGGGAGTTCCAAATCTATCAAGATTCAGATCCACACTGCCCCCCATGCCGATTGGGTAAGGCACAGAGAATTGTTAGCCGAGATCCAATGCCGCGAGCCGAACATGCTGGTGATGTCATTCATTTCGATGTATTCAGCTTTGGTGGAGAAGGCATTCACGGTTATCGATACTACCTCCTCCTATTGGACGATAAGACTCGCTTAATCTCGCTTAGCCTGCTGAAGAACCGCAAGAATGAGGTTAAAGATAACATCATTGCTTATGCTAAGTCAGTCAAGAACCAACGCGGCAAATATCCAATCAAACTCCATGCAGATAACATCAGAGATCATTTCCAGGCATTTGATTGGGCAAGGACGAAGGGAATCGCGGTAGATCGAACCGCTCCTAGATCACCAGAACAGAATGGACCAATCGAACGCTGCGGCGGAATCATCACCCAGATGGCCCGAACTATGCTCATTGATTCCGGCTTACCGAAAGAGCTATGGCCATACGCAATAGATACCGCCGTTTATATATTGAATCGATTGATTCCGATTGGCCAGACTAAATCTCCATTACAGCAATGGCGCGAAGCGCTTAAGCTGCCCAATCCAGTGCCTTCGCTAAGGCACGTACGAATTTGGGGATGCCTCGCTTATCGACATATACCCATTGAAGATCGAGCTAAAGGCCAGAAATGGCAACACCGCGCCAAAGTAGGCCATCTGATTGGCTACGAAGGCGATCATGGCCATATCTACGTCATCTGGCATCCAGAAATGAATAAAATAAAACGAACACGGGATGCTGTATTCCATGAAGGAAGAAATGACTACCCCGGACCGGCGGATGGAGACGATCTAACGAAACCAATTGGACCGTCATTGCCGAAAGAGCCGAGAGGCCCTACCATGATTCTGCAGGGAGATAGGCGCAAGCAAAATGCGGGGAAGAATCTCCTGGCTCTGCCACCTCCTCCAGATTATATAACTGGGAGAATCCAAACTATTGACCCGGATGCTGAGCTGCAGCAATCAATACAGCTGCAGATTCAGGGAGTTGATGACCATGTCCAGATGACAGGCGATTTTACTAGCAATCTTGGACAGACAGAAGAAGTCTACCAAACCATTGAAATGGACACACCTGATCCAATAGCATTGCCTGCAGAGCAAGCGTTTCCAGCTGCATACGCCGAAGAGCAACCAAGGCGAATCTCATCCAGATCGACTAAGGGCAAGAGCCCTGCTCGCTTAGGCGACTGGCAAACGGCTCAAGCCGCCGTTACGCAAGAACCTTATTTCGATGACAACAAATCAGGCTATGGCTTAGCCCTCTTCGCCGCGCCTATCCCTCATAAGATCAAGGGACATGAAGTCAAGATACTAACAAGATATGATCAAGCAATCCAATCACCGCAAGCAGATCACTGGATAGCCGCCATGGAAGACCAAATAGGTAAATTAACTGAGAAGAACACCTGGGAGGTCGTTAAGCGACCATCTAACGTCACACTACTTCCGGGGAAGTGGGTCTACGACCTCAAATTAGACGCCAACGGCTATATCAGCCAATACTGAGCAAGATGGGTCGTCTGCGGCAACTTCCAGAAGATAGGGCGTGATTTCGATGAGGTCCACACGCCAGTTAGCACTGAATCGGCTATTAAGCTTGTTCTCTCACTTATCACAATCTGGGACCTAGAATGGGAACAATTCGATGTAACCGCCGCTTATCTACATGCCGCTCTGGGGAAGCGCCAGATCTATATGCGCCAGCCAATAGGCTTCGCCGTTAAGGGAGATTGGGTTTGTCGACTGCGGCAAGCTCTCTATAGCCTCCGCCAATCAGCTTACCTCTGGCACCAGACCTTTACCGAAGTGATAAAGAAGCTGGGCTTCACCCCTTTGCTCAAGGACCCCTGCGTTTATATGAAAGGTTCAAAGATGTTCATTCTCCTATACGTTGACGACGGTATAATGGCTGCAGAGAGTCATAGCCTCCTGAATGAGATCAAACAAGGCCTCAAGAAAGATTTCAGCCTCAAAGAACTAGGGGAGCCAACTAGATTTCTTGGCTGCAAGATCACCAGGAATCGGGCTAAGCGAACGATTAGCCTATCACAAGAGCCATACATCCAGAAGATTCTGCACGATGCAAAGATGACCGATTGCCGTGCAGTAGATCTACCGATGACCCCCGGCTGGCAGCCAACCGAAGATGCCGATCGAATCAACGAATTCGCTTATCGGCAACATACCGGCAGAATTAATTGGCTAAGCGTCAAGACAAGGCCAGATCTGACCTATGGAATCGGCAGATTGCAAAGCCGATCCAAACCAAACACTGCCGACTTAAGCGCAACCAATGAGATCTATAGATACCTCAAAGGTCACCCCAATCTAGCGATAGAGCTAGGCGCCTCGCCCAATCAGAAGCTAATCGGCTACGTTGACTCATCGTTCCAAGATTGGGAGAACGGCAGATCTACTGAGGCGTATATCTTCTTCTTCGGTGGAGCACCGATCTCATGGAGTAGTAAGGCTCAGCCAATCGTTGCTCCCTCATCTACGATTGCCGAATACGTCGCGTTTGATGGCGCGGTTAAAGAAGCCATGTGGCTTAAGCGATTGACCTCCGCGCTTGGAATCAAAGATGATTCGCCAGTTCCAATATGGACCGATAGCAGCAATGGACTAGATATCTTACGGAAGCCGGGATACCGATCTACTACCAAATGGATTGATAATCGCTATCATTTCGTCAAATGGGCGGTGGATCAAGGCAGAATCACCTTACATTGGATATCGGGGACAGATAACGTCGCTGATTGGCTGACGAAACCGCTAGTGAAGGCGGCATTCGAAGGGTTTAGGGCACGAGTGCTCGTAACCACCTAATGGAATGTAGATATTGCCTATTTAGGAAGTTAGATAGACCTCAACGCCAGCGTGCTGAGGGGGCCGTGTCGTAGGGTCACGTGACCTCTACTACCTTAGTCAGCCCGCTGCCCCTATCTCACCGCTGGTTAGGCCTCCTAGCTAGGGAATCCAACCATCTCAGTGCTACGTCAATACTCAAAGATATCATCCTCTCGACACTTGCGCTTCCGTCCTGAGGCCCGTACCTGGGTGTTGTTCCTAGGCAGTGAGTGGTAGCTGGGCCTCACCTCCCTCGTCTGCCTCGCCTGCCTCGTCTAGCCCTATCTCGTCATTTATTATAGTATCCTGCTCCTCGGTATCACTAATTGGGTCTATCTCACGGCGCATGGTATCGTTCCACCTTCCCCACACTATTGTGAGACTCTACAGGAACCTCCTTGACCTTAATTGACATTGATGATGCGAGCTGCTTAAACTCTGCAGATGTGAAGTTCTTCCCTGCATCATGAACAACGTAGTCTGGTGGTAAGCATCGATCCAGCATGTACGAAGTGTGTCCCATGCATTGCGTGCAGACATATCCTTCAGGAATCTCGCAGCTCCAAATAATGTGGCTGTATCAATGACTTGCAGAGCGGGTTTCCCTTCGAGGTACGAAATGTCGATGATGACCGAGTAGTTGAACTCATAGTCATCTTTCAGGGTAAATTTGAATCGTCCTGGGGACTTGCCCTTCATCTGGCAATGGTGGCAGAATTTCGTGAGGTAGTCAATGCACTGCGAATTTACCTCGTGCCCGGCGCGTTGAAGGATTCGGGTCAATCTCCGTACTGATGGGTGTCCGAAACGTCGGTGGAGTTGTCGTAGTTCCGTTTCGGTGTGGTGGCTCCATGCTGCTGTCTCCTCCAGGTTGTGCAGCAACATCCATGGGTGTTCCCACTTGCGTACGATGGGTACTCTCTTGTCTCCTCGCTCGAGCACGTTTTTCTTGTTTCGGAGCTCCACTCCCATAGCATTCATGTCCTTGAGGCAGAAGAGAAATGGTGTGTTCGTGGGGAGGATATGAAAGGTAATGGTGCCAATTGGGGTATCAACATCGGCTGTCCCCAAGGAGGGTTTTGGATCCCCGTCTCCAAATTTGATCTTTTGTTCCCCAGCCCTGGAGGTATTGAGTCTGACTTTAGGGTCCAGCTTGCATAATGCCCTGAATTCACCAGCGGACGAAACCCCAGAGGCTCCAGTGTCTGGCATGATACCTTGGAAAGTGTCGGATGAATACCGGTTGTCGAGTGTGAACACTTCCATGGCCTGTCTATCAGCTTGTCGCTGCTGAAAAATGTCGCCTTTAGTGAAGAAGTGATATGCTGACTGGTCATTGAGAATGGATATCATTCTAATCCCATCGACTTCTCCGAGTTCCGTCAAGAAACCCTTGTGCTCATCATCCTCAATGGTCATAACTGCAAGCCTCTGGCTTGGGTTATGCCTATCGTTGTCGTCCATCTCTTCTATCTCGTCTGCGCCTTCAAAATCGCTGATGAACATTTGGAAGTCCTGTGGGGTGGCTGCTCGGCCCGTCGTAAAGAAGTGTTGCTCGCGGAAGTTGTCGAGGGATCGTTTTCGTTCTTCCCCAGTATGGTACTTCGACCAGCATCCTGGTCGTCCACAGACGTAGCATCTCCCTATTATCTTATATAAGGCTATTTAGGGGATATCTTCTCTATCTTATAGGATCTATAAGATTATTAGTAGTATATATATAGGTAGGTCTATTATAAGATAGTCTCTAAGGAAATATAGAGATAGCTTAAACTAACTATTATTATACTACCTAGGTTCCTTTATAGGATTTATAAAATAGACTAGAGCTATTATTTATATATTATTAATTAGATCTAGAGCAGGCAGGATATATCCTTTAAGAATAAATAGGAGTTCTAAAAGATATATTTCCATCTTAAGGATAGAGACTTAAAATCTATGGTATTTTATAACTATTAGCAGGTTACTATTAGTAGATCTTTAGGGACCAGTAGAAAGAATAATAGTGCCTACACTCTCCAGATAATCAGCCGTCCAGAACAAAGTTGTTCCCCTCACGGTGGGCTATATCACCGGTTTTATAGAAACCATCCTCGGTAAATGCAGCCCGGGTGGCCACCTCGTTATTCAAGTAACTGGAATGATTGAGCAAGTGTGCCTGTGAAGTGATGGGTAGTCACGAACTGGGAAAACAAGGCGGAGCTTTTAACCTGAATCTCTCCATGGTCTCCTTGTGAGAGCCGAACGGTGACTCCTGGCTGTGGTCTCCCAATACAACGCTGCATTGTCCGCCCAGAAACGTGAGATGGAAGAGGTGACTGGAAAGAGCTTTTTGGAACTAACCTCGATAATGACGTCCGCCCCGGGAGCAGTCTTTAGGCCTCTCCCACCAAGTTCGGTAGCTCCGTATGACACCCTCAGTGATCGGCCTATGTCTTCGCGCCAGAATCGCAGAAGTGATGGATGGGGCATACCGCCTCCGACCTGAGCGCTGCGTAGACTTCGGACCCCTGAGACGTACGGATGGCGCTCGGCAGACGGGAGGTTCTGGAGATGGTACTGGTTCCAAAGGCGCGGGGTTCCTGCTAAAATGGTCACCCCGCCCTTGCGAAGACGTTCCCACAACACGCAGGGGTCGGGTTGAATGACTTCCAATCGTGCCCCTGCCAAGGGATGCCTAATCAGAGGCATCACCCCCCCAATCCACAAGTGATGTCGGTGACTTAAAAAGACCTTACTGGGCGAGCTGGTGGTGTGGATATCATAGAAGAGTCCTCGGTTGTGCGCCACGCCTTTTGGTGGCCCACTCGTGCCAGAGGTAAACAACAACATGCTGGGCCGGTGAGAGGGAATTACTATACCCTTCTCAACACGGAGAGAAGAGGCAGAGAGGTCGATCCTAGGCAAACTCTTCACGCGAATCTCGGTTACCTTGGCTTGGAGACCGCGAGAAGTAACATGTTCTTGAATTGTCCATGCTAAAGGTAGGTAGTCTCTACTTGCTAAGACGAAGGTTGATCCACAACGCTGGTAAAAATCTAATGCTTCCTCCGCCAGAATTCGTGTTGCTGTACACCGATTGACGTCGCTGGGTTAGAAGCCATGCTCATATTGGAGACAGTTTCTTCGAGACAAACTCACATAACGGCACGAATGCGCCTCCGATCGACAGAATCGAGAATGCCCCAACTATGAAGCTGTAGTTTCCTTCGGATAGCAAGAAGATGAATGGATTTTCGTCCCTGAGCATTCCGTTCCCATCCAGGAGCGTTTCCGGAAGTGACTGACGTAAATCCTCGCGTGTTCGGAGCACGTCGGTAAGGAATTGGCCATAGTCAGCTTCGACTTCTGCCCGCGGATCATGTATGATGATATGATTCACACGACGGGAGACCTGGAGGAGTTGCACGAATGTCGGCTCATTAGGTAACGCCCCAGAGTCGTTTGTTAGGGCCATCATGTCTTCAGTGTACTACGAGGAATCGCGACGGCGCTGATAGAGCGCTAATGGCACATACAGGGCTTTATGATCCCCCTACATTTAAGTAATTGGATGTATCAGATATGCAGTGTTTGTATACAGAGTTATTTCGGTGGTAAGGCGCTGTGATACATCACAGCAGGCTAATCTGTTCACATTACATGGCGCCATGACAGCAGGACACCACGTCATCAAGTGGTATCCTTGCATATGTTCACATGCACTGTTGCTGGCTGTATTGAATTAGAGTGAGAGAGCCCCACAGTAAGAGAAGTATTATGGTTGATGGTGCGACGGCATGTCCTCTGTACACCTATTCACTCGTCCCTCTCTTGACATTGAAATGAGCAATTGACCTAATGCCCGGAGGATTGTCGACAAGAAATTTGTTCAGGCTGCTCAAGTAAGCCTATTTACTCTAAATATAGACGTAGAACCCGTATAGTTTATCTGTGGTTTGTTCTTGGGACACTTTTCTTATGAAACGTCGGATATCGAGAGTTTCGCCGGGCTGGCAAGGTTCGTCAATATGCAGGCCAATTTTTCCTGAAAGTGGCAAATCTCAAACAAAAAGAAAATATCTAAAATAAAAAACAAACACAAATAATTTGAAGATCACCGCAAGACGACATTGGACACGCGTCGCATCAATGGCTTTACGCACGGCTGGGTTAGTGGCTATACCAGTCAACCAGATGATCATCGGGACGAAAACTTACCTCAGAAGGCCTCCCTTCCAGTCGAGCGGTGAAGAAACATCGCATCTGCATATCATCTGCAAGAAGGTACTTCAGAAGACTTGGGCTCACTGCATATCTACTGTCACTCAAAACCCTTGACAATTCGCCACGGACTATCGCCCATCCTCCTTCGGTCTCCAAGCCAAGCGCAACGAGAACAGACGCGACATGATTCTGTAGAAAAGCATGATGAAACCTGCTCCAGATATGGTCGAGATCATCAGTAATAACAGGGCTTTCCGTATCAACCATAGGCAACTGTACACCAAGGTTTTGCAACGTCGACTTGTGGAGTCGGACGCCTCCCCAATCCCGGACAGCAAAACCTCTGAGTTCGGAGCTTTGACGACAGACGCGAAGGACGATATTCTGGGGGTGCGCTTCTAGCGCAATCCCATACATCACAAGGGGTGGCAGAACTGCATCACAGAGGGAGGCGATATAGCTGCCAATTATCATTATTATTTCAGCGGTGAATCAGTAATAATCAAGCATACGAAAAGATGGTAGGCGCACCTTCGAAACCATGCAATCTTCTCTTCCCAAGTATTAAGGCCAAATAGAATCTCAGCATATGTTTTGCTAGTCCCACCAGGGGCCTGATATAGTGAGGCCGCAACGATCAATGCAAGGCCATTAGCCTGGGCTCTCGGCACTAGATCCTCGCGAATAATGCAGGATATCTGCCTCGCGTCCTCCAAATCTTCCCCGGCGCCAGTCACTCCTGCAACTTCCCGATATATCCATAACTCGGGCGGTAACAGTTCCTCCAGAAGTTGACTCATGAATATGACCTCAGGGATGACCCAGGAAGCGATCGTCCGCACTGCAGATGTGATTCGGTACGCAAGGGACATCTTCAACGTGTAGGTCACTCCAAGGTGAGGACGTAGGACTACCGATCGCATTGACACTTGTGCGTCCGCACCATCAACAATTGATGCGACAGGGACAGCTTCCGGAAAACTCCGTTCAATGGACGACAATTGCTTGGTGAAGCAGGGGACGATAACTCTATCTTCTGCCACTGTCGGCACATTGAGCTTTTGAAGTAGCGGCCTCAGCAAGAGCTCGAATGGGCCATTTACTCGGAGCTTTTCCCGAGGGACCGATACAAGAGATAGCTTCGGAACGAGGAAATCACTCATGTCTTCCAGAGGAGACATGTGGAGCGGGGGTTGGGCACAGCATAATCTATGAAACTAGAAGAATGAGCAAAAACATAACCTTTTCTTTGTCGCAGCAGCTTCAAGCCTTCTTTTCTAGTTCACTCACCGGATGGGTCGGGTGGCCATGGACGATACATTGTTCCCAGGCAACCGCTGGGCTGTTTAGGTCCAGTCGCCGCTGATTGATCTGAAGTTTGAGCCATTTCTCTGTTATCTTGGAGTTAGATCTAGCTATAGTTGAGGGCTATAATTGAAGTACCTTGATTCAAAGCGGTTGTGCTCAGCTCATGAGCTATTTCCTCGGCAGTGGCGGCTCCCAAACATCTCCAGTCGAACCAGCTGTATATTGATCTAAATATTCTGGAAGGGCTTGTCTCGTGAATGATATCCCCATTTGTAAATTCAACAGTTATAGGAACGTCAATGTATTCTGGCCTCAAAACTGGCAGAACCCGGTTGGCTTCCATATGAAGATATGCATCCGGTTTAGCATGAACTGCCACTGATTTCACCTTCGTAGGGTGGCACACAGAATGGGTACTCTGGAGCGACAGGCTATATCCAGATTTGAACTTTGAAGGGCGTATATCCGCATGGACTAGTCCCTCATTGACAAGCTGGGCCAGAAGACGCTTCGTAGTTTCGAAAAAAGCGTTTCCCAAGTAGTCTGTTGACGCCATCGCGAGTTGAACCTTCAAATCGTGAAATACCTCAGACCAAAGAGACAAGAAAGAAACATGAAAGACGACACCATATACATAAAATGAAATTGACTAGGCCAAAAGTGCTACATCCAACTCCTCGGTCTGAGCGCAGGATCTGGTAGTGACTTCGATGAATCCCGGCCGACCATCTGCCAGATACCGCATAAGTACATGCCTTTGCGCAATCAGCGGTGAGTAGCAATCAACTAAAAGATATGCAGATGTCTGCAGCTCACTCTACCACTAGTCAATGCTTCAGGCTTTTGCACATGAAAATACGGGTAGGCAATGGGCTATAGTGACGTACAAATTGCAGGACTATTGGTTATGCTGTTTTTCCTCCGAAACGACGTGGCTCTCAGAGCACCTTACTTCCCTTATTGATTTCCATTTACACCGCCCCGCCATCGTTAGTGCTTCTCTTGGACCCTTTGCATAGTTTGACGCATTCAACAAGCAATTCTGCGTCGACATTGACGTGGCGAACGAACATCATCGTCAAACCCCCCGGGACCGACCGGTAGATAGGTATACAAGCGACCAACTTCCCCCTAGGGAAAACAGGCACATTGTTCAAACTAAGACCACCTGATACTTGTCTACATTCCTTCTCCTCCCCTACCCAAGTGTCCACGCCATTTCAGCAATGACGATTGATCATAAGCAGCGAGCTGAATTTGCTTCCATATCGAGGATTATCGCCTCTCTCATCAATGAGAGGCTGGTTGGACGTCAGTTTATGGGCTCATCAGTTATCCTATCGCATCCTTCTTCTGATGAGATCATAATTGCCCGACTGAACTCCACCCCTATAATGCAAAACTTTGTGCATGACACTGATATTGCGAATGATGTGCAATACAAGGGATCTGCAATCAAAGACGCATCCAGTCTGCTAAGGATTTACGGAAAGTGGGCAAATGTTGATGTGGAAAGGTTTTGCTTGGAAGTGGATAACTCAACGGCAAACCAAGCATTGTCCTATTGCAATTCTTTTCTCACCATGGATTCACCACCAATCGATTGGGAGCAGGCTTTACAGGAGGGCCGGTCCTTGCACCCGTTACACCGATGTCGTTATCCCATTGTTTCGAGTTTTCGAACAGCCAAATTATATTGGGTTGCCATTGATAGTTCAATAGTCCATACCCAGGGCGAATACATGCAGTGGATCAAAAAGCTCGCCCCAGATGCAAACATCGGCCAGTCTTCCGTTCTGTTCCCGGTCCATGAGCTCCAGTTAGCCAAAGTTATCAGCGAGTTCCCTGATGCTCGTGTGCTGCCAGGAACCATTGACAACGCCCGGCCACAGATCTCTTTGCGCACGCTCACTCTGCCAAACACAACTGAAGTCTGTGTCACTCTTTACCTCAAGGTACAGAACCTTGTTCGTACAATGAGCGAGTGGAGCATCATGATGGGACAACAACTCAGACAGGTTTTACCTGTTATTGAGGCCGCGTCTGCAGAGTTTGGCGGTTCTTTAATGATGGCACGGGAATACGCAGCTGCGGCCTCACCGAGCCAACATCTTGGCTGTATCATCCGTGAAAGCAGTGAATCACAAGCTGCTCGGACAGGTGACAGAATAATCGTCTGCGCGACATTATCCGAGAATGTGGACGTGATCTGGGGCGACCGTCCGGACAAGAAAGCAATTCTACGCGAGTACGCCAGCAAATTTCTTCGTGCTGTCCTCCCTCCATTGTTCAAGTATGGTCTTGGGCTAGCAGTACATCGCCAAAATGCTCTTTTACGGCTAGACCCCTTAAGCAAGGAGATCAAAGGGTTTGTCATACGGGACCTTGGCTTCATGAGAGTCCATCGACCAACGTTTAGGAAGGGAACATGCTTTGACATCGAAACTCCCAAAACAAGCATCTATACGGAGACATTGGAAGAGGTATATCAGTATATGTTTAACCCAGCCATAATCGGTCACCTGTCATCCTTTGTCCGTGCCTTGCATCCCGGCCTTGCTGGATGGAAAGTAATTCGTGAAGAGCTCGAGAGAATCATCCCAGATAATGACTCAATCGCGCGGTCTGTCTGGCTGCAAAGCCCGGAATTCCCGACCAAGGCCAATATCACTATGGAAGTCCATGGCTATAGCGGCTTGCACCCTTTTGTCAACGTTTCCAACCCATTGTATTACTGCCAACTCAATGAGGAGCCTGATCACTCTGTGTCTTAGGTGGATTATCACGACAGGTGTAGGGCATAATACCAAATGATCTAATGTCAGTCGTTTGGATACATGCGTAACACTGTAGCTTCTCTGGTATTCTGGTTTGCAAGGATGATGACGCTGATGCTGACTCCTCGCCCACTCCATTGTATATGAATATATATCTACTGGTACACAATAGTGTTACTTGTCAGCGAAATACTGACATGAATAAGAGTATGGTCAAGTGGTCTCCTCATTCATAGATAGGCCCTAAATCATTTATGAGAAACTGATAATGATGCAGTCCCGCCCTCGCGGCGCTATAAGCGAGATCCTCATTCTATGTACGGATAACGCGAGCAGGGTCATACAAACTACAGTGGTCTAGAGCTCTTTCAGGAGCGAACGTATTTCTCAAATTTAAGACAACCTGCGTCCTATACTGGGGATGGTTCTAATGAACCAACTGGTCAACCTAATTATACGTCGACAACCTTGTTTTTGGATAATCACTTTCCGTCTTCCCTGTGACCGCGAAAATGTGATGATGTAATAATGGGCAATCCAACGCCGCAGGACTGCCACCCGACCATACCACTTAATGACTGGTGGTGTCAAACCCCTTATCGGCGTATAAAGATGAGACGTGGCTCGGAACTAGCAGGGTCCTTCATCTCGCAATCTTCGTCGTGACATTGATCTCGGCACCCTTTTGAGGTAGATTCCCCGCGGTGACACTGCAAGTCCACCCACTCGCCGGTCACCATGAGCACACAGTATCTTCTCGTAATCCCCAGAATCGACCGGACGGTCGACCCAGCATTGGTTTTGGTGTTTTGTTCGCATGTAACTATGATCCGGTGAAGCTGCCTTGTAGAATCACAGGGTTATTTGGTGTGGATTCCTGTTTATCAACAGCACATTAGTCCTTGAGGGAGAAGATCCTTAAGCCTATCAGAAACCGCTGTCTAGGAATAAGAGAGTAGATAGATTCTGGAACATTTCCTGAATGGGGAACAAACCTGACGCATCTGTTGGTCTTTCAAGGCAGAACACGCTTGCTGGTATGCGACGAAGCAATTTACCGATATTATAACATCCTAGAGTCTTGCTGAATAACCAGCCATGTATAAATCCCGTCGCATATAGGATGCGGTTTGACCTGACTTTAAATTGTAATTCTAAAAAAGTACCTCTGTCCTGTCCTTCACTGACCAACCCAAAAACCATCACCCGGTTATCGATCACTACAGCCACAGGAAGGATACGACGGTCAATTCTTTTTATTCCTTTACAGAACAAGTTGTGCTATCATATTATCTTGCGGATTACAGTGACGTGCTCGAAATGCCGCCTTTGAATCCTTCCGTCCGGTATATACCGTCGACTATTTAAGTCTTGAAATGATCAACGGCCCCTTCCATCAGGCTGGATACATGTGAAGACTTCAATTCAGGCGATGGAGTGCTTATGTGAGGGCCCACGCAACGTTATGGGAATGTTCTCTATGTGATTCGCCGTCGGCTACAGGTTTTTGGACCGGAAACTTGAAGAATTCACCGTTTTCGAACGGCAGCTTTCGCAGGCGATATGTTGTGGCCCCCGCCCACTATTCAATGGAGTTGCAAGGCGTTGTTTCTCAACCTTGATAAGCTTGTTGCTCTTCTGATCGTACCGTAACGTGGCGTACATACTGCGGGCTCAGGTTGTGAAATTTTATGTTCTTTCTTCAGCTCCCTTGTTAGGCCGAGTAACGAGCTCGAAAGGGCCAGGTGGGAGCGGGCCGAGTGGCTGCGTGTAATTCAAGAACCGCTGACCCAGACCACTGGTCCAAGTCGCGGTGGATATCTACGTCGTGGTAGCTCAACGGCTGATAGTATGGATAGTCGTTGAACTCGACGCCCGTCATGTCCGTAAAGTGATGGAGCAACGCAACGTATCTAATTCCCGGTGCACTAAAACTAAGGGGTAGCTAGGAGTACTTTATCTCCATAACGCGGTTCGTGATAACTTAGAAAACAAAGAAAGTAAACAGGGATTGGCGAGGCAGAGATCCGGCCAATATTGAGGGACTACTGAAGGTCGTAGCAGGACAGTAGTAGATATTTCTCCGGAAGAACTCCCTATTAAGGTTTCCAAAAGGAATGGATTACCGAAATGCTTAATGGCACTACTTGGGGTATTTGACCCCTTGGGGACCGAAAATGCCCCGGCAAGCTCACTACAAACTCCCGACGACCTTGGGAGACAAAACCGGAATTTGCTGGAACCCCGTGTTCCTTTTGTGGAGGGGTGTGGCACTGACCAACCTTTTTAGGGGAAGTATGGAGGGTAACTTTCAGATTATTTACAGAAAATAAAAAATTCTCTTATCTAACTGGTGAGATGAGCTATTTTAAAATGTATTCCGAGGTCGGGGTGGGGTTCGCGGGGGGCTGACCTGTAGAGACACCATCATGACTCGACCCAACCTTATGTGACCAACTAACGGAGTGGTCAAGCAGGACCGCGAGTCAGGGTCGAAAACCTGACCCTAACCTGATCCGCGGCCGCCCTACTCGCTCTCTTTGCCCCGGCTTACTTCGGCCAGATAAGTGTTTCAAATATGTTCTAGGAGCAATTCGGGCCTGAGGAGCACCATAGATTTTCTGCATTTCTCTGTGCTGCAGAAGTCGATAACACAACTAAAGTACAAGGTCTTCTAGTTGAAAAAATCTACAAGGGCCATAGGGATCAGAAAAGACGCAGCCCTCTAGGGATAGCATATATAATTATCGTTATTGCGTTGTCAAGGTGCTGCCGAAACTGGACTGGTCGACGTCAACTTAAGGGATCAGTTCGGTGAGTCAACCATCTTCCTTGCTGTATCCAGGACAGACTTTTTATCCTAGCGGCTACATGGTTGTGCGCATTCTATTACCCACAATAGAAAGGCTTGATATTGCCGATTATGTCAGCAAAACGCTATTTTCCCATCGCAGAAAGAGTGTTAGCCAATCTGCAACCACCAGAAAAGAATGGCAACCACCTCATATTACGCCTAGTGAAGAGGCAGCCGAGCTAAACCCACCTGCGGTATGGAAAAACGTTCTGGATTTCAGAGTGTTGGGTACCACTGCCAGCGTTCTTGTTGAGTCTTCTGTTCGGTGGATAGATGTGCGCAGTAATAATAGGGAAAGTTCAACCTGCGCGCGACCACACTGTCCGCGGGCGGATTCGTAGATACCCGACTGAAGGAATTGAATATGAAAGGAATATAACCAAACCTGTAATTAGGACTCACACTGTTTGTAATCAGTTCCACAAGTCCTTCCTCGAGCGTTGAAGTTGGTGAGGAGGCTAGGCCGTTGCGAAGGTATAGTAAGCCAAATAACCCTCATTGGGCGGAGCCCATAAGCTGTTTACTTCAGGTCCCGACACTGGGTGGAATCCCGTAAGCCGTTGCTGGATGGCGTTATAAATCGCTTAAGTCTATGAGAATTCATCTTCGAAATCTTGAATTCAATTTGTAAGCACTCGCGCTGATATTTAACCGTTGAAATATCCATGATGGACTCCAGCAAGGTATATAACCACCGCAAATCCCCAACATTATCCTCATTCATAATTTTCGCAGCCTTTCACTGCGCGGTTCTGGTACAATTAATATGTCTCGTCCTCTTGTCCTGATAACCGGCGCCAACCAAGGCGTCGGACGGGCCACAGCCCAGATACTCGCCACAAAGCACGACTACCACGTCATCGTCGGCAGCAGAAACCCTGAAGCCGGTGAAGCAGTCGCAGCCGACATCCGCAAAGGGGGACATCAAGCAACATCTCTCCAGCTCGACCTCACCTCCGAAAACTCCATCAAAGCTGCAGTGTCCACTATTGAACGCCACTTTGGCTACCTCGACGTCCTTATCAATAACGCCGGGATCCTCATCGACGGCGAAAACAGCCTTACCCCCTGGGAAATATACTCTAGGACATTCACAACCAATGTTATTGGCACCGGTGTCTTGACGGAATACCTTGTCCCACTCCTCCGAAGGGCAAAAGCTGGCCCGCCGCGAATTGTATTCCTTTCTAGCACCATGGGGAGCCTAGAAAAAGCCACGGATACATCGCTCCCCTGGTATCCCATCGATTATAAGGTCTATGATGCGAGTAAGGCTGCTGTGAACATGCTTATGCTTAACTATGCGCGTGTGCTGGATGCCGATGGTGGGAAGGTTAATGCGGTTTGTCCGGGGTATGTGAAGACGAGCTTGACCGGGTGGAATGAGTATGGAGTGACGCCGGAGGAAGGGGCGAAGAGGGTTGTTGAGATGGCGACTTTGGGGGAGGATGGGGAGACGAGAACGTTCAGTAGCTCTAAGGGACCTATTCCTTGGTGACTGCAAGACTTTTAATTTTGATGGCACTGTTCACATAGGTACATGTCCAATTCATCACAATAACAACATGTTTGTCGTGGTCTGATTTTTTGCCATCCTAGCTGACCACTGGTGCGTAGCTGCGCTATATTATTCTGCGCATACATTGAGAAATGTGCGCTTAACTTTACGGCCATCTGTACTGGTAAAACCCCTGTTTGTATGATGAATGTAGAGAGACAGTCCAACCCCAGCAGAACAGACAGTTAAAGTCGCACTGAGCCGAAGGCTTGATTGGGTGGATCTGCCAGGTATGTTTCTGTGGGTTAGTTCGGACACATTCAAACGCACACTGAAGTCATCTCGGAGGCTTAAATGAACTGAGGACACCTGTTGCAAACTTAAGGGAGAGAGCAGAATCTTCAGTGCAACAGAAGCCACCTATTCTCCTAGCCAATGACCTAGTTGACACCGATCGACACAGAATGACCGCTTCAATTTTCTGAATGGCAGGAAGGAAGAATTCACAAATAGGACTCTCCGACATATATATACCGCTGTATATAGCAGCGAGTGACAATGAGATATCAGAGGCGACAAAGGGCACTGACGAAGACCTTGTTCTGGCACAGTGCCTTCTGCCAACTGTTCTTAGACGAACACCAAGTAAAGGTTCCTCATGACGAGAATTGCCGGCCGCCATCTGGTGAGGGCTGATGACACTATCATTTCTCATCGTACCCAGCGCAATCAGAATGAACAATCTGTCGATACCAACACCTTTTGCGCCTTGTACTTCAAGGGAAATGGCGGACCGCAGAACCCTATGTCAAGTTATTACCCCGCTCCATGACGTATAACTGGAAAAGTATTGCTATAACTCCGACACTATCCAGACTCCGTCGAGGAAGGCGTGCGTGACGAAGGACCCTTGGTTTCCGGTTGCGCCGATTATGGCGATTTCTTTCGACGTTTTGAAGGGTGATTTCGGGGTTGGTTTTGGAGATGCTGGCTATTTGTGACTGGTTGAGGGTGGATTATGGCTTACTCGCCGGTGATTGGACGAAAACCCATAAGCCACAGCAGATTTCATGTATGATAAAATTACTAGATTGCTCACCGGGTCTGATTGGTCGAGACTCTGCTTTATTTTGCAGATTTCAAGCTCACTGCCAGTGCTCAACTGCCTTTTAAAGTTCCCCACCGCTTCGCCCCTAGTCCATCGCCAACAGAAGAGCGTCAGCCAACCTCGCGCCATCTTCCTCACAAGACCTAACTGCCAACAGAATCGTATGAGAGGCTCCCTCCAGTAATCCACTCTATTGCAAATTACAATGCAGCAGACACCGGCAGCGCAACCGAAACCGAAAGTCGCCAGACCGAAGCGGGTTATTACTGAGGCGCGGAAGTTGCAGAATAGGGAGGCGCAGCGGGCCTATCGTGAGCCGTTCTGAACTGGTTTTGGTGGGTTGGCTAATAAGTATCTAGGTCAAAGGCAGAAGGAGAGGTTGCAGAAGAATAAGGCTAGAACGGGGGAGAAGGGGGGTTCTAGTCGGTATCAGCCGCTTCGACCGTGTCCTACTCCTCATAATGTCGGAGGCGAGGCTTCAAGTGGTCCAACTCTTGGAGGTTTCGGCCAGTCATATATTCTGCCCGACGCATCAAAAACTCCGTTCTGGACGCCTTCGAATGAACATCTGCCAGCGTCACAATCAATTAGGAGCTCGAGTGTCAATCCAAACGGTGGGGTGGGCATCCTGGAACTCTTGCTTACGAACTCAACGCCCAACTGGAGCCTCAACGTCGATTATCTGCTGGCCGAGTCCAATGATCAACCTTTTTTCCCGACATCCGCAGAAGAAGTCAACGATGAAAGCGCGGAACACTTCACTGCAAGCACCTCAAAGTCGGCCTCGGCCTGCACACCCCAATTCTCCCGGCAGGGACACAGCCCTCATTTCACATCATCAATGTACCTCGCAGACCCTTACAAAAACCGCCTCCAACCCTCCAAAACAACCCTTTTGTCCGCCTGCCTGTACAACGCCTCAACGATGGGAATAAACATCGAAGAGTTCTTCTCGTACAACTGCATGTCCCTATGCTCTCCCTTCTACCGCCAGGCAGCCTCCTCCACGGACCCTCAGAAACTCCTATCGGAAGTTTCGGCGTCGTACCCTCTAGTGCCCGCAAACCTCCGGCCGACCCTCCCGCAGATCCTAATCCCGCACCATCCACTATTCGATCTCGTTCCGATCCCAAATTTAAGGTCAAGGGCAATTATACTCTCAGCGGCCGCGCCGCATTTAGTTAACATGTTCGAGCTCAAAGGAGACATTCTTGAAGGGGGGTTACTTTGTTTGGGTTCCAGGGGCGGGAGTGGGAGTGGGCAGCCGTGGGAGGTGGGGAGTTGGAAGGTTGCGCCGTGGTTTTTCGAGAAGTGGAAGTTGTTGTTGGATAGACATGGGGGGGATCTTTGGGGTGAGCCCCCTTTAGTCAACCATTTTTCTTGTTGATAGGGGCTGAACACTACTTCATATGCGAGCCATTTCGAACATATTGTGACTCTGAATCAAGAACTCCTCCATGTCCCAGAGCGCTCGGTCCTGGCAGCATTCACTGCGCCCTCTCAACGAAGTGCGTAACACCATTCTCCGCCATGGGCCTCCATTCTTCCGATGATACACAACGTCTTTCCTCAATAAGGCGTATCTCGGCCACTGCGAGGAGGTCTTCCTCTCGAATGGTGTAAAATCGACATTATGATACAACATCCCATTCTTCAGGCTCAAACAGCTTCAACGCACCCTCTAAGCACCAGATCCGCCTTTGACGATCGTCCTAGAGACGAGCTCATCACGAGCATGATCACAAACGTAATGAGGAAGTAGATGAAACCTGTGACGCCTCCCTAACGGAGATACTCCGGGTTAGTTTTCGAATTACCATATTCCCTCTTCACTTCTCCTCGATTGCCTTGCACCGGCGCTAGTATTGCGACTTGCAACTTAATCAGAGGTGATACCTGATCAACACGCTGCGAACGGCTTCGTAGTAAAAAAAGAAAGTAGAGAGAGATATGAGGTGCTGGCTGAGCTCTCTCCTCCAACTATAGGCGCGCCATTTTGATTTGCGTTTGATCGTTATGATTGCATGTTCTCAGGCAGTCGTTCACTGATGTGGTCTTGCCTTCCGATTATTCACTCAATAATCATCTGATAGCACCCTCCGTATCAACAACAGCTTCCTCCCCATCGCACCGCGTCCCTCCCACGCTACATATGCTTGGAGCAAGTGATGCAAGCTGTCTACATTTTCAGTGCCTCCGTCAAACACAAAATGTAGCAGCTCCACAATGCTGTAGATGCGCTCATCAGAACGAGTAAAGCATACCAAAGCGATTGTTAAGCGTTGGAGGGCCGCTGCAAATGAGGCTGCCCAGCCTGAATTTAGAGCTAATCGGTAGAGGCGAGCGTGACCCAGGAGTACTTCGTTACTGTCCGTCACTGAGCTACAATAGTATATGACATTGGGACTTTCCTGCTGATGATATCTGCTAGATATATTCTCTAGGATATGCTATTTCTCAGAGTGCAGCTAGATGCAAAGAGAGCTAAGCATATTAGTACCTAGTAGTAGAATAAATAGAGCTAGACGTCGGAAGATTGCCACCCGCGCTAGCATATATTTTCCAACTTATTGAAGCTACTCAACGTAAAAAATATTTTGCATACCATTCACCTGACTCTGACGGGGCATTGTGGTCAATAGCTTAGCTAGTACATTATTAAATCTAATAGCATAGAATCCAGTCCAGAATGGCGGGGGATCTGAAAGTAGGTCATCCATGCCCTTTTGAGGCAAACTTGTGATATCGTCCTGTAATTTGCTGATCTAATTTGGGCGAGATTTTTACTCGTCTTTCTGTCCAAAATAAATAACTTTCTCTACTTTGTTCCTAAGTTTTGCCTAAACCCGTGTCTCAGCTGCCATGTGGGAGAGAGGGAATACTTCAGATTGAGTGGAGATACTGTTTACTTCATGGCGGCTTGATGTGGTCCTTGCTTGGATCGTGAACTAGTTGGGATTCAGAGATAGGAGTATATGCTGAGATGTACCCCCTAGCTATGACTTGGGGTATAGCTGAGCTCATGAATGATGCGCAGGGTAGAATATTATTATGCTCTGACCTCTGAAAGGGTAATTCCGTAAAGTACATATTTTCTTTCTAGTACTATTAGGATTAAACCCTTTCTCCATGCTTTTACCTGTTCGTCGTCCCAGAGACTGGGCGAATGAGAGAAACCCGCATGACTAGGGGAAGTTAATGTGGACTCTGGATTAACAAAGTTCCTGTTCCTGTAACCCTCTGCGGATAGTATTCTACAGCCAGAGAAGATTGAATGCGATTATTATCTGTGCAAAAATGAGTCATAAGTGCCATGGCCATGCAGCGCGCAAGCATTATATTAGCTATACAGACGGGTGTAAATAATATCGACATTACTACTGGTTGAGAGGTCTTAGAAATAGTAAAGGGTTAGGACAGGCAATTCAATGACAAGAGGAAAGTAAAGTACTAGTGATGTGTGGAATTGCCCAGAGTCTGTCAAGCACTGATAGCACAGGAAGCAGCTAGGGCTTAATACTCTTTATCATCAGTCACTTCTAACATTGCTTATGTCATTTAGTGTGGGCCATGAGCCTAGACAATGCATCACTGACATAATAATGGTCTCATGATGTTTTTTAGCTATTGACTGTTAATCTAGACTCTGATGTCACGGTGCCAACTCATATGTTGCCTGAGGCACCGTCGAAGCCTTATCACATGACCCACACTGAGAATATCCTGCATCCCAATCTGCCTGCTGTTTGTAGCTCCTCGAGCTACGTCTTGTCTATGCACCTGCAGATAGCCTGACCCGTAGCTAGAGTTCATGAGTGTCAACTACCTATCTATTACTGCCTGCTCTCCCTGTAAACCAGTTCCGTGACATCTGATAGCCTTTGTGTTTGTATGGTTGCAGGAAGCTTTACAAAAGGGGTTAGTCTATGTTTAATTAGGTTGCTATTATTCCATCCTGTTACATGAAGTGACACATGATTCATTTTGAGAATCATATGATTGACACTCTAACACCAGACATGACATCATGATATTGTTACATCCAGAAGAACAATTTGCCCAACAGTTTAATAATTTGGAAACTCCATATCTAAGTCGCCTCCCCTTCTCAAGGCTGAAAAATCTTTTGTACTTTCCCCCTATACAAAACAGCAATTATATCTCCCCACAGGCAACCGCCTACACTTATCAACCTCCTTGTTGGAAATAGTGACTTCGGCAGATCATAAAAACAATGTCCACCCCGCGAATTGAGCACTACACGACGGATGTCCACGCCCACTGGGAAGGGATCCATCCGCAGGATTGGGCTGAGGTCGATCTAATCGGATACGAGAATGCCATGGATAAGATGTATCGGACGTTGTGTGAAAATCCGGATGCTGCTCTAGTCCAAGTTGGCCATAGGTCGAAACTGCTCAATGATCATGGCTCTGACTATCGGTTCAATGGAAAATTTACAAGCGAGCAGACTAAACCAGAGCGCAGTCACCATGACTATAACCATTTTGGCAAGTTGATGAAATGGGAAGGCGATCGTTGGTACAAGTATGATTTCGAAGTGGAAGTGACAGATCACACCAGATCTGAATGACGCGATGGTATCAAGCTTGGATTGTTAAGGGCTTTACATGGAACAATTGAACTATTTTGTGGCGTCTTTTCCAGAACATTTGGGGCTAAGTTGACTACAATGCTCAGTCTTTTTGGCGGTCAGTCGATCCAAAAATCCTATCAAAGAGGGTATACGCAGATTATTTGGAGACTTGCACAATTGCTATGCCTACCCGACCAATTTATTAGGAGTCCCCTGCCATGATTTTTGACAAGGAGCAGAAATCATAAGGCCGGCAAAGGCGACAATCCTCGTAGTGTCTATTTACACATCAGGCAGGACAGTTCTCACTTGTCTTTAGCAAACACTACTGCGGTTAACAAGCCGCTAAAGCTCTCACTATATAGTCAATATCGACTTATACCTGATGTTTCGGGCGTTGTTAGAGGTCTAGGTCTTGGCCATATGGTATGGCGATGTTTAGGAAGCTATGTATTGCTCTGAGAGGGCATGGTTCGATTATTGAGACGAAAATATATATGCACTAGGACTTGCAACCACGCAGAGAAGAGAATGAAGAGAATAGTTAAACAGCACTGTTCGTGACAAATTCTCCTTTGCACCGAGTCATCCATATCTTTGAGTACCCTGCGTTATTTACCCCGTCACGTTGGACTCCATCCTGCACCTGCTATTCCCTTCCATCGCAGGGCCGGAGCAGTCTCTCCAGGAAGCGGTGCCGCCGTTCTCGTTTGACCGGATCTTCATTAATGCTTCTATTTCCTCCACACCGGGGACACAGCTTCATGGGTACACCACTGCTCAAGAGACGAGCTGCACGACCTGGATGAGCACCATCGGTGTATCAACCGAGGGGTGGCCCATGCCGCTTATTCTAATGGAAGGCCTGGGCCTCGTATCACCAGGCGCCACTGAGACTTCTCAGGGACCGGCAGAATCCCATGCAGGCTGCTTTGGCATGGTCTGGCATGAGGTTGCTGAGTTCCTGTCATTTGCACAGGTCAAGGAGTTGATCTATAAACGCACTACCCCGAATAACGACGATGAGTCTGTTTTAAAAAAGTTGGTGTTCGTCGGTCTCGTCCATATTCACTGCATCCTGGGTTGGTTCCAGTCCAACGGAGTCGATGCCGTGCCCTAGTCAGGTTTCTTCAAGCTCTACTATGAGTGGATGCAGGATATCATCAACAAATTCCCTCCGCTGCCTACCCCTCCAGCCAAGTTAAAGGAAGAACTCCACGAGGCACGCAACAAGTGCATTCTGTCCAAGTCCGGGGATTTCAGTGTTCAGATAGTGGACCGCATTGGATAGGACCTGGAAAGTATCTTCAGGCACGAAATGGAGCCGTTACAGGTGATGCTGGAGGATGATCTGCTCTATGATTTTTAGTAAGCTGTTCTCGAGTCAACCTGATACAAGTTAACAGCCAACATAGATGTCCAACAACCGCGGAACCTCTGGAACGAGCTTCAACACGAACGTTGCTGAGTATGTCGGTTTGATCGCGGACAAATCCCCAGGCCTCCGAACCCTGAAAAACGTTGCCGGAACTGGAGGCACAACCTACTATGTCCTGGAGAGGCTGTGAAATCCTGACGATACCAGTAAGGTGCAAAACTACACTTTCACCGACTTCAGCCCCGGTTTTCTGGCTAAAGCCGCCGAACGATTCTCCAAGGACGCAGCAATCCTGGAGTTTTTGACGCTGAACATCGAAGAGGATCCGCTAGCACAGGGTTTTCAGGCTGAGTCATTTGACCTGATTGTATGTGCCAATGTCCTGCATGCCACGCGGTCAATGCAGGAGACTGTAGCCCACTGTCGGTGCTTTCTGAAACTGGGAGGCAAGCTCGTGCTGTCAGAGGTGACAATCGGCGGCCTCGGTGGTATCTGCCGTGAGATCAGTCGCTGGCTAGCGGAGAAGGGCGTGAAGAATCTGGTTTCCCTGTCCCGGTCCGCAGCGACTGGTGACGCGAATATTGCATTTATAAAGAATCTACGGAAGACGTATGGAGTGAACGCGATGGCGTTTAATTGCGACGTCTATATCGTATAGCAGGGATATCAAATCATCATCTAGTAACAATATCGAATCTCTGACAGTCGATGATATGAGAATGGTGGTGATATGTATATATATATATGCATTCATTGACCTTCGAGGACCATCATGGTTCAAGACTAATTCCCAATCGCCACCTATTTAATCCCTAGATATTGAATCAGTATTCTAAATATGGATTAAATGACTATAATTACTACATATTAAACATTAATTTTCTATAAGCATGCTGGATAGGCCCTAGGTAGGTGGTGCTGTGGCAGAGGTAATGTTGAAAATGTTTATTTGGCTGGTTTGTAAATTCAGCCCGCTGTACTAACAAAACAAAATCAATACAACATAGTGGAGCATTCTTGGTAATTTACTTGACATTTGTCCAGTGTTGTCGTCATGCAGGTAGAGCTGTGTCTCTTTCCTTTTGTTCATCCCCCTTTCATCCTTCCCCTTACCATACAAAAGAGACAGATCTTTCTCCCATTCCTTCACCCACTACGTAACCTGCAGTGCTTTCATGTCAGGCACCCATTCTGTGCCACTGAGGGTTACATTGTGGAAACCAGGCAGGCCAACTACGCAAAATGACAGACAATTTACACTGGGGCTGCCAATGGCGCTCTTCAAAGGCATTCACCATATCCACTATTATTGTGGCACTATTCGCGGAGACATTTTTGTATGGCTTTATTGTGCCTATCTTAAGTTTTATGGTTGATGTCCGCCTGCGACTGCCTCCATCTCACACCCAGCGCTTGACCACCGCTTTGCTCACAGTGCATGGCTTTGTGTCTATCGCCTCTGCTCCAGTTATTGCCCATTTCACAGATAAATCCCCAAACTGTAAAGTGCCTCTTTTGATTTCCTTGGCGGGATGCATGATAGGAACATTCTTGGTCGCTTCTGCCACCACCGGTGAGTATGGTTCCAATCTATAGTTCCAGTTCCAATATATCACTCAAAATTAAGGCAGCAGACTAATAGCACTCAGTATGGACACTTTTCATGGGCCGCATCATGCAAGCATGCTCTGGCTCTGCGACCTGGATCATCGGGTTTGCGACCTTAGCAGATAACGTGGGCCAGGAGCACATGGGCAAGGTCCTCGGGCTCGCAATGTCCTTTGTAACGGCCGGCACGACTTTGGGACCGGTGGTCTCCGGTGCACTACTTCAGTTGGCCGGGTATTGGACTGCGTGGTCTGCTCCTCTCGTCTTACTGGCCTTGGATTCTATGGCTCGTATGCTTATGCTCGAGAAAGAGAATGCTGATGAAGAACCCACGACTTCGGATGAAGAACGAGCGTCTTTGCTCGCTTCTACGAGACCTGAGTTCGAGATGCCTGATCAGCCAAGTCACGTATCTATTATTAGACTCTACGGTGTCCTGCTCAGTGATGCTCGCATTATCACTGGTCTGCTGAATACGTTTGCGTTCTCTGTTATTCTGTCTGGCTTCGATGCGACGCTCCCGCTTCATTTACAGGATGTTTTTGGGTGGAACAGTTTACCGATCGGTATGATTTTTCTTGGGATACAAATCCCTGCTATGTTGCTGGGTCCGTTAGTTGGATGGCTCCGGGACTGCATTGGAATACGGTATCCTACTGCTCTAGGGTGGCTTTTGATCGCTCCGCTGTTATGGACAATTGGTGTGCCGGGCGTTCCAGGACATCCATGGGCTGGCTCAGAAGGATATGGAGAAGCCATATTCATCGGAGGAATTGTTGGAATTGGTGCTGCTTCGCCGTTAGTTCGCGGTGCAGGAATGTTTCAGTTGACGGGTTTGTCGCCCTACTCTTCCCTCGATAAGCAAGTGCTGATGAAATATTAGCTGTGACACATGATCTACAATCTGAAAACCCGTCTTTATTTGGTTCCTATGGGGGAAACTCGAGGATCTTCTCCATTTTAGAGATCGCCTTCAATACCGGAGCAATGATTGGGCCATTGTTTTGTGGATCTCTTTCAGAAGCAATCGGTTTTTATTACATGCTTTGTATACTTGGTATGAGTTTAAAGACTAGAACAGTCGGAACATGCTAATTGTTGCAGCTATTCTGTGCATCGGGCTCGCTTTATCTTCCTTTTTGTTTCTAACCAACCACAAAGTGGCCAAAAGGTCTCATCGGAGTCCTTCCGTCTCCAAAGACTGTGCAACTGTTTAGAAACCTTCGAGATTAGACAGCTCTGGCATGAAGCTTTGCGCTGAGCGTGAACGGGCTCTAGGAACAATATTGCATATGATTTTACTCCCACAGTCGGGTGCACACACTATCAAACACATATCCCGGTATATTTACATAGTGGTTCAATATCTAAAACGCAAACGAACATCCCAATTCCACCACGGTACTCATTGCTCCACAGACATTTTATTTCTCAAAAGGTCGTGCATCCCACCGTACTCGTCGTAAATGGCGGGCCGGGTCTCGTACTGAACTTCGCCCATGAAGCCACCGTGTATTATCCATGAGAATGACGGATCCCTTGGGAAGGTCCTTGGGAAGGTCCTTGGGAGTCGCGTGAAGAGTAAACAAACTCTTTTCTTGGAGCAAGGCATCTTTTAGTTCAGCCAGAGATGCTTCCGCCCGGGTGGTCAAAGGGGTCAGGATATCGTCTCGAAAGCGTAGCCGCATTGGCTCACCAATGTCGTTTGTCCCCAGCACACATCCCACAATAGATCAAACCCTCCTTTCATGAACTCGGGTGGTACTTTGATCAGTGTGAGGTGGGTATGGTGTATTATCCTTTGTACTACTCCGTAGTCAAATACAAGCAGAATGAAAAGAATGAAAGAATGAAAGGGAATGGAAAGAAAGATGAAATACAATACAACTACAAAGACGGAGCCAAGAGCAGGAACAGATTACATACATGAGCTGTATATACGGTGGATACCACTAGTTAAGCATGAACCTAGGCTCTATCACTCACCAATGCGGCCCATGGTTCAATACAAGATATCATGGGTTGTCCCGCGTTCCCCGCGGGATCTACCCCTAGATTTGCTAGGTTTGAGTGACTGGATGGCTGGCGTAAATCCCGGAACCCTCGATCGTCCCTGGATCTTTGGATCAAGTCAGAAAGGACCCTCTAATCTCGTACGTGTGTATTTGTCATAGTCTCATGCCTCGCGATATGTTATACGCCCTGCAGCTAGTATTCCCCCAAAAGCATAGATCTACATAATTGATATTTTGGTCTGCCTGGGTTATGTGGCTGGCTGAGATGCGGCAGTGAACTCCACACATACTTCATCCTGGAGGAATGACCATGTGGGTCTTGCGAACTGGTGGATCCTTATTCCATAACTAAGAGTAGTGAAATGATACCGTTCCTCGGGTAATTCAGACATCTTACTCTTAGGTTCTCATAAGATCGGCTGGTTTGCGCCACATGTAGTTCTCTATGCATGATTGGAGCAGGACAGCACGATGAATGATCCTGCATGTACAGGTAAATCAGCCTTTTCGTTTTGCTAGAGATCAGCACGGCACTACTGTAGCCCCTTGCGTCGTGCTCTCCCCAATTCAATGTATTTTGTCATGGTGTGGAGCTGGCGGTACGTTATGAATGATTGCCCAAGGCTTTGCTTTCCAACCCTATCTCCCACCCCCATTCGATATCCCCACTGTATGGCGACTTGAATCATTTAATACACCCAAGGAAAGAGAAATCAAAATCTAAAAACAGTCAGGTGCTTATTGCTGGCAGAAAACCATGAAATACTGATATATTGAAAGTCCTAAATACGTTATTTCGGTTTAGTCCCAATGGCTTGCCGTACGAGGATGTACATAAATTCCCAACTTCCACAATCCCATTTGGAAGAAGAGTTTGAATTCTCGCTGCGACCATGACTTCTCTATTTCTATGGATCGTTCTATCTGAGCAAAACATAATAACCCTGCTGTTTCATTATTGAAGCCCAATCGCAATTAAAGGGGCCTGACCTTCTGGCTTCCCAACACTTCTCCATGATTCTAAACGCTTCGAAACACGTCCCAACCGTCGATTCTGTAATCTCTGATGCCGAGAAAAGGGCACAAAAGAAGTTCTGCTGTTCCTCCAGGGCTAGACAGCCAGCCACGCAAAATGGCCAGACTAATACGCTTTGTAGCAGTCTTGGGTCCCACAGGCGCTTGAAAACAGCGATAACTTGTGAGACCGCATCTGCGATCTCCGGTAGCTCCGGGTGTGCCCCGGAGATCACAACATGGAGATAGATTAGTGCTGAGAGGGCAAAAAGCCTGTTAACGTCGGGGTCGGCGGGGACCGAGAGCACTTTTGAGCGATTTAACAACGATGGGCTAGTTTCCGGCAAAGTGTCCATGTCCGCAAGTTCCTGTCGAAGGCGTTCCTCGATCTGGCGTCCACGCTCCGCCAGGTCGATAATGCTTAGCTTGCGGATCGCCTGCGACTCTTCCTTCCACCTGTCCAGCGAGGAGATCTCGAAGATCAGGGCCATGACTGAGTTGCTACAGCCGATGATACTTTCCAATGATATGCAGGGGTTACGCAACACCTGTGCGTGGTCAATATTCAGAAAGGGGGGCCGCCGCGTGGAGGCGGAGGCGATGATATCAAGCGATATAAAGGAGCCAAGCAAGACACCAGTCGCGCAATGATCGTCGGGAGAGAGTGTTTCTATGTGGTGTGGAGGGTTTGTGTGGTCAGAACCGGCCGGTTTTGGTTTCAGCGGTGTTCGCGCCTCTAGAAGGCCGGGGATCAGGCGAGCGGCTTCACGAAGAAGGACCTGCCAATTCCCTCTGCCGCCGGCAAAGAGCTTGATCGTTGAGTGATTGAGACTAACAAGGAAAGCAGTGGAGGTGACATACCTCCCAGAACAAGAGCTGAAGGATGGACGCGAGAGACTCGATATTGTGAACCATATGAGCACTTCTATTCCATGTATGTGATTCTTGCAGCAAGCGCTGTGTTCCTTGAGCTGCCAGGTCGTGGTACCCGCCCTTGGCGCGCAGTTGAGTCAGGCTGGTAGTGACATCGCCCTGTTGCGGATGGACAGAGAGAAGGTCTCGTTCACCGAGGGCCAGAGTGGCCAGATAAGCGGGCTTGACCATCCTTATAATCGAGAACAGGCAGGCTCTTCCTCGTAGGTTTCGGGAGAGGTAAAATGGGAACTGGATGTAGAATACCCGATCCAGATAGTGCATAAATAACGTGTCCTCTGCTCCTCTTTGTCGGACTGGCTCAATCAGAGCCTCTGGCGGGGCCCTATGTTTTTGGTCATTTCCAGAAGCCACAAAATCTCCTGGAGCAGTGGGCTTTCCGGCAGCATAGTCACTCACACCGACCTGACTGGGGAAGCCGTTACCATTTGAAGAGGAGTCCCATGCCCATTCATCCACCATTGAGAGGGACCGTCCATTCGTGGCATATCCCATCTCGTCTTGTTGCACGATTGCATTCCGCACAGCCTTTACGTCATGCACACCCATCATGTCGGGGGCAAGCCATGATAAATCTCCAGACGATCCGGGCGATAATGAGCTTTGCGTTGAGTCCATGTTCCTGAAAAATGCAGATGGGTGTTGGTGATGTTCTTCGTTCACAAGGGACTGGGATGCAGTAGCTACATAGTCATAGTTGGGCAGAGCGCCCCATGTCGGGTCCATAAAGGAACTCAAAATTGTATCAAAAAACGGGCCATGGCCCCCGATATCATTGTAATCGTTAAAGGGGAGCGGCACGGAAGTGGATGACGATGCTATGTGTGGTGGCACGTCTTCAGTCGATACTGGCCCCAGACTCTGGTTACAATCCAGCGACGAACGCGCTTCCCGAGGTTGCTTTTCCTTTCGATTTGACGCTTTCCGTTGGCTGACAATCTGCTTAAATTTTGCAGCCTGTTCTTTCTGTAGTCTGCCATTGTCCATCCACTCGGGTCTTGGGCCGTATCCGTGGCACTCCAGCCCAAAATAAGAGCATGAACGACACACAGGCCGAGTTTCGTCACATTTCTTCTTGCGGACTCGACAGGTCCAGCATCCATTCAGACTCCGTGCGGCTGAATTGCCAATTATTCAGTAATTCGGTCTTGACCAGGGTAAATCTAAGCTTACCAAGCTTTACTGCTGGATCCATGCAGATTATGTAGATGGATACACTTTTCTGTCCGTGACCTAGGTGAAGGTACGCAGCCGAGACAACAGACTGTCGAAGAAGTTGAATTTCAAAGACCTTTACTATCCAAAATCTACGTGGAAACATCCGGTATATAGAGAATACCTGCCTAATCCGGAACATTCTTCAGTCTGAATTGACGCAGATGAGACGGACCGTTAACTTGCATCTATACGAGAATTGGCATTTCCGCACTGGCCTCTATACGAGAAACTGCCAATTCTAGAACCGGCAATGTTGATGATCTGCGGAGGTTCCATGAGTCTGCAGAGCAGACATTGGCTCTGATTCGGACAACCGCCGGCGGAAGGTTTTGATGAACTGCTGGGCTTGCAGTAGTGCTTCGGAGTGGTGCGTACTTGGTACCTTAATACTAGTTTAGCGAACTCTTGCAGCCAATACGTGAACCTTGGAGGGCATGGGGCGTGCAGACCAACACAGGAATGCAGGGATGTCACGCCGATCATTGCTGCCTCCTTCGTATTACTATATATCCTTTCACCCGGTCCTTGCTAATAGGGTAGCGAATATACGTCAATTGCCACCAAGCCGGATGTTTAGGATAAAAAGAAGGTCCGATTTCCGGCAATCTAGCCGTCTAACTGACTCTTTATAGTCCAACGATAAAACTCGGTAAAACCCCACAGTTAGGCGAGTTGAATTCATGGTAGAATCCAGATCTGATTGGCCCAGTCAAAATTTGTAAAACTCCGATCCGATTTCCGCCCAATTCGACATTAGATTGTCATCTCCTCTTACACTGGAGGACTACGGGGCCAAAGAAGGTTCACACGGGAGGTGCCATAGCAGATAGAGCAACTGGCGCTGAAGAACCTTAACCTAATTGATCCTCGATTTGATGTTTTAAGTATCCGCATCCACGAGGCCCGCTTCCGCCCGTAAATCGGGTTGCCCCCCCCAAAAATCTCCAGGATTCAACTGGCGGAGTATCGGCATGGTTGCATTTATGTCCCAAGACTCTTGGATTCTAGGCCTCTCGTGTTCCGTTAGGCGCACGGCCCATCTGGACGAAGTATAGAGCCGGATCTGTACTAAGGCACGACCGGCCGTAGCCGCCGGCCGGCGACCACCGCTGGAAGACCAGGCGAGCATCAAACTGGGAATAAAAAGAAGATAGAAAAAGCAGTACCACTCGCGTGTTGTAGACGGGGATTGCCCACAATATTAAAATGGTCAATCTGATGGATATAGATCCCGGTTGCGTGGTTGACATGCAGGTCACGGGACCTTTTGAAAGAGGCGCCGTGACATGTTTACACCACGTAGCAACATGGCAAAGGCCCATCCACATTGCATTTCTTGCATAGCTTTACGAACGAGCGGCCGGACCGGCCCCACCTACTTCAGATCCCCCCGTCGCGGGCCGCGGAAAAACGCGGTCCAAGTGGGAGAGCGGATTTCTTCTCCTCCCCTACTCCACGCCATCTGGTCGAGATCTCTCCATGGCGGCCCAGTTTGTGTGGGAGCTCGTATCCGGCATTCTAGGCGACGTCTCGCTTGTTCGCTAGCGTCTACTCCAAGTGACAGCGGTAGCGCTAAACAGGTCGCCGAGCGGCCAACGCGCGAGTGGAGATTGTGCCAAGGGCAATGACTCGTGTGGGTGAGTCTCAACCTAAGGTGCCTACACAATCATTTCCAGCGTAACAGAAATGATAGGCATATTCTGGTTGACGCAACCTTTTGGCCCCTGGCGGTAAAGCTAGGCCACTCCATGCTGTCCGTCTACGCGGGGTGTAGCGAGTCGACGGGGATCTCTTACTTTCAGCGGTATAGCACTGATCGGACGTCTTCTCCTCGAACCGCCCTCGATTAGACATTTTTCATACCTCTCCGGCTAAACCAGTTACCTAATGCCGGCGGCAGGTCAAAATGGCTCTCTGGTTCCGGCGCGGCGAGTATGTATGACCAGGCGCGCACGCGGGGCTCATGGGAGGGGCAGAGACAATAGAGAATGAGAGAAACAGTATTAGATTACCGGGCGTAGCGGTGGTGAACGCTTCTCCGTACTTAAATAATCAGAAGACTGTACCATAGTGTGTCCAATCTCAGCAGCATATTGTTTCAAGTTTCATCTTGTCTCTCTCGATATCACAATGACCCAGTCCAACGGCAACTCGGTATCCTCGGCGTCGGATCCATATCGCCTCAATCGAAATATCGCGGCTTCGACCCGTCTTAGCCTCCAGCATTACATCTGGAAGGAGAACATGGGATATCTCCTGCACCCGTCCATTGATGTCTCGCGCCCAGATCTCGCCATTGCTGACGTAGGCACGGGCACTGGGTATGGCTCGTCCTACGCTCGTCTTGATCGTTCAGAACCGAGCTAATTCCAATGCTCACTCAGGATTTGGATCCTCGACCTCCTCCGTCAACTCCCCAACGCAAAGCTCCACGGCTTCGACATCTCGAGCGAGCAATACCCCGCCCCCGGGTTCCTCCCGCCCAATGTATCCCTGAGCAAGCTCGATATCCTGGGCGAGATCCCGGAAGAGTACAGAGAAAAGTTCGATGTCGTCCATGCGCGACTGCTCGTGCAAGTGGTTAACCAAGCGGGCAGCGATCCAGTGCCCGTCATACAAAACATGATGAAACTGCTCAGTATGTGCCGTCTCCACCCACTGATGATGGTCCTCATGAGAAAGCCCCAGCTGACGGGGACACTACCTAGAACCCGGTGGCTACCTGCAATGGGAGGAGCCCAATGACGACGCGAGCAAGCGCCCGATCGTCAAGGCAGACTCTGCCAATTCATCCGAGAATGCCGAAAAGCTTCTGCAGCGCCTTGATGCTCGTTTCCGCGCCGCGACCCCCGCATCGTAAGTGATTCTTTCCTCCGTCAAGCTTCTTGAAAGACCGCTATATCGTGCCTGAGGTGACTGCTCACAACATGCTGCAGGTGGTCCGTGGCTCTAGCAGAGACATTCAAGGAACAAGGCCTGCAAAATGTGGTTCGGGAGGAATTCTCCACCGACACCTACCTGCTACTTCTGGACCAGACGAATTACCTCGGTCTATTTGGGGAGCTGATCAGCAAGTTGGAGGGAGATCTCAAGGAGGAGCTCACCAAACTGCATGCCAACACAGTTGCCGAGGCCAGAAACGGTCTTTCCTGGAAGGTGCGCCGCTTTGCTTTCGTGGGACAGAAGCCTTGATCGTTCAAGGGATTTGGTGAACCCTTAGCTCCCCTTTACCTTTAAATAGAGGACTTTGGAAATCAGAAATATACTCAGCTATTCAAAAAGGTGTAATTAGACGTAAAGCTAGCCGCCCTATACTTGGAATCTGTGACTCCTTCACTGTACAGTGGTAGTTCCTAATCATTAGTAGCATAAGGAAGAAGTGGTCCAGTAATAAATAAACATAAAAGTAATAATGATGTACCCGACGGTTACTGGACCTAGATAAGGATATCCTGGTGCGGACAAGAACACTGCATTGTGGCTGACATGATATATACTTGACAGTCTGGCGAGCTATATACCTATACGGACTGGCCATTCTCAAGCAATTCATGGGAATATGAGACTTTACTCGCCAATCCCTTAGCCAACAAACCCGCTATCTTTAAGATATTTAGACACTATAGTGTAGTAAACATGTAGAGATACTATATCACTAGACCCCCAGCTCCCCGATCACCTTGCTTTTCACCATGCCATCCAAACACCGAGTATACCATGCCAACGCCGTCCGAGCCTCCTCAGCCGAGAACGCTCTCTCATCATAGCCGAATCGCACAAGATACTCGCCCTTGGCCGCCGCCTTGACCACCTCCATCTGGATGGCATAGTTGAAAGTCATCCGGTTCTTGCTCATCTTCATGACCACCCAGCGCATGGGATCCTGCTGAGCGGTGACCGGCTCGAATGGCTGGAAGCAGAAGAGACATTTGGCGGCGGCAGTGGACCGATCGCGACCCAGAGCCTCATATATCTCACCGAGCGACACCAGGCCGTTCTCCGTCGACGCCCAGAAGTCCGCCTGTGTGGACCGGAGCAGGGTCTCAATTGGCATATCATCCGCCACATACGAAAGGTACGGCAGGAAGTTTGCGCAGTTCCCATTGATGAGCTGCGGGTTGTCGAGGGCGACGTTTCGCCCCGTCACCAGATTGTCGTAGATCACGTCCCGTGCGCCGCTGAGGTGGGCCAGGAGGAGAGAGTAGGCCGTCTGGAACACGATTGGGGCCGTTACCCCCGTGGAGCTGGCCAGGTCATTGATGCCCAGGGACGCGTCAATTTTTGCTACCTCGGTGCTGGATAGCTTTGGTTCGGTGACGGTGGATGGGAAGTCGAAGTAGTGGTTTTGAAGGAGGCGGGTCCAGTAGTCGAGCTGCGGCTGCTTCGGGGTGCGCAGGAAGTGCGTAATAAAGTCTTTGAACGGTGTTGGCTGCTGGATGGGCTGGTTCTGGTTGAGGGCCTGGAATTGGTCGTCAAAAATGTGAAGGAGGGTCCCGTCGTAGGAGGAATGATGCAGGTTGATGACCAGGTGGCGTGTGCCCTGGGAGTCCTCAAGCAACGTGTACCGTACGAATGGCTTTGCCGGATCAAACGGTCTTTGCCACTCGGCTTCCAATATGCTCTGCTTTTCTTCCTCCGTGCGGTAGGATCGATAGACGAGATTGAGAACGGGGTGCTTGAGCACCACTTGGACCAGCGTCTGCGCATTCTGGGAGTCGGTCTGCAGGTACAGAGCGCGCAGGATCTGGTTATTCTTCGTGAGCTGAGTTGTCAGATAGATCCAACGATCAAAATCCAAGCCGTCGGGTAGCGTGCGAACGGCCATCAGCTGCCAGAACCGGTCAGGCTTCTCTCCTTGCGTGAAGAACTCAATTTGGCCCGGGCTGCAAGGATAGATGTCCTCCACATCGTTTTTGGAGACACCAATTTGCTCGAGGCGTTGGTACACAAGTTCAGATGGCCGGTACACCAGTTGCTGGACAGTCTCAGCAGCAGTGCTGTCATCATTAGGTTGGTCCTTGACCATGAGCGCGGCTTGTTCCCGCAACGTGGAGCTGGACAGGATATCGTTGATCTGTATTTTGTATCCGCGCCGACGAAGCATACTGCCCAGGTTCAATGCAGAGATGGAGTCCCCACCGAGTGCATGAAAGGTCGAATTGGCGTGGATATCCTCGGCCGGGGTGTCAAACAGAGCAGACCATAGCGACTGCAATTCCCGCTCTGCTTCTGAGTTGATCTCCGATGTCTCGGAATGCGGCAGGTAGCTTTTCAGTACGCTGTCAGCCATGCCTTCAACCAGGGCTGTCAGTCGCTTCCGATCGATTTTCCCCGAGGTAAGACTGGGGAGTTTGGAGACAGGAAGCCATATTGTAGGGACCATATACTGCGGAAGAGTGGTCAGTTGCGCTTTAATTTGATCAACCCCGGGCAACTCAGTTGGGGCCAGGAGCAGGTCTTCCCCTGCTGCCTCGCCCGGTGTCTGGACTGATGAAGAGCAGAATGCGACGAGCTGCTTTTTCTTGAGGACAGTTGCGGCAATGACGGCGCACTGGCTGAAGACATTCGTCTGCCTGATAACGCTCTCGATTTCACCAAGTTCCATTCGGTGCCCGTTGATTTTGACCTGGTCGTCTTTGCGTCCAAATAGCTCAATTTCACCGTTGGGCAGCAATCGAGCAAGGTCTCCAGTTCGATAGAACCGTCGATCGGAAGTACCCTGGAAGGCCTTGTTCGTCGCCTCAGGGCGATTCAAGTAACCTCTGGCCAGCTGAGGACCGGCAATGCAGAGCTCCCCAACGCTGCCAGACGACAGTTCCTCCATTGTGTCCGGGTCAAGGATGAGTGCGGTGGTGTTTGGGAACGGGCGGCCGACGTTGCGAATGTTCATGTCTGGAGTGACTTGCCGAGTCGTAACGCAGATAGTCGCCTCCGTAGGGCCATACGAGGTGTACACTTTGATGCGGGGCGCCCAGACATTGAGCATGTTGTGCGTGACTGGCTCCCCTCCCGTGGCTAGAATCTCCAGAGTCGGCACGTCGTCCGGGTGAACAAGGCTGGCCATGGTGGGTGTTAGGTTGATTTGGTCTACCTTCATCTTGGTGATGACTTCGGCGAGGTTGCCGACGATGGTGTTCTGTGGAGCGACACACAGCGTGCGGCCAGTTGCCAGAGTCGGAAAGAGAGGATAGAAAGAACCGTCGAAAGTGTAGTTTAGCGACCACATTATCCTTCGGGAGTTGTCCTGGGTCGTAGCATAAAGTATACCTTCCAGGGCCGCGACAATGGCGCTATGGGGTATCAGTGTCCCCTTTGGCTTGCCCGTGCTGTACGAGGTCAATCTGTGTACACGATAGGCTTCTCAGGACGTTATTCCTTACCTGCCAGAGGTGTATATAACATACGCAAGGCTATTTGGATTAAGCCCAGGCACAATTTGCCGTTGGAGAGGAATTGTGTCCCATGCGATGGCATCGATGACGATTACTTCATAGGAGGTGCACTTGAAGAATTCCGCATTCAATTTATCGGTGATGACGAGTTTGGCACCGCAGTCTTCGAGGATTCCCAAGTTTCTTTCCCGGGGATTTTCTGGGCCAAGGGGCAAAAAGGCACCTCCAGCAACAAGGATGCCAAACATGGCGATAATGGTGTTGATCGACTTTTCGAGCATAATGGGGACGATCTGCTCCAGCTCCAGGCCCCGTTTCCTCAAGCAACCTGCAAGTTGGTTCATTTTGATAGCTAATCCCGCATAAGTAATCCGCGCTCCAGAGATGTCCTCGACCGCCGTCCAGGACGGATGGGACGCGGCAATTCTCTGCAACGCAGAGTGGGCTAGCTCGCCATCTGGACTCTCTACCCGATCTTCGACCTTGATAGTTTGCGCCCCGGAAACGGGCACATCGCCCACTGGATCATCGAGCCTATCCATGAGCCTGGGTACCGGTTGCACCAATTTGAACTCCTCAAGTTTGGTCACCGGTCCATCAGATGCTGCGTCTAAAACGGCCGCGAGGGTATCTGCAAGAGCCTGAGCATACCCCGGTTCCAATGTGGAGGTCAGAGTCACGCGGTTCAAGCTCTCGTTGCGAAGTTCAACTTTGCTATATTCAACCGTTCCCAGATTGCTCTCGGGCAGCTGCCTTAGTCCTCCAGCAGGCGTGGATGCGGGGATTTTGATTAAGAAGTTTGCCATCGTATCAAAGAGATCTTTCGGCTGGCCACTAGCCTTCAGGATCTTCCTCAACCCATACGGCGCATTGCTGGCGACGGCCCAGAGATTGGACTGAACATTTTCCAAGTAGGTGTCCAATGGTGTAGACTTGTTGACCTTGACCCTCAGCGGAGCGACCATGAGAGTAGGGCCGCTCATTTGAAGGACACCTGTAACGGGGGCATCTCGCCCGGAAAAGGTCACGCCCATGACCACATCATCGGTCGAGTTGGCAAGGCCAAGAACAATGGCCCACGCGGCGTACAGAAGAACGCCTGGTGTGACCCTGCGCTGCGATGCGGTGCTCTTCAGGTCACAGTGTACCTCGGCAGCAACAGTGTTTTCTGGGGCAACCTGGGAACCAAGGCGGCTAGGCACAGCACCGTCGAGATACTCTTGCCAGAACTTTTGCATGGCGACGGCGTCATGTTGTTGGAGATACTCAACGTAGGGACGGAACCCACGTCGCTGGATCCGGGGCGTCCCTTGCAGCACAGAGGTGAGGTCCTGGGTCAGAAACTCGTTGGACCAGAAATCAAAAAGCGCATGATGAGCGGTGATGACGAGGACGTCGTTAGGCAAGGCCGCCGCATTCCACCAAAGCTCCCCAGGATGCATCGCCTTGGACGTCTGTTTCTGCATGTACTCGGTCATGTCCATGTCAGACGTCTCCCAAGGGAGATCGGCAGTTTTCTTCACCACCTGGAGGAAGGAGGTTCCATGAGGGACATATGTTGTACGCAGCCAACCGTCGGACTTCATCAGGGTCTCGAAGGCGGCCTTGACATCATCCTGGCTGTAGCCCTCAAAGCTGTAGGAGCGACTGTAGATATAACTTGTACCGCCCATCATCGTGTTTGCAATGGCCGCTTCTTGGAAAGGGGTCACAGGAAAGGCGTCTTCTATGCCGGAGATGCTGATACCGAGGCTCTCAATGGATGGTGCCACTTGGAATAGCGCAGAAGAGCTGGTATCATTATCGGCTTTCTCCTCTGCAAGCTGTGGTTGCACGGCGGCTGCAACTTGGGACAGCGTCTCACCAAGAAGTATATCCTCGACCCGGAGGCTGAGTCCGTGGAGTACCTGGAGTTGTGACACGACCTGAATAGCTTCAAGCGATGTACCGCCCAGTGAGATGAAGGAATCTTCAAGGGAGATCTCCGACTCCGAGAGTGGCAGAACCTTGGCCCATAAGCTCCGGATCGCCTTCTCGTTGTCAGTCAAGTCGCTTTCTTCCTTTAATCCCAGGTGAGACCGTTCGGGAAGCAGCTGGCCGGACTCCCCTAGGGCCTCCACCGTCTTACGGATTGCCATCATGTCAACCTTTCCGTTTGCGTTTACAGGCAATGCCGGCATGGACACCCAGAACTGTGGAACCATGTAGAGTGGAAGCCTGGCAGCCAGGAATGGCCGAAGTTTTCCGACAAGAGCCTCCCATTCAGTGTCGGGACGACTGACGACCGCAGCGACAAGCACCGTCCTGTTGTTCACTGAAGCCGGAACGACGGCCGAGTCTTCAACTTCCTCGATGGCTTGAATAATCGAATTGGGCTCGCCGGGATCGACCCGGTGCCCATTGATCTTAACCTGGAAATCGATCCTCCCGACCAACTCGACCGACCCGTCGGCGTGGCGGACAGCCATATCGCCCGTTCGGTATAATCTGCCTTTCCCAAAAGGGTTCGGGATAAACCGCTTCGTTGTCTCCTCAGGGCGGTGTAAATATCCTCTGGCAAGTTGAGCACCGCCGAGGCACAGCTCGCCGGGGACCAGTAGAGGCGCAAGCTCCGTGGTGCCAGGAATGAGGATATAGGAGGTCGTCGTGTCAAATGGTTGCCCGATCATGCGGGAGCTGACATTGGATTGCAAGCGATGACGCCAGTTGAGCTGTGTGCATTCACTGAGGCCGTAGGACGAGAGAAGTTCGACTCGATGTTCCCATGTCGGAATGACAGCGGGATTGACCATCTCGCCTCCCAGCACCATGCGCCGAAGCGACGGCACATCATCCGGCGATATCAACGCAGCCGCAGACGAGGTCATATCGACCGAATTAATATCCATGGTATTGATCATCTTTGCCGTATGGACGGTAAGATTTTCTTTGCTGGCGAGACACAGGCATCCACCGACAGCGAGAGTGGCCCAAATGGATCTCTGCGCCGCCGAAAAGGCTGGATTGAAGAAGAGCAGCTGGCGAAGTCCTACAACTGGCGGAAAGGCCAACAGGCCGTTAAAGGCAGCTTGGTGCTCGAGCAGTACCGGTTTCGGTTTCCCCGTAGACCCCGACGTGTAAATCACGTATGCAACGCTGCTTGGGTCCTGGACATGCAGGAGATCACCGGTATCATGGCTGGAGGACTGAGACAGTAGATTTGCAATCTGGACCTCGTTATCCAGCTCACCTGCGGTATTGTGATCGACCAGGACCAGGCCAGGCTGGAGGTCCTCGAGGATGAATGATTTCCGGGCAGCGGGAGCATCAGGATCTAAGATAACGTATGCTGCCCCAGATTTCAGAATAGCCAAAAGTGCCACGATAAAGTCGGTAGACATGCGCAGGTGTACGGCAATATATTTGGCACCATATTGGCGGATCTGGCGGGCTAGCTGATTTGACCGTTTGTTCAGGGCAGAGTACGTGAGTGGGGATTCTGTCTCAAACTGTACTGCAGCTGCATCCGGCCTCACTTTTGCTTGTTCCTCGACCAGAGAATGAACCATACCGCTTTTCGGCTTGAGGGGGGCTTTGCCATAGTCGAGCAGTAGCTGTCTTTCAGCTGGAGGCATGATATCGACTGACGAGGCTTTGGCGTCATGGTTCTCTGTCACCCGTTGTAGCATTACTGCAAAGCGATCCAGTAGAGCTCGAACATCCCCCCTTGGGACGGTAGCGTTGTGCCGCATGCTGAGTTTCAGGCTGGCCGATGCGATGATGTTGAATACCAAGGGGAAGTCATCATCTGGAGCCATCGTGTCGTGGCTATCATCCTCGAAAGTCACTGACACTTTCACTTGGGGGCGCATTCCCGAGGCTCTCTCCATAATTCGATCGTATCCAATGTATGACAGGGCAGAAGCTGTGGCTGCAGCGGTGCCCACATGACGAACCCACGAGAGAACATCCACATCCTCAGGCACGGATAGAACCAGGGGGTAGTGCTGTTCGGCTCCTCCATTCTCTGTAGTATCTTGTTTGGCGCTGGGTTGGCTGCGGCCAGTGACGGTAAACAGGACCGTGGATTGGCCGCTAACCGTTTGCCTCGCAGAAACGATAGCCCATACGGCGTATATCAAGTCCTCCAGGCTGATATTGTGTGCACGGCCGAACGTCATGGCTGCCTCCAGCAGGCCGTCGGAGGCCAGTACTGTCGTTTCCGCACGAGGCCATTGGTGGTCCAGAGGCAGGCATGCCAGCCGCGGTTGTGATCCGACGCTGCGAAAGAGCTCTTCCCAGTACTGGAATGCAACATTGGTATCCTTGGGAGGCTGAACGTGTGAAAAGGCGTCTAGCGACGAGGGAGAATCATCTTGCGTATCGATGTATGGGGCCATATTGAATCAGGTTGAATGATCTCTGGCCGAAGGACGTATGAAGCACAGCCAATTCACATTTGACTGTCAGGTGCAGGTAGACCGGGGCCTTAAAGTCCTCTCTATACAGTTCATGTGGTACTTGATTGGCTTGGCAGGGTTCAGCAAGGTCTGAATGAATAAGACCCATGTCGAAACCTACAGCGGTGCGCCGGGCCACAGTGCGCCATGAGTGTGGGAAAGGCTTGCCACATGGAGAGCTAGTTTCTGGCGGCAGGACTAAACATCGTGCACTGCGCGCCGCGTGGGGGCCGCAGCAAACGCATTGCTCTCTTCTGGCAAGAGAGCCGTGTATGCTCGTGCCGCTCCGGTGCCACTGCAACCCCCCGGCCGCCGAGGAAAGGCGCTCGTATTTCCGAGATTCTTCAGGTATTCACTTGCATGCTGACTACTGCATGCCGCCCAGAATTGGCCGCTCTCTTCTTTGGGCATGACTCGTGGAATATACAGATAGGCAACGAAATATGCGTAGAGTTTTACGTCGGCCCTCGTCTCTGCTGGAATGGCCCCAGCCATCTACCGGCTGGAGGCGCAAGTGAAACAACGCATGCCCCCTCATGATCCATCAATAGGGACAGAGGATAAGGGCCATGGAGGTTCTGGGACAACAGGCGAGTTTAACACGGGCCATTCACACACAGCACACCCGGCGGAGCATCGTTGTCAAGCATTGAGCCCAAAAAGGCAGCGTAGTATCAACTCTCTCTGGGAGCCCTTGGCACTGAATCTACTTTTGTACCGTGGTCATATCGTGGCATAGCTCTCTTTCACTAGGGGTCTACTCTTTTTACAGGCTGCTTATACAGTGCATCCTTTATTGCTAACTGAAGGGGATTATACTGGATCAAATTATATGTATCTGTTGGTCCTTATTCATGTCGTTCCAGTCTGATCTAGAATGGGTTTCATCAAGGAATCCTTGTAGGGTCACGGATTTTGCATGCCTAACAACGCCTTTACTGTCCTGTTCGACACACACAAGAAAGTGAAACTATGGACAGCGGAAGAAACAAGAGACGCATAATTTTCTCTAATAGAATGCAGAACCGGATGGAGGTGGGACGCCCCGTTTTCCACACCTGTGATCGTATCTGATTGACAGTGGAGATTCGTGGTTTGCCAAAATCAGGATCCTCCGGATGGAGCAAGAAACAACTTCTCGCGCTTCATCAAAAGACTCAGCACAGCCACCAACGCACCAGCAGCCATGACCAGGATATAAGACTTGCTGAGGGCGTCCACAAGCGCTTCCAGGACCTGCTCGCGGACGCCTGGCACGAGGCTCTGGAAAAACTCCGACTGGGTGCCTGAAATCGTATCCTTAATTCGCTCGGGATCCACTCCAGGTAGAATCGTCTTCAAGGACCTCACACTTTCGTTGAAAAACACTGCGTTGGCGATGGCGAGGGCCAGAGTGATGCCCGTAATCTGGGCCAACGAAATAAAACCGACAGCAGAAGGAACCAGCTCCGGGGCCACGGTGGCTTGCGCGACGGAGAATGATGCTTGGGCAAAGAAACCCACGCCAACACCAATGAGGATGGTATAGCCATACACATGTGCCACCGATGTGGTGAGGCCGACGGTGTACATCAGGGCGCCGCCGATGACCACCAGAATGCCTCCGACAAGGTACCACGGCATGTACATCCCAAATTTGGAGAGGAGCGCGCCGTTGGCCATGACCGCGACGATCATCAGAATGATAAACGGCAGCAACCGGACGCCGGACTCCAGGGTCGAGTCGCCGCGGGTGAACTGGAAATACAGCGGGGCCATGTAGACAGGGACGAAAATGGCGGTTCCACCGGCGGCAGTTGCAGCGAACAGAATCAACACAGTCCGACTCTTGAAGAACTCGACAGGAAGCACTCGGTGGGCGACACTTGTGTAGATAGTGAAGACCTGCTGTATGCCGAGCAGAATGAATAGTACCCCAGAGCAACAGAAGAGACCAATGATCCGGCCTGAATTCCATGGATACATCACACCACCGAACGACACGGCCATGACTCCCGTCACCATGGCGCCGATGGTAAGGATACCTCCAATATGGTCCATGGTGTTGGCGCGCTCACGCAGACTGACTCCCGGACGGGGATCCTTGTTGGGAAGCAAGAAGAGATAGACTGGGGCACAGACGGCGCCGACGCAGAGGTTGATGTAGAACGCCCACCGCCAGCCGGCAGACGAGTCGGTAAACGCTCCGCCGATGATAGGGCCCAGGACAGTGCCGACACCCCAGATGAAGCCTCCTCCACCAACATACAAGGGTCGCTCCTGGATGGTGGTTGTGGCCGCCAGGAGGGTCATGAGTCCGACATACATGCCCGATCCCGAAACACCACAGATGGCACGGCCAATGATCAAGGCGTTCATGTTTGGCGCAGCGCCACAGACGGCTGATCCGACTTCAAAGACAAAAACCGACAGGATATAAGTCCATTTTGCGTTGAACTGACCAAAGACTTTGCCCCAGATCAGATTCGTCCCGGCCGCGCCAATCAGGAAGGCGACGCTGATCCATGGGAGCTTTTCGACCGAGTTGAAATGGCCCACAATGACGGGTTGCACGTTGGCCACAATGGTGTTGTCGAGGGCGAAGAGGAATTGCGAGCTGTAAATGGACAACACGACCAGGAACCATTTCCAACCGGTGATCTCTCGTGGGGGAGACTTGGGATCCTCTGGCACAGCATCTCCTCCTCGCTGTGCTTCAGGATCCGAGTCCATCGAGATTGCCTTTTCCGAAACCTCACGTTCTGTAGGAGAGAGGTTGCTGTCCTTGCTCGCAAGGCTTGCAGGTTTGTTGTCTGTCGCCATTGTATCCGACATGGAAGACAGGATCTGTTTAGGCATCCGAGAACGGAAGGTCAAATGCCCAACAGAAACTGTCCAAAATGCTCAGGATAGCACTTTTGTCTATATTGATCTCGACTGGATTCATGAAACGGCATTGGAATACTGGATCTTAAGATGGGCGGCAGGGCAAATTCCTTGTCAGCCGAGCGATCACCACGGTTGAACCCATTTGTCAGCATGATTAATCACTCTGGGCTCAATTGACCTGTCTTTGGAATTATTATTATTAAACACACTCGTCTAACACTGACAGGGGAGTCCATTAGCGTTGCCGCGCAGACGTGAAGAGTGAGACGACTAAATCCACTGCGCGCGGATTAGCGTTGCCGCCGAGACTAAAGTAAAGTCATGCAGGAGAGCAGCCAACCAAAGTCAGGCTTCATGCTTGGAGAAAGACGATCTGGGCCAAGAGAAATGGGCGTGGATGATACTCGGGAACGCTATTCAGACAGATTTCCGGTTATATACTTATCTCGTTTCAAGCCGTCTCGCCCAGCATGATACGACCACCAACGGTATACCACAGAGTCCCATCCAATTGACCGACTGCTTCAGACTCATCAGTTCCTGTCCTCTCTAGCACTGAATATTGCCACTACTCTGATGATGACTCAAGCAACGGAATCCGCGCCGGCGAGCCAGCCCCCAACCTCCCACCCCCTGGTCCACGGGATTGATATCCATAACCCGGATCCCGTGCATGAGGGGAATGCAGCGTTACTGAGGGCGTTTCCAATTGATCGCAACGTCTTTCGCCTGTTCGCGCGGTCCCCCGGTCTGTTCCCTCCGATCCTGGACACCCTCAATGCGCTATTAGACGGCAAGACACGCACGATCCAAATTCTTGACTACCAGCTGGTTGTTCTCCGCATGGCTGGCACTGTTGGTGCTGAATATCTATTTGGCATCAATGAGCCCGTGTCGCGCGTTCACGGCATGGGCGACGAGAGGATCGAAGCCCTGCGGAAGGGGTTGAAATCGGAAGAGCTGTTCGCCATGGGTATTTGGTCTGAGCGACAGCAGTGTATCATCACTCTGGTGGACGAGTCGGTGGCCACCTGGACCAACACGGAAGAAACAATTGCTTGGGCAAAGTCTTTGATGACGGACGACGAGATCGTCGAGGTGTTCATCGTCTTGGGGTTCTATTCCATGATCGCACGCATAACCCGAGGCGTCCGGGTCCAGAAAGACAAACCCATTCCCCATTTGAACCAGTCGATTGTGGAGAAAATCACCAAGAACAGCAGTGATTTACAGCCAGTTAGCGTCGAGCAGCGGTTAGAATAAATAATAGAGACTCCAATCTTCCTATGACTCGGGTCCATGCACGATGCACAATCAGAATGATGCTTGATGTAAGTACAGAAAGAATCATTGCTAGCCTTGTTCTTTTTATACTCGCGCATCATTATATGCCTATCATTCTAGTATTTTACTGGCTAGAAAAGGCCAGCTAGACACCTTTTTGGTTAGTGGTTTGATGGCGCACACCTTTATATAATAGCGCCCGCCCCCGTCACTACTCTCTGCCCACCTACTCGTGTATGTACACAAGTGATAAACATGACTCAATCGTCGGAGCCAGCATATCTGGAAGTTGCACGGCGCAAACAAGCTCAGCTGGACTCTGGCATCCCCACGGAATGGAGACTCCCAGCTGGTCTGATTCCCGCCGGCATGCTTTCTCCGCCAATAGCCGTCACACGTAGCCAAGCATACCCGAGAGAGAATGTGATGGATATTCCACGAAGGTCAGGCCTGTTGACCCCAAACGAGCTCAGCATCACCGAGGATTGGGACGTCCGGGGTCTTTTGGCCCAGATGCGCCAGGGAACGCTAAGCGCGGAGGACGTCGTGAGGGCATTTTCCAAGGTTGGTTGCCCTGGTCAACGTGGATGTCGCTAAACATGTGTGCACGTCCGTCATGCTAGCGAGCGGCCATTGCGCACCAAGTTACACGCTGTTTGACCGAGCCCCTATTTCCAAGCGCCATACAACGGGCCCAACAACTGGACAGCATTCTCCAGCGCACAGGGAAGCCCGTCGGCCCTCTCCACGGACTTCCCGTCTCCGTCAAGGACTGTTTCCGAATTAAGGGTGTCGACTCATGCATCGGCCTGACCGCGCTGGCGTTCAAACCTTCAACCTTTCATGCGCGGCTGGTCAAAATGCTACTCTCACTAGGCGCAGTGATCATTGCCAAGACGAATGTATCGCAAGGCATGGCGGCCCCAGACAGCTACAACCACGTCTTCGGCCGCACCTTGAACCCGCTCAACCACCAGCTTACAGTGGGCGGCAGCTCCGGTGGCGAGGCAGCCCTCGTCGCGATGCGCGGGTCCATGGTTGGGTTTGGTACTGATATCGGAGGCAGTATCCGCGTGCCTGCGATGTGCACCGGCCTGTACGGATTCAAACCGAGTGTCGGCCGGATTCCATTCGGTGGGGTGGTGACCGGTCAGCCACCGGGCCTCGGTCGGGTTTCGCTCCAGGGCGTTGCCGGACCTCTGGCGCGGTCAGTGGCAGATTTGGGGACCGTCCTGGCAGAGATTGTACCCATAGCGGAGCGGTTTGGCGAGGATTGCATCCCCAGCCGGTGGGAGAGCGAGTCTCCGGTGTCGGATAGGCAGACACGAGAGTTTACCGTCGGGGTACTGAGAACGGACAGTCTAGTCACGCCTCTTCCTCCCATTGCTCGAGTCTTGGACGAAGTGGCCGATTCTCTCCGTCGTACTCCTGGTGTCCGGGTAGTTGACGTCCCAGTGCCACCAGCCTTGAGGAAATGTCAGGGGATCGCAGGGCGGCTGATGGGCGCTGACGGTGGGGGGAGCCTGCTGGATCTCCTTCAGAGCACCTCGGAGCCACTGATCCCGTGGCTACAGGAGAGAATGAAACGGAGGGAGGCATTGACCCTGGAGCAGCTGGCCCAATTACAAGAGCAGAGATCTGATATTGAGAAGGAGTTACTCGGGATGTGGGCAGTGGATGGGGATTGCACGAACCGGATCGATGCAATTATTACTCCCGTCGCCCCTCATCCTGTGCCCGAGATTGATCGGTTCAATGCCATCGGCTACACGGCCAGTTTTGTTCTTCTGGACTACCCAGCTGGGACGATCCCGGTTCGCAATCTCACGGAATCTGATCTCGACAGCGGCAATGGTATGGATTCGCCGGAACTGGGAAGCTGGGATAGAGTAAACCGCGATCTGTGTATGCCAGACCTATTGCTTCATACGGTAGAAATGTTCGTGGCTGACTGAGTGCTACAGGGCAGGCAAAACCTGTCGACCGCCGCGTATATCTGGACTCGCCTTTGAGCATCCAGGTGGTCACGCCGAAACAACATGACTATGAACTATTCCAAGCCATGGAAATCATCGATCAAGCCATACGATCGCAAAAAGGACCGACGTGGTCAAATTCCAGATCATAACATACCTCTCACACATCGCGATCTGTATCCATCAACCTGCATGTGCGTTTCCTATATGCCACAGGTTTCAATTCAATCACGGCTGTTTGTTAGCGCTTATTACACATTCGCCTGTATCTTGGTTCCTGACAAATCTAGCAACTGTACTTTGACTAGCACAGGGCAACGCAGACAACATGTGTTCCATGATATATGTAGAGCACTGGGAAAGCAGTCGAACTAATATTCGTTATCAGTGATTCCACGAAGCCTGCTTTCCGCAGGGAGTTACCTGCTTAGGCTCTGGCGTTTCATGGCCAAGATAGGCTGTTTCAGCATAGCTGCCTGATCTTCTCTTGTTTGAGCGACAGCCTGGCAAGCACCAAGCAGATTCCTTCTCCGAGTGCCTGTCATACCTACGATGTAACTGACAAGGCCAATGAGATGCTTCTCGTAATTCAGGCAACAGAAGTACAAGACTACAACTAGCCCACAGTTCCATTCATCTCTTTTACCAGCAAGTGGTTCACTCACACGTAACGAGATTCATACGAAGACACATCATGTTTCCATGTCTCGACCAACTTCTTTCCAGCTATCTGACGAGCTCACCAAACTCCCTCCTGTCCGCGGGCTCTCTCTGTCGTCCCCGACCCCATACTTCGGCAAATCAGGGAGCTCGAAAAAACAGGATCCGACTTCCTTCTCGAAGAAGACCTTGCGACTGTCTTTGGGAGAGCGGAAATAGATATAAAACTGGAGAGGCTCTTCAGAAGCGCTGTAATTGCACCTGGATTTGAAGAGATATACCCATCCAGTGAAATAAGGCTGGCTTCTGGCTCTGGACCTACAGTACTTCGAGCGCTGAAGGAGTCGCATTATCTATCAACAATTATTCGACTCTCATTTGTTGGGTCCATGCACGAGCGGACGACGCTGTCCACAAATTTAGTTGCCTGCCTCAATGAACGTCATCGCCTAGGTGCGCCCGACTCAAACCCAGCAAATTACGAAGGCGTTTGTGAGTTTCTTCGTGTACGTGCATCGCAGACCAGCAGCTTTCCATGGGACCTATATATCGGCTGGGTGGAGGCCCAGCTTCCCGAAACTTGTACATCCATGGCCAACAAGACCAGGGTTGATGAGTTGCAATGGAGAGTACTCACTCCAAATTTGCTCCTTGCTGCGATGGATTATTTATGCTTAGTTCAAGCCTTCCCAGGGGATCGACACATGGCCGTTCCCAACCAGGCTGGGTTGGTTCGCCTGGTAGTATGGGCGCATTATATCTTGGGTCTTACTGTATTGTTGAAGGGCAGTCCCGATGGCGACGTTGTTTTCGGGCACTCTCCAAGCCCCCAGGTCACCATCAAGTGGTGTGACCATATCGATCTGACGGATCCGGTATATCTCCTTGACAGCAAGATGGACATTATTCTATCAACCGAATTGTCCCACAACATCCATGCTCGCATCATTTCCGAGGAACGATGTCGGCTCAAGGGCTATGGCGCAAAACTGGTCGATCTATACCCTGAGCAATGTCCAAACCATCGAGATGAGGGGTACAGTCGGCGTTGAGCTTGCTGTGAATTGTATCTCGGATGAAAGCCTGCACCTGTTCGGCTGAATCGACTTGGGACAACCAACACTGCTTGATGATCTTTCCGCATGGAATAGCAGAAACATTAGGGAACTCCTTTCTCTTGAAAAGTACTTCCACTTGATCGCTAGGGATCTCCTCGTAGGGGCTGGTTTCTTGAAAAACCTCGTAAAGAGTCGACCCGAGTGCAAACAGATCCGTAGCCACAGTAGGTGGTTCTCTCCAATGCCGCGGAAGATAGAATCGAGTTCCCTCACCAGAGGCCGGTTTGGATCCGTCTAGCGAAGAGCCAGAGAAGTCAATAATTTTGATATTGAGAGCCGCGTCCAAGAGGAAATTTCGCGGTTTGATGTCGCAGTGGATTATGCCGTTACTATGCAGGAGAGAGACGGCTTCCGCAATTTGGTATGCCCACTTCAACTTCAGGCTCATCGGAATCGAGCTTTGAGTTTGAATATATGTTTTGAGATCACCGTTTTTCATGTACTCAAGAATGAGGCCGTCCCTGGAGTGACCCAATATCCGTACCAGCCTTTCATGTGGGCCAACGCGATGATAGATACTGGCTTCTTTGGCAATGTCCAGGATGTGGTTTTCCATTTCAGCGTCAGGAAATGGCGATTTGAGGACCGTACCATCACCAAGGAGTTCCACAATCCCAGTTAGCCCACCAGAGATAAATTGTCCTTGAGCATCTCTGCTAATGGTTTCAACCTTTCCGTGTCCAGTTTCACTTGCTTCGTAATCGTATTAAGGTCCCTATTGAAAGTTGGTCAGGAAGCTCTTGCGATAGAAAGGGACGCTCGACGTATACCGCCTCAATATCGTGACAAGTGGGCCAGTGGATCAGGCGTGACAAAGGATAAATCAACGTAATCTCCATCCAGTCCTTGAGACGATAACATACTGACAGGAATCGCCGCAGTGTCTGCGTCAAGAGCATAAAAGCCATTTGAAACGGGGCCGTTGTCGGTGATGCTGCTTTGACGAAGACCGCGTCGCAATTCTCGTGTAAAAGGGTGCCTGTCACGTGATTTTCTGCCAGGTTCGGCCGGAATCCGGGCTTCTCAGAGGTGGAACAACTAAGTTGCCGTCGTGTTATATTAGTCAGTATCTAGTTTATCTAGTTCACTCATTCTTCTAGTTCTATTAGTTCATTCATCTGGTTTATCTAGTTTATTTATTCTTCTAAAGATGTAAGTAATTTCTAATTTCTAATATCATAGGCTAGAAGCCTTAGAAACCTATAACCTAGGTTTAGATAGGAAGAAATCACTAAAGAAGAAATCTAGCTAGGGCTGCGGGCCTGCGGGCCTGCGGCAGCTAAATATAAAAAGAAGTATATAACGTAATCCACGGCCGAGTGACGAATACGACCGAGTGACGAGTTTTCGTCGCACCCATACTGTTTCTGAAGCTTTCCAACAGCAAAATATATTAAATTAGATTATATAGTAATTAATTAAAAAGCTATTTATTAGGACAAGTTCTTATTATATGTCCAATGGACCAACAGCCACTACAGCGCGGTGGAGCTCGCTGGCGAGGGGCAGGTGCAGACTCATCAACCTGCTCATTCTGTGGTATATCAAGCTGCTGAACGCGATTTTGACCTTCCTGTACAGATAAAAGGATATCATCACCTAGATTAGCACGCCTTCTTGCCTTCTTTCCGATCTTCCGCTCATTTTCAGCCCGTAGAACCTTAATTTCTTGTTGCAGAAGAAGGTTCATATTCATCGCCATTTGAGCTGCCTTTTCAAGATGTTGAATATGTGATACTGGGCTGCTAGAAAGCTTCCTTTTCTGAAGACTTCTCTGCAGGCTGCGGACCTTGTGATCTAGCTGCCGAGGATTCTGAGGTGTTTGGAAAGCAGAAGAGATTGAGCCTTCGACAAGAAGTGGTGGTGTTGGTGTACAAAGTTGAAAAGTGATCTTTTCAAGCACTTAGTCCTGATCAAATGGTTTAAGACCAGCACCTGCAAAGCCACTGCATATATTCTTTTGATTAAAGACTTTTTCACGCGCAGGCGGATATAGGTGCAGAAAGTCTTCTTTGTCAATATGGTTGTTTCCTGCGACCATCATTCCTTCAACTAACTTCCCATATGCGCGTTTTAGCGGGCCAAAAACGCCAACATCCAGTGGCTGTAGAAGGTGGGAAGTATGAGGTGGCATGCAAAGGCAAATGATTGCATTTTCCTTGCAGAAAGCATCAAATTCTGCAGTCTGGTGGCTAGAATGGCCATCAAGAATAAGCAATCTCTTTGCACCAGTTGAACTCTGCCGCGAGTGTGGCTCAAACACCTCCTTAAGCCAGCAAAGGCCTATTATATCAGTTGTCCAGCCATTGTCACTCTTTGCAATTGACCAGGTTTGAGGAACTGCTGGTTCTTGATACCAGGTAGCGTGTTGCTCCTTCCCCTTCAAGATGACCACTGGTGGTATAGAAACCCCCTTTGAGCTCACACATTCAATGATTGTAACCCATTCACGATTCCCTTGAATAACTGTACAGGGTCTCTCACTGCGATCCACTGCAGTAATAACCTTGGATGTTGTACAGAGTCCCATTGCAAAGCCAGTTTCATCAAAGTTCCAGATATCATCTTCATGGATGCCATGTTCCTGAATAGCTCCATGTACAGTTTCAAACCACTGTTTTATAACCTTTGGATCCTCCTGCTTTGCACGCTGATATGTAATTCTCTGATTATATCTTGCACGTAATTCAGGACGGCGTTTAACAAAGGAATAGGCCCAGTTAACTCCAAGCACTGCGGTAGAATCTTAGGAGCGTTCACGAAGTAAAATCTGCGCCATTCCACGCAGAAACTCTGGCCGAATTGAAAAGCCTCGCTTATCTGCATCTAGCACTCTCTTCACAAGGACCTCCTCTTCAATAGCTATTAATTTATGGCCATTAGCGCGTGTTTCTACGCGTGGTTTTGTTCCTTTAAGCTGACGGCGAAGGGTAGCCTCAGATACGCCAAATACTTCAGCAGCTTTCAATTTTGATTTAATTTTTTGCGTTTTATAGGCAGAGATAGCCATTTGCATGCGGTTTTCTTGGGATAAGGGCATTTTGTATGAGCATAATGAAAATCTGACGCGTTGTTGAATGTTGGTTTGAGTATTTTGATGGGTGCGACGAAAACTCGTCACTCGGTCGTATTCGTCACTCGGCCGTGGATTACGTTAAGTAGTTTATAGATTATATAATAAAGCAGATTGCTATATTAATTAGTATAAAGTCATATAACCAGCAGCTGGTGTCCAGTTTAGATATAACTTCACAAGGGCTGAACAGCCTAAGCGCCCAGCAGGCCCTGCCTGCTACAAGTGATTCATAAATCAATACAGTATTATTCTTTTCAACAGCGGCTGTATCAGGCCGATTTGCATCCGACATTACCTCTTTAAGATTACTGTACGGAGTAAGTCTGGGTGAGGTTGTGCATGGCTTTTGCGCCAGAAACTGTGGCCTTTCCGCGCTGTCAATCGCTGCTTTATGAGAATGGCTCAACCTTACAATAGGGAAGCACCTCAACCACAACCGTTGCGGATAACATGGTTCGTACCTGGGTTGATGGTTGGGGTTGGCGGAATCCAATCCCCTTTTCATAACATTCGGTCTTGGTGACCTGGTCTAAGTAGGATCTGACAGCGAGGCGCAGCACAACGTGAGCACACAGGCTCAAAAAGAAATTACTGTATGTGGCATAAGCGGCCATGCGGAGACCTTCCTTTCCTAAAACACTAGTAACCATTTAAATGCAGGAAAGTATCCATCCATAAAGCCACGCTGCTCAGAACGAGACCAACCAATAACTGCATTTGCATTCAGTGTAGGAAGAAACTGCTCGAGAGCAAAAGTGATATCTCGACGGACGAGCAACCTTCAGACTCGATAGACGGCAGGGGCACATTAGCCCTTATTGACAGATCCAAAAGTCGCCAATGTCATGTCCATTAGGACAATCACAAATACGGTGCCATGTCCCTCGGAATGATATGCTGCCTATAGCACCAGTCACCTATTAAAGGACGTAACCTTAGCCCTTACATGCATAAATGTGATTTTGTTGAAGGTTAGCACTTACGCATCGTGCTGGGACATTCGTTATAATATCTTGGAAAGGAGCAGCCATTGCCGCCGTAGTCATGGATGCAACGAAGATTAAGAAGGATTTCATGTTTTCCAAATCTCCAGAATATAACAGGGTTTTAATTTTGGGAAAATGTGTGTGTGGAGCAAGTGTGTTCCAATAATCCCACCTCAGGGTGCCTGTCGACGTTAAGTATATTCTCGGGAGACCAGAGATGAAATATATTAAGCTTCAAGACAGCCTGAGATAATACGCACCATTTTATAGTCGGAGCAGCATGCTTGTTGTTTGCTATGTGATCTTTTTGGCTTCGCTGCATTCCTTGAGAAAAGGACACGCCGATGTCTGCTCGGTATTGGAAGTAACCAGAAACGATATGGCCAATCAGGAACTACAGGTAAGCCAACATGTTAAAGACGAGACTAAGGAAGAGGGAATTTATCCCTATTTGCCGAGGAGTCTTCACTTTTATTGGTTACAGGTCCACAGCTTGCTCGCACCAGCTGGGAACTAAGGCTCATAATAGTCACATGGACACACCTCATCGTCAACCCTTCAGCTTAGTGGGTAAACTCAGCCAGCCTCATGAGGTCTCATCCATTGCCTATGTGGTGGGTCGTAACGGATAGTTAATTTTGGCGTGGACGGATAGGCCTCTGCCGTCCAGAAGGACTTAGTAAACATTTCAAGTGAAGCGGTACGTAGAAAGAAGATCGTATTGCAAACACCACCCCTCCAAGCAGCGGAGCGCCATAATTCTGGGCTTTGGATGTATGGAAAGATTCGGCCTGTGAACCCGCGGCGATGTAGGATCATGGAGAAGGACCAATGCGGATAATGGACCGTCTACTATGTATAGCAAGTGGCTGTTGAGGTGAGAATGAAGGCAACATGACTCACGCTGAGTTGGCAACTGATAACTACAAAGCCAATGACAATTTCTCCATTCAGCGTCCTTCCTAGTGGCAGATCTAGACCTAAAACCAGGGTTTGACTAGCCGCGTTACGACTTCAGGCTTCGTACAGCAAGCCAAGATGCAGCTAGAGCAGTATTCATGCACCAGCTTACTTTTGTAAAAGTGGGAGCGAACTTCTGTTTCAACTGCTCTGTCACGATAGTGTCGCAAAGTCGTGCCAATAGCAGGTGTGGCCTAGTCAGATTCCTTCCTTAGCAATTTCTTACCATCTAAACCTAGGTTATAGGTTTCTAAGGCTTCTAGCCCATGACATTAGAAATTACTCTCATACCTTTAGAAGAACAGGTGAAGATAGCAGGAGATAAATCGGAAGATAACCAGACAAACCAACAATTGTATTCAAGTTTACACGATGGACGCGAACCTCCGATACATGTGCCCTACTATATCTTGAAACGATGCGATCATAACCTGACAACTGACGACATCCCACTCTACTGCAAAATAAATTGATTGTGCTAGCTTAACACTCTAACTTTCACATAATGTCTTATCCTGCCCACCCTTGTAGAAGGTTAGCAACCTCAATGTGTCCCTTGTCCCTCGCCATTTGCTCAGCCGTTGAGCCATTCTCAGCCATATGCTTGTCAGCCCCATGGTGAAGCAGAAGTCGAGTAGGTTTAAGATTGCCCAGACCAACTGCTTCCTGCAGCGCCGTCAATCCTGCATAATTTGTTATATCGAGGTTGATGTTCGAGTTGTCGAGCAACATTTCGAGAGCTTCAATGCAACACATATATACAGCGTAGTGCAGCGCCGTATTTCCGCGTCGTTCCTGTATGTTGGGGTTCAAGCTATCTTTGAACTTTCCAAGTAGGAGCTTCACGACCTCTAAGTGGTTATTCCACACGGCTGCGTGGAGAATCGTGGACCCATAGTAAGGGACATAATCATCATCATCACAAGAGGACCTGGAACTGTCGTCTTCTAAATTGACAATAACGTCGTCGCGGTTTTCAAGGATTATTTTGGCGAACTCGCCATTCCCATACACAAGGTCGCTGTAGATCGCCGTGCAGAATGACTTGTCAACCTTGTTTATATCAAGGTCCGGCCGAATCTGGACCAACAGCCGTACACAATCTGCATTCCGACGAGCAATGAGACTATGTGGTAACACCACACCAAATCCCATGTCCATGTTCACGTCGACCCTGGGATCCTTGATCAGAAGAGCAACAACGTCAAAGTGCTCTTCAAAAACGGCCGCACCCAGAGGGGTCACCCAAATATTTCTGTTGACATCGATTCTGCTATGCTTGAGCAGGGCCTCGACCGCTCCAGTGGACCCCCGGAAGGCTGCCTCAACGAGTGGACATCTCCCTCCTGCGTCTCCATTAACGTCAAGATCATTACTCTGGAATAATAACTCAATGACCCTGACAGAATTTGCCTTGGCAGCGATATACAAAGGTGTTTCATATCTTTCTCTGGCCGTTGCATTCACATCAGCACCAGCACGCATAAGCCGCTCGGCTACTCGGTCTTTGCATCTGGAAGCAGCAAGATGAAGACCTGTAAACTCGCCGCGTGTCCGGAGATGCACTATCCCAGGGTCCTGCTCTATGGCCGAGTCAACTACCTCCTGGTAGCCCCAGAGACAGGCAAGGAAGAAAGGGTTTGGCGGCTCAGAGACCCACATCCAGGTTTCATTGGAGAAATCTGGCTGCGGGTCCCAAGCAAGCAGCTTCGTGACGAAAGTCATAAATGTTGCTCCAACAGGTGCAACCTGCAGCAGCCTGGCCAGCCTCTGACCCAACTCTCCGCGTTTTCTTCCTTCATCGCCGATCTCCGCGCAGTGGAAGCACCAATGCTTCAGAACATACTGCGGAAAAGTAAGATCTTCTATGTACTGGCTAGGAGCAGGTATGTCCTGAGAATCTGGACAGTTGTTAATGTAGAGCAAACAGGAGTTGGAAATGGTGAAGTGTGCGTGGATATTGGAGTACTCCGCTGCCCGCGCAATCTGGAGATATTCCGTTACAGAAAGGTGAGCAAACTGGAGGATGTGCTCGTCGTCCAGCACTAGAAAATTGCTCGCCACGCGCAGGATATAGGCAACATCAACGTGGCCAGCACATTGACCTTGACCATGTCCATGGGGGTCATTGTCGCGTTGCAGCGCCTCGATGACGAGTGAAATTTTCGGTTCAATTTTGCAGGCGAGAACCCAATGCAATATACGTTGTAGGTCACGCCCGGCGTGGGTGATTGCGCCTTGGTCTTCGCCGGTCTTCCGTCTGTAGAGCTGGTCGTATGCGTCGTTCAGCACGGGCTTCCCTTGTCCGCTTTCCAATCTGGATATGCGGTTTTCTAAATCTCGTGGGTTGAAGGGATCCTGGTCCAGGAGGTATTCAAGTTGCAGCTGGGCCCACTTGAAACTAGCATCCATGATTTGTCAGTACAGAGCGTACATATATGGAACTGGAAGAAGACTGGTACTTACCCCCCTTGTCCCAAGTCTGTTACTGAACGTATCAAGCGCTCTCGAATGGCAAGGTTGTGTTGCTCTCCAAGTTCGTGACCGCGTTGGCATTCGGTCTCGACGTACTTCTTGACAAAAACTTGGAAGTCACCGGCAACAGACGCAGGCTCAATATTCACGGACTCACAAGTTATCAAAGTCCTGGTGACATCTACATCGTCTCTGCTGGACATGAACACCCTGGCTGTGCCTGTTTTCTGTTTTAGGTCACGGAGCGCAGTATCTATCTCCTTGAGTTCTGAGAAGCTGTCGTGGCTTCTCACATTCATCCAGCGCGTCGATGAGCAAAGTGGCCGCTGAGTCAGGGCGGCCGAGCAGCTGTATCAGTATCTGCTTGCACTCTTTCAGAGTTAAAGGATCTGTATCCGGCGAGCTTCTGGCTTCCCAGAGAACATTGATCTCGTCATACAGCTTCTTGTCCTTCGGAGAGTACGCTAGTTGACGGACGAGGGAGCGGAGGATCTCAGCTACGGGGCTTCCCGCTGCATTTCCCTTGCTGCAGTAGAAATACGCGACCTGTTCGTCGTCCTTGTGAAAGGCACGCTCTAGGAGGAATTCAATAACTTGCGTCGTCAAGCTAGTCTTCCCACAACCAACTGTTCATCACAACAAGACTAGTCTTAGCAAGCGAAAGCAAAAAGGACATAAGGTGAAAGGCGCAGCTCACCAGGAGCGTGGATCCAGAAGGGCTGCAGTCCGCGCAGCTCGGCAGATGACCATTTCTGGAAGAGGTCGCCGTCAATCAGCCACCTGCCAGCGTTCTCGAAATCACTATCCAGTTTGGCGTCCTCGAGAATAAGCTTGCGTTGGCCAGACGGATCACGGCCAATCCATTTCAAAACCCTGCTAATTTCTTTCTTGTTCACGCTGGCAACCAGTTTCTGTGCATTTTGCTGCATGGAAACGAGGCCTTTGTCCCTGTACTTGACTAGAAGCCTTTGACATTGCTTATCTTGTTCTTCAATGTCCCCAAGCGTGGACTCCCAATCATCCACTACGGCAGCGGCTCTGAGGAATTTCAGAAGCCCGTTTCGCCTAAAGTGGGCGATCAGAGCAACCTGACATTCCAGCACCATTTTGTACAGCTTCACTAATTGCTGTTCGAAGACCGTGTCTGTTTCCTGCGACCGGTAAAAATTATCGACACTTTCGTACCGATACACGAGCAGCGATAAATCAGAGAAAGCATCCATGGCCGCATAGTATTGTTCGATATCGAGCGTCGCTAGATCAAGCACAAGGCTGAAAGGCAGCCAAGCAAGCTTCGCATACCCCGTAGGATCAAGGTCGATTAGGTTATCTGCCTTTTCCTTTATTCCGCTCGCATAGGCGAGGATCTTCCCTAGGAGTGGGCGTATGCGTGTCTCTTTGCCTTTGACTTTGGCCGGGAGTGCCCACTGTCTGTGTTCCATATCCTCCATCTGCTTCTGAGCCACCCCGGCGATAATATCAGCAATTGACCGAACCGGTTTAGTTACGCCATTGCCCTTCACTTCTTCTTCTTCTTCTTCCCCCTCGGGCTGTGCGAAAGATTCTCGGAGCTCGTGGGAGTGGTCTTTGTATTCCACCAGCGTCGCATAGAGGTCGGCATTTTCCACCGCAAGAACTGCGGCAGCCTGGTCCCAGAATGAGACTTGAACCTGAACCTGCTCCGACGAAGGCTCGCTCATAGGAACTTGGTTTTTGATGATCGCTTGGTCATTGGAAGAGTCTGTGGCTGCATCGTCTTCAGTTAGTTTCTCTATCTTTGGATTGAGGACGAGAGGATGGTGAGAATCTTTGTCGCGATGGGCTGTTCCGATCTAGGATAATACAGAAAAAAGTAAAGTCAGTGAACAAGCATTGAGCGACTCAAGGACGTGTCCTACCTCTGTGGCCTCCATCTCTCTGACCACCTCCTCTGCTTCTTTCTCCTTTGAATGAAGGTGGTCGGAGAGCCATTTGGATAAGCTTCGGTGAGCATTGCTCGACGGCATTTGCGATCTTACCCTTCTTATATGTGTGACAACAGCTGAAGGAGACCTAGGTAGAATGCTAGCTCATAGTAAGAATGGGAGCGAGAAAGAACGAGAGCGACGAGGAGGGGTGAACTGCGCAGGTCACAGGTGCGGGGTTCCTCCGTTCAGCTGAAGCCACACCTGCATCCGGGGAGCGCAGATTATGGTAGGTCTTACAGTCTGTGGCCCATAATTGGAACTGACCCTGTCTCCTATGGCAGTTTACATAGCAAAGAAAGCGTATCCTGGTCTAGGCTTCACATTGAATCATGGCATACGTCCCACAACCCATGGGCGACTAATCAGATGCACAAAATGCAAAGGACAGATTTGAGTGACTTCAACCAGCCTTAAGCTAAATTACTATCATGCATGATACCTAGGTTATCAGCTTTCTGTGTTTTCCGAAGGCTTATCTACTAAGTTATGTCAGACATATACCTGGTTAGTATATCATTAGGCTACCTGGTTGGTAGGCCTCAGGGCTCAGGCAAGCATCAGATATAGTCTAGGGACTATATCACCCTGTTCCCAAAGACGATGAAAAGTAGTGCGGATATATATGTCTTATAACCACCCTATCACTATCATCTAAAATGTAAACAGTCACACTTTGCGGGAGGAAACAAGCCAATATGAACAGGTTGAAGCTCTACTGTACATTTTAAGAACATATCTCTCACTCCCATCAGAAAAGATTCTACTTTCTCCTTGTAATTTCCTGCTTCAAAGAAGAGACAATATTATCATGCAATAACATTGCCTCTCCTTTGCTCTTTTCACTCTAACGTGTTGTCCACCTATGGGTTGGTCTCGGGATACGAGATGGACCTAAAAATATAAAAGCCGAGATCGCCTCAGCAAGACAATTTCCCAGCTCGGCTCACCCTTGCACCGCGGGGTCCAGCATTACCCAAGAAACGAAGATATTAGGTACTCACCGTCGACCCTTCCTCCTTACCAGCTCAGGCCCTAATATAGAAAAATCAAGGCATGCCACCACAGAGGATGAAAGTCGTCGTCGGCGGGGTCGACTGTGGCGGAAAGTCTCGTCTTCTATCCGCGTTGATTAGACTAGTAGAGGATCGCGTCAACGGCATTACTTCTGTTCCGCTTGAAAATACGATATATCAGATCGAAACAAACTCAAAGGATCCCAGATATGCCAAGGGTTTTGAATTTTGGGAGGATTCCAAAAATGCACAGGACCGTGGAGCTGTTAACTGTGCGCACCTGAGTATAATGAAGGGCCTTGTTGATATTGCTCTGATCTGTTTCCCTCTGGACATAATGGCACAAGACTCTCCACTGGAGGAGGGGATAAGTGATAGGATCAATGATATGATAGCAGGCATGGAGATTGCTGATAGGTGCTGCAAACCACAAAAGAACCCTGCGGTATTTCTGGTTGGGTGTCGAACTGATTTGCTGGATGGCGATGCTGTGGATCCATCACGAAGAAAGAATGCCTTGTGGCATCAAATTACCATGCAGCTTGTGGCTGAAAGCGGAGTCCATGGGTATTTTGAATGTTCTGCTACCACAGGTGCTGGTGTTGGTGAGTTGTTGGACGCAATGGTGGATGCCACGCTTTATCCTCCCAAGAAAAGACTCGAACTCCCCAGGCATCTGTCTATTGCTGGAGGACGGACAAGACAGCGCACAAGGCATTGCATTATTTTGTGATCACAGGTCTATATCTCTTAGGACGGGAAATCTAATCGGAAATGATTTCAAAACAGCTCGTCCTCCCTGGAACCCAGGCAGAACAGCTCCGCTAGGTGATGCTGAATTCCTGGAAGGGACCATTGTCTAATCTGGCCGTCGAAGAGTCAAGAGTCCTGTATGATTCCTGTATCCTCAAAAGGATTGAACTTGGTGGCATTTCCTCTCCATTGTCTTGCCAAAGCCCTAGGTTTGTATACGCTGCCTTATGCAGCGCCAATGTCTCCTCTACTGCCCACTGATCCCGCTTGTAAACTGTCTTTCCACGTCGCAGCCAGCCCACTACGGTATCCACTGTGAGCCCAATAATCACGATGAGGCCGCATACGATGAGTGTGAGTGCCAGTTCGCGAGCAATACATGATAAGAGGAAAAGCTTGATAGGTATTCGTTAGGATCGACCTGATCCTGACAACGATGAGAGAAATCTTCTCTACTGTTCCCTGAAGTCTAAGGGTTCACATCAGGCGCTGCTAACCTGACTGTAGTCTATTTTGACTTTTTGAGTGGACTGGAATCGAGGACACAGCAGGTCTCTCAGTACTCCTGGGCTTAGCAAAGACACATATGTATCACCACACAATGAAAATCGCACTATTTCCAGAGCCTCAGCCTTGCTTTTTATATGTTTAGCCCATGTGCAGTTTAAGACCACCGGGAGAGGATCAATTCCCGTGCGTACCCCAGGCGATTTATGTTCCATCTACCCCTCTAATATTGCGCCCCGAGATCCTCCGTAGTCAGTTTGAGACATCGTGATAGTTATCGGATTGAGTAATTATAGTCAATGCGGATTGAAATGAGCCGATAATGACCTGTGTCACTCAGGTTGAATTAGAGAAGTAAAGGAACAATGTGCTCTCTCAAGACATCTTAAGATAGACGATACCATCACTTCAAAACAGTTTTGATTGCCAATGTGATATGGTAAATAGCCTTTCTGTAGACAATCGTCGATCTTGAGCATGGATCCACAAATAGCAAAACCCTAGGTATAGCCGACGACGCTTAATACCCCCCTGGTAATGTTTACAGTGAGCTTTGTCTCTTATTAAATGCTATTACAAGCTAAGAACCGACTCAATAACGAGTGGGTGGTCTTCACGCTAGACGAGCGTCTAGCATACAGTGCAAGGCTTGTTCTGCAGCGCCTCGGCAGCAGCATAGAAGGCCGGCTTCGCCTCGAGTGTCTCATTGTATAGACAGGCGCCACCCTGTCCCGGAAAGAAACCTGGAATCCACGAGTAGGCATCATCAAAATCCCAGACTACAACGCCGACACAGCGCGGTCCGGCCTGCTTGCAACTGGCGACACTAGTATAGTAGTCGGCAGCCTGCTGCTTTTGGGCCTCGGCGGTGTAGAATGGGGCCTGAGAGAAACGGATGTCAAGTTCGGTGATGGCGACCTCAAGTCCGGCCTCGATATAAGCCTTCTTGGTGGCGAGCTGGTCAGCCAGCGAAGGAGTCTCGCCGACGATGAAATGGGACTCGAGACCGACTCCGTCAATGCGAATGCCGCGCTTCCGTAACTCGGCGACTAGCTTCAGAACAGCATCTGCCTTGGGGCCGGGGTTTTCAATGCCATAGTCGTTATAGTAAAGCTTGACCTTGTTGGCGTGAATCTGAGCGAGAGCTTCCTGGGCATACTGGAATGCAAGGTAGAAGTATTCCTCTCCAATTGTGTCATACCACACACTGGAGGAGAAGGTCCCATCCCCGTTAATAGCTTCATTGACGACGTCCCACGCGTCGCAGCGCTTGCCAAAATGTTGGACGGTCTTGAAGATGTGGTTCTTCATCACTCCTTTGAGCTCTGTGGCAGTCCAATTCCTGGAGGTGACCCAATCGGACACTTGGCTGGCCCAGACGAGGTTATGGCAGCGCACGCTGTGACCATAACGATCGGCCAAGTCCATGAAGTAGTCGCCTTGAGTGAAGTTGAAGACATTCTGCTCGGGCTCGGTGTAGATGAACTACGTGAATAGAATCGTCTGTCAGCGCCAAAACGAAATAAAGTGTACCATTCACTCTGGCTTACCTTCAATGCGTTTGCGGGAGTTATTTCGCCGAACTGCTTGCGGAGGATTTTCAGATAAGGTTTGTCAGTTGTTGCTGAGGTACCAGGGATATCGGCTGCAGTCCCGAACCAAAGCATGCCATTACGCCGAGCAATCTTATCGAGATTGACGTTGTTCTTGTTGCTCGAAGGCGCTGCCGTGGCGAGGCCAGCGAGGAGAGTGGTGGCGGCAAGGGAGAAACGCATTGTGAGTCGCAAAGGGGAGTTTATTTACGCTCTCTGTTTGGACTTGCCGAGAGCAGTAACTGAGACAGACAAGGGGTCCACGGCGCTTTATATACGTCTTCGAAGCGGAGGGGCAATTGATAGTAGCTGAAGCCATCGCATCCTGCATTTGACCCGGCCGGCCTGGAATTCCCGGCTGTAGAGTGGGCTATTCATCCCCGGAGGAATAACAGAAATGACCTTGTCTAGATGCAGGCAAGTTCTCTGGGGTAGCTTGGGGAATTTTAGGCTATTATGGCTGGTATAGCCAATGATTCCTTAGACTGCATCGCGCCGAGGCCAGCTCGTGAGGAGAGCATTCGACAAAGCCGATTGTCCAAGGATTTCTTCATTTCTGATAGTGTCAAGCATTTTACCGGCAGCTCTCACCAACGATATGTGACTATTCTGCACCCATCTCGAAAACCCCGGAGAGTTGGCAAACGGGAATTCAGCCGGATGATTCATGCTAAATATGTAGCGGCCGTGTGTTATCGTGGGGTAGGATATCAGAATCAGAATACAAAGCTGGCAATACGAGGAATCCCATCAACTTGTGGATAAGAAAGAATATACAACTCCAGATGATTGAGAAATATCTTTGATTGATCCAAAGTTGTGGACCATCAGCATCCTTGTGGTCCTCAAGGATTAAAGCTGCGATGTTTGTTTTTCCTCCTCAGGCACCGTTTCCACGTGCTCCGAGGGCGGTCAAGATGTCTACCAATGAAAGTGAGTACGCCGCGTGACTAATCGTTCCCCCCGGCCCTCTCCGCTCTCCTCCCCACTATTCCTCCATAGCTCCCTTTGATCCCTCGCCAACACACTTCCTCGGCTCAAAGACACTTCGAACTCGTTGCCAGAATCCATTGCATCCTATCCAACAGCGATAAGCCGCGATCATCAGGATGCCAGCTACTGACGCTCTCCGTACGTGGGTGTTGCTCTGATCGACGTACTGAATGTCTGCTAACCTGTCGATTTACTTAGAGCCCCCACTTTCCCCAGCCGAGCGGGCCATCGTCAAGAGCTACGGTGGCTGGACCCAATTCATGATCAGTTTCGGATTGAAGCCGTACGAGCTTGACGATATCTATGAAGCGAAGTCTATTGTTGCGTCCCTTGCTACCGATGATTAAGCAATTGATGAAAACGCCTAAGGACTTCAGAGTCGGTGAACATTACATCGTCGCTGCAATACAGCCAGGCCGTTTCTTTGCTTACTTCCTGTCTCAGCTTGCCTCGTTGATGCTGGGGAGAGCAATCATTTCGATGCCTGACGAATTGGTTCATTGCCTTCACCTTGATCTGCCTCAGGTGTCTGTGCTAGCGACCGGCTGCGATGATTTGAATACTGGATGACTATACCATATGTGAGAAAAAACAGAGGAAACTGGTGGCTAAGCTATTATCTGGATCTGCAATAAACCTTAAAATCTTCGCCTTTGTTTCGCTTAACTGGAAAGTCTCAGTTCCTTGATACTCAGCCAAACCAACCAATTCCCTTTGATTAGGCAAGCTGATCAACAACGAATCTGCCCGGCCATTCGAGAATCCTCTCCACTTAATTCCTCTGGAGCCGCCGACGGGACCAGCAGCGTCTGTGGGCTTTTCACTTTGATATGCTGGCTAACCCACCCTTTTTGCCTTTGAATACCCTTCTGGGCAAATTTGACCGCATCGATGAAATCACAATCCCAGAGTGCCTGACTCGCAGGAGATAGAGCTGTCAGATGTCCTTCGATATAGGTCAGGAACAAGTCCAGTGACTGCAGCGCTGCCAGTGCCTCGTACGGATCGTTCGATTCACCAATCGCAGGGAAGATGCTGTCTCGTAGGCGCTCGGCCACCCGGCGACCGTACTGTTGGCTCTCGTGATATCGCTCGATAATGGGCTTGAATTGGTCCAAAACCTCACAGGTAATGCGTCTCATCACCTGGAGACCGCCTTGGATCTCCATATCATGAACCAAACGCGGGATCATGTCTACGTACATGTCGCGCAGCATCTCTAGTGCCTGGTCAGTTGCTCCCAGCCAGAGTTCCAGCCGGCGGATGAGCTTCTTGTCCTTGCTATTGTCTCCCGCGCTGCTTGCCGCGTCTGGTTTCTTCTGCTCGACACTCCGAAGGGCCATCGTTTGTCGTTCTTCTTCCTGTTGGACACACTTTTCAATGCGGACGGCGCCGGACTTGAACATCGGCTGTTTGGAAACCGGGTCCCATTGCTCTGCATTCGTTAGTATGCGGTATTCCAGTCAGTCAGTATTCTCGACATTGTACCTACCAATTGTAAGCTCATTGGCTGCCCGTGCTCTCCCGTCTGTAGCGTCCCAATAACCAAAGTGAAAAGGAATGAAAACATGTCCTTCGTTGATCCCCCCGATTCTTACTGGGAGCTCAACACTCCCTCGTCGCGATCGCACGACCACCATCTCCCCTTCAGTGACATGGAGGGCTTCGGCGTCTTCCACCGAAATCTGCACAATCGGCTCCGGATCGGCTTGCTGCAGACGCCTCGCTCTCCCGGTTTTGGTGCGCGTATGAAAGTGGAAGACGTTTCGCCCGGTGGACAACAAGAGAGGATAGTCCTCATCTGGGGTCTCCAGCGATGGCTTGTAATGTGCCGACTTGAGAATGGCCCGGCCAGCAGGGTTCATCGCCTGGTATTGGGCCCTGGTGTACGGGGTACCGGTCTCCAGATCATGACCATAACTCTCACAGTAGTCCGTATCCGTGAAGAATTTCCCGTCATCAAACAATCGGTCTTTGCCATATGGATGTTCTTTAGTGCATGGCCACTGGATCCCCGATCCACCGGTCAATTTCTCATATGTCAGTTGGCTGCAGTCGAGGGGTCGACCGAACGACATCTTCCTCCATTCATCAAACACCTCTTTGGGCGAGGTGAAGGGAATCAATGGCTCCCCGTATTTGTTCTTGAACTCCATGCGCTTCGCATAGTCAAGCCAGATGTCAAGATCTGCTCGAGCCTCCCCTGGTGGGTCTACAGCCTTCATCGATAAATGCATGGTCCGGTCGACGTTGGTGAAACATCCCGTCTTCTCGCCCCATTGTGCCGCAGGGAGGACGACATCGGCAATGGCGGCCGTCTCGGTCATGAAGATATCTTGCACCACCAGGAACAGCTCTGGTTTGGTGAGAAGATCTCTGACCCGGTAGAGATGGCAGGCTGACGAGGGGGTTAGTGCCAGACACCCAGAACATCTGGATGGTACCGTCCTCGATATAGTTGAGCATATTTTGAATATGGGTGGGTTCGTTCCAGTGCGGTGTATGCACGAGGTCAATCTTCCAGATGTCGGCGATCTCCTTCATGTGTTTCTCGTTCTGGAAATTGCGGAATCCAGGATATTCACCGTCACATCCTGTCTCGCGATTATTTTGGGCCGTCGGTTGGCCGTTCATTTGAAGAATACCACTCCCTGGCTTGCCAATGTGTCCCAGCAAGAGGTTGATATTGTTGATCTGGCAGGCGGCCGCGGTGGCCTGGTTTGATTGATAGACTCCCTGTAACGCAGTGGACAGGAGACTACCACTGGTGCCGATGATCTCGGCGGCTTCTTTCAGCATATTGGCAGGAACGCCGGTTATGTTCTCCACATATTCTGGAGTATATTTGGCCACTGTCTTTTCCAGCTCCTGTCGCCCGACCGTGTGTTGTTCCACCCACTCCTCGTTCACCCAGCCGTTCTTGAATATCAAGTGCTGCAATCCATTGAGCAGCGCGACATTAGTTCCACCCTTTGGCGCCAAGTGTACTGTCGCGTGCCTGGCCGTCTCCGATTCTCGAGGATCCACGACCACCAGCTTTGGGGGATCGGGTCCAGCCAGGCGATCCAACACACGAGACCACAGCACTGTCTGAGTGTTCGCCATGTTATGTCCGACCATGAAGATGCAATTTGTGAAGTCGATGTCTGTATATGATCCCGGCTGGCCGTCGCTGCCAAAGGACTCGCGCATACTGGCAGCCGCCGTTGCCGTGCAGAGGCGAGTGTTGCCGTCCCTTCAGTGGTCAGCTCATTTTCTGGACAAAAAGAGCGCTTAAGACAATCAAAGCGACTTACATGTGCAGTGTATTCAGACCGGCCTTCCCAATCATAGCAAGGACATAATATTCCTCCAGGAACAGCTGTCCGGTGGTGTAGAAGCCAATGCCATGGTTGGTCAGACGTTTTTGAACGTCTTTCGTTTTGTCCACAATTAGGGACATGGCCTCGTCCCAGGATGCAGATTCCAGCTGTCCATTCCGACGGATCAGGGGTTGTTTCAGACGGTCCGGATGGTTCATTGATTCCCAGCTGGGGACGTTAGCCAGTGCTCTGTCAGGCTCTGTTGGTGGCTTACCCATGAAGGCCTTTGGGCCCCAGTCTTCCCCTGTTGACCCGGTCGGTGATGCGCCCGCGCACACCGACGACTTTGCCATTTTTAACTCCAATATCCAGGCCACATCCGTTACTAGAAGCATTTAATAAGACATCATCCCGGCCGCTGTAGGAGGGGTTTTACCTGCACAGCACACAAGCACTCTGCACCCATTTCTCTGGCTCCTCCAGCGTTCGTACATCGCATCGCGTCGGCCACTCGTGCTTGTACGGCGTGCGCTGTCCGTATACATTTGCAATTGAGTCTCGCGTCTCGTATACTTTAGTCGCCATTGTGTGTAGCCTGCGCCGATCCTACAAAAGGGGAATGTGCTTTAATGGGCCAATAACCCACGCGAATGACGGTCAAGAGTTGAATGTGGGTTTGTCTTCTTTTGAAACAAAGTCAATCCTCCATTGTACATCAATAACGAGACTCTGGTCAAGGCGTGGAGAAATTGAAGATGAAGCCAACGCAGGGACCTCTGCTATAACCCCGCTGACGTAGCGATCCGGCATTTTCGGCCCCTCGCGCAGCATTATGGAGATATATCTTTACCTAATAGGAAAGTAGAGTTTGGCCCAAGGCTTATTCTCTGGGAGATGTGCACTCAAAAGGCATTGATATTGGTTTGACAACGAGGGGTGGACAGGACAGAGTTTAAGGGCCTGTAGTTGCAATGACTCCAAAGTGACGCCATCCGCAACATCCGCACTCGGCGTCTCCGCGGCATCCACGAAATGCCTCAAAACAGGTCTCGTGCAGTCAACATCCCTGTTTATGTCAGTTCGTGGTGTCTAACCGAACAGGAATAGTACCAGACGCATGCAAGTCGACAATTGTCGTGGAGGTCTATCGGAGACTGGGCAATCCGTGAGCAGTGAACCTCGTCCCACGATCTTACAAAAGGACATGACCCTAGCAGAAGATATTGATATTACATTAGGTGGTTGAAACTGCCAATTGAGCTGTGTCGTTGCCATTATGGCTATCCTTTATTCTGAGGCACTGCAGCTGATTCAAGCGGAGGCTCAGCGACAACGCGACGCCTTTGCCGCTGATGGGGAACATGTTCCTATCAGTCAGGCACGGAATCGCATTGCTCGTGAGACCGTAACGAGTCCCATAGCGACCCCAAAATTTGACACATCCGCTATGGACGGGTACGCACTGAGCTCCTCTGCAACGCAGGATGCGACCATCGACGGCCCAGTGACATTCGAAGTCAAAGGCATGATCGCCGCGGGCGATGAGCCTTTACGGATAGCCGCTGATCAACAATCGGGGGCACCTGTCTGCGTGGAGATCATGACAGGAGCTCCCTTCCCGACTAGCGTGAGCGGCGATGACTTGGACTGCTGTGTGCGACACGAGGATGTGGCAGTCATCGTGGACGAAACGTCCAACCGTCGCTATATTCGAGTCTTCAAGCCAGCGAAAACGGGGCAGAATCGAAGGTTTGCAGGAAGTGACTTTAAGAAAAGTGACGTCCTTGTCGACGCGGGAGAGGTGATCCATCCGGCCCACATCCTGTCGATGGCATCGGTTGGAATGACCAAGATTGCAGTCACGCGCAAGCCAAGGGTCGCTGTCGTCTCTACTGGCTCGGAGCTGTTGCCTCCTGGGCTTGATCAATCGCCCTTACATCGGATCAGCGACGCCAATGGACCCTATCTAACTGCGACCTTGGAGAGCTGGGGTGCTGCAGTGGACTTTTTGGGAATTGTCCATGATCATGCCGAGAAGCTGGAACAGTCCCTGAGTTCGATTCTAAAAAAGGACTACGACGTGATCATCACCTCTGGAGCTGTTTCGGCCGGACGATGCGACTTGATTCCTGCGGTGATTCGTCGATTGAATGCTCGAGTCGTCTTTCGCAAGGTCGCCATAAGGCCCGGCCATCCTGTACTTTTCGCCCAGATTCCCGATTCTTCAAGCAATGATCAACATCTCCGGAGTGAAACGGCGTTCTTTGGGTTGCCCGGAAACCCCGTAGCAAGCGCTGCCTGTCTGCGCTTCCTGGTCCTTCCATACTTGAAATACCTACAGCTGCAGCGACCAGACGATCCATCGCATGCATCTCTTCTCCCTCTTGACGACGCTGAAACTTCAACCACCAAAGAGCATCCGGTAGTATCTACATTCCGCGGAGACATGGACGTTTTTCGACCGGCATTGGTCCGTGGCTCGTCAGGCCATGTGCAGGTAAAGCTCATACAGGATCACAGCCCAGGAAAGATTAAGCCTTTTTTGCATTCGAATTGTTGGATCCATATCCACCGAGGTGTTTCCGAGTTGAGAGCAGGTGACATTGTCGACATCTACCCAAGCCATTGATTTTCGCTTGCGTCCAACCTCTCCCTCCTATGAACTCGCTTGGGGTTGGGTTCCCATTTTGGACGCCAGCTCCAACTCGGCAGGCGTATTGACATTGAAGATCCACTTCTCCTCGTGTGGTCGTATCGTCTTGCCACGCAAACGCTTCACCACCGCACTGGGCCCGGAAATTCCAATTTGAATATTCTCTTTGAGTGCGCGCAACGCCTCCGGAGACCAGACACTCAGTAAAGGCTCACAGAAGCCGTCCTTGTTTTCGAAACATGTGACTGGCGCGGTCCATTCGCGTCGAAGTTGAGACAGCGCGGCGACAGATATGAATGGATAGTCACAGGCAACTACCAACCAGTGTGCAGTTTTGTCCTGGTGATGAGCAGCCAGCAATCCGGCTCCTGGGCCAATGCCAGTGCTGTCATGTTCGCTGGGCACTCCAGGTCCGTCGTAGACTACATGTACCGGGAAAGTGGTAGTCCCGTTGGTGAGAATTAGTCGATTGTTTGGGACGGCAGTGATATGGCGATCGTTCTCAATGGCTTTTAATGAGTTGTGATCGCGCAATGAGAGAAACACCATTTCTGACTCGGGACACGCCTCGTGTAGGATGATCAGCAGTTGGACGAACAAGGGGACCTCGCCGATGACACGTAAGAGTTCTTTGCGAGTGCCCATTCGCGATGAGTAGCCACCCGCCAGCAAGAGTGGCTTAAGAGTAGGCATCGAGGATACTAAGGAGTCGATAATATTTCTTTGAATAGAAATCTAGGACACCTCGAATTGTTGGGTCTCCCTGTTTATAAAGCCAAAACCATGTGGGGAACGCTTCTCCAGTCAAAATGACGACATACATGCGCCTTGACTGTGATCTATAATCTCCACTTCATGTAGCTCATGTCATTGAAATATGTACATCCAATCCATCTCTCCAGAATGGATATTTCACCATGCTTCCTCCTAGTTCAAGTGCGACCTGTATTCCCTTGATCGCGCTGTTCCAACATGTCGCTGTCGAACCGGGGATCCAGTTTGTTTAGGATCTTGTTCGAGTGAGGTTTGGAGGTCTCAGGGGCTGTTGCTTTGGCTCCGGGGCCCCCAAAGGCAGGGGCTTGAGAAGTATCTTTCGCTTTGTTTTGATCAGAAACTTCGGACGAGTCGACGACGTTGGATGCCTGCGTAGGATCCCGCTGGAAGGATGGCGGTTGCGACATGTTGGTCGTGTATGCAATGTAGACAGAGATGAGAGGTGGAGTATAAAGGAGGGAAGTACAACCCGACTGATTAATGATTAGTGATTAATAAATTAATGGCTTCGACGCAGTGCATCCTTTGCACCAGGACATCATTTTATACCTGGATACTCCGAACCTGCCGTTTCTTACATCATGTTGATGTTGCCAACTCCATCTTCTACGATATGATGCAACAAATGGAGTTCTCCGCGGAATCTCCGACTATAATGTCACAATATCATTTCGAGAGGTAATACCTCTCTATGGTGCTATGTACTGTAATAATAGAAACATATGTGAATGGGTAATTTCAGTCAATTGACGTCAACCTGTTATGGCAACGTATGATGCCTGAGGTTTCCATGAGATGCCTTGTATCCTGCTATTAGTTGTCTAAAGCAGCGAGAGCAGACCCCCGGTATTGGATAATAAAAGTGCTGTATTTGGCATATATATAGTAGTGCCGTTCCTATCGCATTGACCCAATATATTAAACAACTATGGACCTTTTCTGGCTACGCACACCACTCTGGGCATGGAAAGGGCCACTCCTGGAGACGCCTCCTGACAGCAATCTGCAATCAATTGATGTATATTCCTCGCTTCCTTCAGCATTCCCTTCTGCTGCAAGGACCCGGCAAACTCCTCCATGGTCATCAGATGTTGGTCCCCATTCGCCATGGCCAGCTCCGTGCGATCCCGGAAATGATCCAGACGGGCATCTGTAAAGCCATTGCATTCCAGGATACCGGGTAAGCTCAGCACCCAATCATGTCTTCCATTTGAGCGGACAAAATGAAGCAGCCGATCAAATGCCGGGGTCTCTATGTCTGCATTTGCCTTGATGATATGTGTATCGGGGTAGTTGAGATCATCCCACTGAATGTACCCGCCGGGTTTGAGCATGTGGTACGCATTCTGGATAATGGGGACCGGATCACTGTGCTCTACCACTAGGATCAGAAGCCGGAGGTGGACGATATTGTATCTTCCGACAAGATGTTCCGGCACGGGACTGAGGATGTCCCAGTTGTGTACGGTGACATTGTCTGGCAGCCACTGAGCCGGTGGGGCTTTGGAGAGATCGATGTCGAAGCCATCGAGGACAGCTGGTCCCGGTAATTCACAGGCGAGATCGAGGAGCCAGATGCCTGTGCCGCAGGCGAGGTCCGCAATTTTCAGTGGCGACGAGCCTTGGGTATGTGGGATGGGGATAGATGGGTGTAGGTTGAAGGTCAACGAGTTCTTCCAGAGATAGAATTGGAGATTCAGGCGACATCTGGCAGCATAACCTTTGTCGAGCATGTAACCATTGCCGTCGGCGAGATGGAAGCCAGAGGAGATGGTCTCCATAGTGATACAGATGAGAGGGACAAGAGTCTGACAAGCTTTGCGGATGGCTTGTCATTATCCTATAAATCCAACAAATAAAAGGGGAAAAGAAAAGGCCTCCACACTAGATCCTTCGTCGTATTCCAACTGCATTAGTTCAGTTGAGCGTCTGCCACCAAGTTTCCCATAAATCCAGCAACGAGAAACTAACCAACGTGTCCGTGTTCACTACCGCCATGTCGTCTATTCAGGTTGGCCTTGCTGTGGGCAACGGCACTGGTCCCGAGCTCACAGCCATCTTTGAGCGTGTTATTCAATCACTGGCTGCTCGCTACAATGTCAGCGTCACCTTCCTGCGTTCCCCACGCATCTACAATTCCTACTCCTCGCTACTAGCCATCAACGATGCGGACGCCGTGACGGAAGAAACATTGTCAGACGCTGCCCACTATCGCCAATTCTGCAAAGAAGCCGTATCCTGCGGCGTGCGCGCGATATTCCGTACTTCGATCAGCGCGCAAGCCCTCTACCTCGTCCGCGAGCAGCTCCAAGCTATCAAAGTCGAACATTTCACTCTGAGTCCTACCTCGTCCATCCTCCTCGTCCGCGACCAGGCACAGGGGTTCTACTCGGGCACCAACAGCGTCAACACCAGCAAGGATGCCGTCTCCCGCACCGCGCACTTCAGCAAGGCGATCTTCGCACGCATCCTCTCCTACGCACTCGGCCGCGCGAATCAGCTCTGGGGAGGAACCAACTCGGTCACAATGGTCTACAAGTTCCACCTCTTCGATGGACTTTTCCACACCTGGGCAACAGAATGGGAGCGAACCTTCGGCGTCAATATCCGGTTCGTACAGGGGGACACCATGAACCGCGATCTGCTAGCCTTCGGGGTGAGCGGCCACAATCTGCTCATTTCAGGCAACGAATACGCAGACATTATGCAGACGATCCTGCTCGATAGGTTTGGGTTAGGGGCGCAGGAGTCCGCGTGCGCAGAGAACGTCTATCTGCACCCGGATGTGCAGGGCCTGAGCGAATACCAGACCGCCCACGGATCAGCGGATGATCTGCTAGGTAAGGGCATTGTTAATCCGACGGCTACGATCCGCGCCGCAGCCGCGGTGTTAGAGGATCAGGCGGGCTGTTCGGGTTTGAAACAGAGGGTCGATTGCGTGTTGGGGGATTTGGGGGCCAGGGGCATTGGGACGCCTGATCAGGGAGGGACAGCTACGACGGAGAGATTTGTGGAGGCTTTCCTGCAGGGGTTAGATCAGCCACTGGACGCGCACAACTACGAGACCTCCCGGTTTCGGGGGAAGCGAACAGCCGTGGTGGTCGTAGATTTCCAGAACGATTTTGTCACACAGTACAAGAACCAATCGGCCATGGCACGGGTGGCGGCGAACATCCCGCGAGTGGTGGAATGGGCCCGACAGGCTCGTATCGAGGTAATTTTTGTTCGGTTCATAGGCGATGAGCAATTTCAGGGCCCTAGCTGGCGCTACCGGAATCAGACGCAGGGGCGACGGCCGTGGTGCGTCCAGGGGACATGGGGCGCCGAGGTATTCGGTAGTGTTATTGTCCAAGCGGGCGAGCGCGTGTTTGACAAGAAAGCCAAGTTTGATCCGTTCCTGAGCGAAGAGTTTGCGCAGTATATCGCTGCTCGGGGATTTGAGGAGCTCGTGGTGGTGGGTTTGTACACGGATGTGTGTGTTGATGCGACGGTGCGAGGAGCGTTTCAGCGGGGACTGTGGACCACACTGGTGAGCAAGTGCACGGCAGCATTGTATTTCTCGGACGAACAGATGCTGGCTTACATGCAGCGGGTGTATGGCAGCGACGTGGTCGAGATGGACGATTTGCTGGCGACAGGGAAGGAGAATGGCTCCGTCTCTAGCAGTGGATGAGGAATAGAGAGATTCGTTTCATTGTTATTAATTATCCAACAACAGCTGCACTTCCATGTTCGTAATTGGACCAGATGAAGACACGAGGTTACATTTATGGGCATTGATCCCTGTTAAAGGATTCACTAATCGTGAGTCGTGCCTCGTGTGGCCGACAAGCCGATATTAATAGCGGAAGCTAAATAGATGACAGTGAGACATGTCCGAGTTAGGGAAAAGAACTCTTCTTATTAACCGTCAGCACGCCACTGGCCCGAAGCATGGACAAGGATAACAATGTCTCAGATTGACAGCTCGGTCTGGTTCCAACCCCATATCGGCCCGCGTCTTAGCCCGTGCGTTCGATATGTCTACAACCACTGGAGCGGCATTCCAGACGAAAATCTCCCTGCCCATTTACACGACATCGTAGGTGAATTGCTTCACCCAAGTTCTGCATTATACTAAAACGTTCTAGCGCAACAAAGCCTGGCCTTTAGGTAAATACCCCTGCATTGGCCTCTGGATCTTCCTCCTTCCTGGTTTGGCCGCCCTCCCGCAATTTCCTGTGATCCTGGCTCGAGCACAGCAGCGCCGCTGTAGGATACTGGATTTGGGATGTGGTCTGGGACAGGAGCTGCGCTTACTGGCGGCCCATGGCGTTCCAACTGACCTGATGTGGGCGGTGGACATCGAGCCAGGTCTATGGCGGTTGGGATTTGAATTATTCCGTGATAGGGACCGGATGAACGCGAGCTTCATTCAGGGAGATTTTCTGAGCATGGCGGACGAAAGCCTCGGTGAGCTTCAAGGCAACGTGGATGTGGTGATAGCGTCGCAGTTTCTCCATCTGTTTAGCTGGGACGGCCAGATCATGGCGATGAAACGGATCGTCGCATTGTCGAAGCCGGGGACGATGCTAGTGGGATATCAACAAGGCAGGAAGACAGCTCGGGAGTATATGCGACCCTGGGGCATGATGTTCTACCATAATCTCAAGTCATTTCTCAAACTGTGGGATGTGGTGCAACAGGAGACAAACACACGGTGGAGGCTAGAAGTGACCGAAGTAGATCTCAAGGAATGGGGCATGGAAGATGAGGACGTCCAATGGATGCCGGCAGATCGCCAAGGGATCAACTTTGTTATTACTCGCATCTCATGATTGTTGAGACAAGGATATCGATGGACTATCAGTTCTTCGTACCCTCAAACACGCCGACAAATCCCCGCAGCAGTCTTACACATTCGTCGATCCGATTAACAAACGGCGCACAGTGACTGCAGACCATTTCCTCAACGATCCAATCCGTCTGAGTAGCGGCGATCATGGCACGCTGAGCTCCCTCGGGAACAGCCTTGTCCAGTGTAGGAACAATAAATGCCAGTCGTCCGGCATACGCCTGGTCTCCCCAAGCAGGAGCAGGTTGGGGAGAGTTGAACGCCAACGTGGAATGAGGCCGGATGTAACCCGCGAGACGTTGGGCCACGTCTTCATCAATATCAGCGGCAAAGTTGCCAGCAGGGTCATCGGGGATGTTCACTTTGTCGTACGGCTATAGAGCGTTACTCATCTGTTCAGATTCATCCAAGTAGTAGGAAGAGAGGTAGTACCTTGTCCAACAAAATCCACGGGGGGAGATTCCCTCCCTGTAATCCCGCACAACTTAATCCTTCCGGAACCAGGAAAGCTGCGATGAACACCATTCCTACGATGCCACCAGACTTGCCTTGTTGCATTCGTTCTGTTTTGGCAAGTCCCTTGGCGGCCGCAGCTCCAGGCATTCCTGCGTAGGAGTGCATGAGCAGAAGGACATCGCGGCCCTCGTCTTCCACTAGCGGACGAATGACGCTGGCGATGGCATCACTGTCCGCTTTACAGTCTGCGCTCGTGGGATCCGCAGGGTCCAGAGAGGGATATCCAGCACAGCGGACAGGATACCCGGCCTTGGTGAGAGCATCGAAGAAAGGATGATAGAAGTCCGGGGTGATCCACGCACCGGGAACGAAGACGATAGTGGCCATTGTATTGTCGTATAGATCAAAATTGGATGATCGACGCTATCTCATGACGTCCGAGGTGATTCAGGCGCTTCATATATAGCTATGATCTTGGCAATTAGGGAACAAAATCACCTCGAGCGCCACCTCATTCCCCCTTTCAGGGATTCTGATCCTTCCCTTGCTTAGCTCGAGATCATCCTGGTCTGCCCCTCATCGTAGCTCGGCGAGGTCTTCCGATGAGAGGATCAATTGATCCGCCTAGTGTTCACTGGGCGGTAGGCTAACCGCCAAACTCATTTGCTACAAAACTGACCTGTTACCTGTCTTCTGGAGAGATTGTCCCCTTGAGTATACCACAGGCGGTGCTTCCCTTGCACTATGGACTTCACTCCTCCGCCCGGGTTGGATCTTTCGGAATCCAGACGTGCCAATCTATATGCGGCATATTCATCCACATATGGACTGGCCGTGGTGGCAGTGGTGCTGCGGTTGTTGTGTCGTACCCGAGTGTCCAAGGTTGGGCTGTGGTGGGATGATTACTTGATTTGCATTGCTTTGGTGAGTATCATAGATGTGCTGCTCAGTAGCATATTCTGACACGGTCGATAGGCCATGGCAACCGGAAATTACGTCGACATGGTCATTTGGGTCTATCGAGGCGTGGGAACACACATCTATCCCCTTGGGATGACCGGCTTCTCCAACTTCTTCATCAACCTCTTCGTCTGCGAGATCTTCTATACGCTGTCCATCTGTCTGACCAAATACTCCATCCTGATGTTCTATTGGCGCATCTTCGGCACCACCAACATCCGCATCCCAATATATGTCATATTCTTTCTGGTAACCGGCTGGGGATTGGGCGTCGTACGTCGGATCATATCATGAGTTTGGCTGGATTTTCCTAATAAGCCAAAACAGATCTTCACGACGATCTTCCAATGTCTACCCGTCCGTGGCTTCTGGGATAAATCCTTAAACCCGCACTGCGGCGTGGACGTCAACCAATTCTTCATCGGCAATGCAGTCCCCAACATCATCACTGACTGGGCATTGCTAATCCTCCCCATGCCATACATCTGGAGACTCCACAGGAACACCACCCAGAAGATAGCCATCAGCAGTGTCTTCGTGCTCGGAGGGTTGTAGGTCTCACTCCTCGCCTGGGGTCAATCGTACTAGCTGACCATGCAGTATCTGCGTCATTTCCATCGTTAGATTAGTGATCATGCTCGACTCGTACCGAGTCCCCTCGATCGATGTAACGTGGGTATTTATCGGTCCCTCGACGTGGACGGCGGTGGAGACCAATATTGGAGTCGTGTCTGGTGAGTCGGCCCTTGCGTAGGGAGATCGCGCAGCTAACAGTTAAGCGTGTCTGCCATCTCTTCGTCCTTTGCTTCGTTTGTTCGATCGTGATCACGAAATGCAGGATAGTGCTACTCCACCTAAGCAAAGCGCGCACTCGTATGGCACGTTGAGTTCGACCGGGAAGCGCAGTAAACGAAGTAGGATGCAGAATGACTCCGAGCTGCATTTGTCGACGATTGATGTGACGACGACGGTGGATATTGAGGAATCATATCGGTATTAGTTTTGGAATCTTAGTGGTCAATATGTATTACAGTCTGTGCCGGATGAGCCTCTGCGTTCGTCTCTGAGATGTCCTATCACAGACCATCGAGATGAGACAGATCGATGTAATGAATGATGATGAGGAGGAAAGACGTCATCCACCACTACTGAGGCGGCTACACGACTGAATATATCATATGTCCTTTGGCTATCCACAATTGCCATCGACCCTGTCGGCTAGTGGCCCACTTGATTAGAGTATCATCACCGGTTGGTTTCGTAGCTACGACAGTGTTTGTAGCACTCGATGTTTAGGTTCTGGCACTTAACACATGACTATTAGAAAGTGAACGCGCTTGAGGATCAGTTGGTGACCTGGGCAACCTCGGCAGGAGGATACTTGTCCCCATACTCGGCCACGATCCATTGGCAAAACTCCTCCCATTGCTGGTTCCAATATTGAATGCGCTGGGCTTTGATACCATCGCCACGTGCGGCCAGATCAATGTCCCGAAGCCAGTCAGCGTCAGACTGGTCCTCGAAATTGGACCAGCGAAGACTGTTCTGCGCCAGAGCTCCCTACAGTTCGTTAGCTCAGCCTGGTACAAACGGGATTTGACAGGAGACCTACCAGTCCAGCGAGTCCAATGTTATCGAATCCTTGGATAGTCTGATAGAAATCATAGCTCAGACCTGCAATGTCCTGTCCGAGAATGGCCGGATCGTCGTTACTGATGGCGGTGGGAACACCATGAGCGATCATCGCAGGGAGAGGATGGTGGAGGATATCGGTCGCCAGACGCAACACTTCGTTGGAGATGGGGCACACTTCGACCATGACCGCCTTTTCAATCACCTCGTCGATGAGTGTTGGGTGCTTGTACAAGGAGAACCCATGGCCGATGCGGCGGGAATTGAACAGAATGGCGTCCACCAAGTTGTAGTCGGTCGAGTTTCCGTCCCCAAGTGTCTCGCCGGCGTGGAAAAAGAAAGGAATCGTGAGATTCAGATACTCAGTCTGCTCCCGGAACCAGATCAGTTCGGGGGCCAGGTCTGACAACGGACGACCCAGATCCTCCTGCGCGACCAGATCGTAGCCGCTGAACAACTCCGGAAACCTTTGCTTACGCTCTAGGGCAATCTTCATGCCTGAGACAGGTCAGTCGCGTTTCCCGTATTACTCAAAAAGCAGACTTACTCTTGGTGATCTTCTCCCGGTTCTCGCTTCGAATGTCTGACCAGATGACGCGGGCACCCCAGAAATTCTTCCCCTTGTCGGTGGCCTGGAACTTCTCAATCTCCTCGATCATCACATCCCACCAGACATCGAGATTGGGATCAATGTCCTCCTGGCCGGTGTGAACCAATTGACCGCTGGAGCCACCGCTGCGGATTTCCACCCAGTTGATGCCATCGTCGGCTAAGCCTTCAAACAGTTTCTGGTAGAAGGTCCGCACAATCGGCTCGTAGCTGACCATGGTATCCGCGGGACCAAAGCACGCTTGGAATCGTCTCCAGATCTCGTCCACACCCAGCTCATGGCGGGTCGACTCCTGCGGGAGGATGGTCAGTTTGGACTTCATGAAATCCATAAACCCTTGCCGGCCACCGGGGAACCGGTCGGCGGCAATTTGGACCGAAACCCGGGTGTTGGGAACGTAATTGGCTGAGGAGATCGTTTCAGCCGAGGTGTTTATGGTCGTGTTGACGTGGGCAAAAGCGACCGTGGCATTTTCTGCGCTCTGCTCATCCAGAATCGGTTGCGACGTGGAAATGACCATGCCTTCGGTCGCTAGGATGGTTTCAAGAATGGTTCCAAATGGCAGCATGGCCGACAAGTGTGCATGTAACAGCGCACCCTTGGGCATGCGCTTGACAATCTTCCAGAGCTTCGTGGAATTGATGTATGGCCGCGCCAGAGGGAACATCTCCCCGGCGAAACGCTCGTCCTCCGGATGCTCAAACGTGCCATACTGCCGCCAATAGTCATCAATCTCCTCCTGCCGGATTGCCTGGACGATGACATCTGCCTGTCGAGCGACTGTCGACAGGTTCTGGCGGAACTCGTGGTCTACAGTCCAGTCAGTATCCGTCGTCCCAAGCGAGGACTGGTGGCGGCATACCTTGTCGCTGCCGCTTTTCAATGGTGATCATGGCCGATCGAGCCATGAGATGGCGCCGCACGGCACTGCTATTCGGATCCGGAATATCATCAGGAATGACCTTCGCCGCGGTGAGCGACAGGCACAGCGCATAGGCCACCAGACTCGGCAGTTTCATGATGATAAGGCTGGCACTTGGCAGGATGGAGAAGAAGAATACGACAAGCTCCAACGCGTCCAGCTAAAGCTTAATATATAAGCTTTAGACCGTGTCTTTGCGTGTTACTGCCCCAATGTTTTGGTCAGCTGTGCAGGGATTATCCTGACCAGCCAGCCTCATGTATCGACGGGACTGGATTGCAGTGAGCACTATCCGAGACTATTGGGTGAAGGTGGACCTTTCTGTCCCTTGCCTGTGGGCCTGATTATGATTGGGGCCATTGCTTATGCGGTGTGGCTGCTCTCATCAAGTCAGGACACGCCTGCCCTGCGCATTAGAGACTGTTCCCGGGGTAACGCCGGCATGGTCGCCTTTCTGTCATCTTGGCAACTGGCGATCTGCCTCAGCTTTTCCATTCTAGGACAACTAATCTTGAGATGTCTTTCAAGATGATTCTAGTGTAGATAGAGGTCTTCGCACTACGTCACTACGTCACTATTTGTAGCTGGATGATGGGAATTATGTAGCCAAGGATACTCTCTGCTGTGCTTATCCATCACGAGCGTGGCGAATAGACAATTGCTTACTTCAAGCCTCGGACTTGAATGGAATTTACGGCCCGTTCCGCAACCTGTCTCCAACCAAGGTCACTCTGAGCACTACGGAGTACAGAGTAGAAACATGACAAATCAGCGCAGCTGCTGTTGCCCTTTACTAGAACGAGGGCTGTGTGCTAAGGAAGTCATGCCGGTCAACGTGTCATTCAGTTGCGTATCTTCATGGAGCCAACCCGGAGCTAAACCAGTATTTACTATTGAGTCCATCGGAATCGTATACCCCTGCCGGTTACGCTGTTTGTTTGGGGCACCCAGCAACGAATAGACGACTCGGTTGAGCGAATCAGTACATACGATCCGCTAGCACATGCAGACATTCGGAAAACCGGCCAGATTGCCATATTGCCCAAGTGGGTCAGATATCTCCAGCTGAATGACTTGGTTCCTTTTTAATCACTTCCGAGGCAGTTGCCATGGAACTTTGAATGCAACGATTCTCTCAACCATCGACGCACATAATGGATAGATGTGCCCGGCTTAGGACTATAGACCTCCTGATACGAGGGACATTTCACAGCTTTCCCTATACAGAAGATCATAACATCATGACGCCTGCATCACTCCGTCAAGAACCCCCCTCTCCTCGTCAGCCCACTGTTTCCGCAAAACTTCCTCGCCCCTGCGCGCCTTTTGCGCCGCCCGATTGCGGTACACGCTGTCAATTTTCCGCACGCTGATCTCGTCGCTAACGCACCACCGTTTGAGGTCAGCCTCCCACTCTTCATGAATCATGGTCGGCTTGCCGTAGTGCGCGCGGATGTTGCTCAGGGTATGCGTTCGCAGCGCCTTGGATGCACTAGCAAACCGCGAATTGTCTTTCGGGGTTGACCGCGACGGAATGAGCGGCTTGAGGGAGAGATACAAGATCGTTTTGGACTCTTGCGCAGCAGCCATCAGAGGCAAGGCGGTCGTGGTGCAAAAGGGTTGGGGACCGAGGGCGAGGTAGGAGAGAGGCGTCGATGAAGTCACAAGGGAGCACAGTGCGTTGATTGTGCATTCCGCGGATAGGTAATTGAATCTGTTATGTCAGTTGCTTCCTCCAATCCACTGGTCAAAGACATACCTGGCATTCAAATCCTGCGTGGAATAGGACTGGCTGATATCGAGAGTCTCCAATGCAGGATGACCTTGCAGAGACGAAATCAATGCAGTGGCTCCTTCGTCCGTGAGGCCAACTGATTGCAGACAAAGACGTTGCAGTGTCTTATTCTGTTGCAGCCCTTTGGCAAGCGCTTTTGCCCCTGCATCGCCGATCGGATTGCTGGACACATACAAAGAGGTAAGGGAGCAATGCGGAGAGGCCAGATACCTGGAAATTGCCTCACATGCGACACTGGATATACCGGTCGCGGAGAGGTACAGGATTCTCAATGACAAGGGAGTTGGAGGAATGTATTCCGCCAATCGAGTGAATAGAGCTGCAACGCCTGCATCGCCAAGCTCAGTCTGATCCAGATCCAGTGTCCGCAGATTTGGCGTCTGTGTAATCAGGCGGAAGAGGGAATCAACCGACTCTGGACCGAGAGGATTCCTCTTAAGCCAGAGATTTGTCACGGCAGGCGACTTGACCAGTGCATCAGTCAAGCGTGCAAACGATGCTCCGTCTATACAATTACCGGCTAGATACCAGGTATCAATGCGGTTGGGGAATTCCTGGACAAAGTCCGCGATTGCATTTGCTCCAGCTGGTCCGATGATGTTATTACCAAGCAGGAAATGCCGCACAAACTTGTTGGAGCGCAGACTGTGCATGAGCGTCGAGATATTCGGCGGACCAAGAGCCATCTTGCACAGGTCCATCCGACCGTCTTCGTACAGTACTCCCTTATCAAACTCCAAGGTCGGAACGTTGTAGTAGGGCTCGGCTGCCGATTGGCTCTGGCCTGTAGCATGAGAAGCGCTCTCATAGCTTCCATCATGTTTTAGATGATTGAAGAACGGTGTAAGAGAGTCTGCGTCGCTAATCTCGACTGGCATCGGCAGGCTGGATGCTCCTTTGAGCATGTCTGGAGTCACTGTCTGATCCCAGGGACCTTGAGCTAGGATTCGATCCGACCAGCGTGGTCGAACGTCTGGAGGTGATGCATTTTCGTCTTTGGCGGCCAGGGCGCCTTCTTCGAGAGAATCGCTGACTCGAAGGCGGTCGAGGGAGATGGGCTGCGCTGTTAGAACTGTTGCCGACGCCATCTTGTTTACTTTGCCGATAATTTCTCTCGGTCGGAGGTTTGGTCCTTATATCTTCAGGAAAAGGGAGTATGACTCACGATGTGGAACAGCTCATAGGCTTCTGCCAAGGGCAGATTCAGCCTTGCGGATGGTGGAGGAACTACGAAGACAAGAATGGAAGAGTCATCATTATTGGCTGTCTGATGTCCACTACCTATATTTCATGCAAGCAATGATCGAGGTCATGGATTCATGGTAATATTAATATAGAATACTGCAATGATCGATATCACATACAATCAATCTAACGCGTGCATGATCTCGCTGTCTGATTTAGGCTGGAGCACTGTATATATATATAACTTTGGAAGCAGTTCTGGAGCCCACAGCTATCATGCATATAAGTTCTACATAGTTTAACATTCATAGCAGGATAATGAAGAGTCTCCTTGCTTCATCGCTCCTTTGCTCAGAAGCATATTTTCCCATCTGCGTTCGGGAGGGAAGTCTTGACAGAGATAGCGGGCAACGGTGCATGATCGCCGAGACAGCGACCAGCACCTTGATACAGAGCTCTGTTCCAATGACCATCCTACATATCTATTACCGCGCCAAGAAGGTAGAGCTTTTTTTTGGTATATCATATGGCCGCTCGGAAACGGACCGTCGATTCAGCCTCATGTCGGTGCTTCTATCAATACGAGGTGCTCAGGCTGGGGGATTTACCGATTCGCATATTTTGCTCCAGGTGGAGTCCGCTAACATGGCCCGCTTATTATTTATAACTCTATCTTGGCCCAGGTAAGCCTTACCCCTGAAACCATGGTGATCCTCCTGACATTGCGATATGGCGACTTTAACAGGTGCGACACGGAGACCTGTTTCTGGCAACAAAGATGATGACGGCCCGGTAGGAGATCTATATTCCAAGATTGCCACTGGGGGATTCGGCCTGTGGATTTCTGCTGTCGTGGTGCTTGGGCTTTCGGCTGGTATCATCTCAAAAACACCACCAGGTCCGTTGCGGTCTGCGGCTTCATACAATCTGGCGGTGGTAGGCAAACATCCTGAGATACGGAGAGGATATCTGACATTTTCACAGGCTGCGCTGGAATTTTTCCTCGCCTTTAGCTCCATCACCAAGCCTGTTTCGCCTACCAATGCGAGGCCCCCGGCGAGGTTCATCATCATCTTGGCCTTCACCACCATGATGTGGGCTGCTGCGTTTCCCTTGATGTTAGTGATGCGAAGTAACCGTGACACGTACAAGGTTGTCAATTTGGACAAACGCGTCGTGCTCTCTATTGGCACAGGGGTCGTCAGTGCTCTGGAGAACATCACTATTGCGTGTGGTTGTTTGGGAGTGTCTGCATTGTAAGTTCTCTTGTGTACGACACCAGGCAGATACTGATAGATATCCCACGCAGTATTTTCATTCTTTTTCAGTGGTATTACCTGTGTCAATTGTTCTTGGGTAAATTTACTCCCGAGGAGATTCGTCAGGCCTATGGGAGAGGCACTGTATAAGATGAAGGATCAATATCAAACTGTGGGAACCTAGGCGCCTGCAACTCACTATAATGTCTCAACTTCATAACAACCACGAATGCAGCAATGATTGAGTTTTCGGAATTATAAGAACCGTCTGCGTATCAGACTAGTAGTCGCCCACCACTGGCTGGCAACACAGAGCTGTGAGTTGCGCCTCATAGACCAGGGAAGGGCGTTGAGGTTAGTCTCTAATCGATCAGAGCAGGCCTGTCCATATTACTAAGGCCTGGAAGATCAGGAAAATACCAGGTTCAACAAACTCGAAGCGTCACGCTTACAAACATTACAGACGTCAGTCGTTCCATTGCCACTGTTGCTCCAAGAGCATCGTCCACTGCGCGCAGACGTGGAGGCTAGAACGAACAATGAGAGGAGATGAACGACAGCATTCAGCATGATCTCACAACCTGAGGTTCAACAACTAGGTTTGAATCTCGCTCTCAGCCGTCCGGTGCCACTCGGCTGATAACTCGGACTAACTAAGACTAAGACTGAATGCGACTTTACTGCGGTTCAGTTATTCAACTATGATCTACTTTAATTTGAGTCTTGCGGCAATGGCCCTTCAAGGGCAAACTACTTTAAACAGCAGACATTACTTCTTATCCGTCATATACCCACAGTATCCGGCAGCCTGGGCAGACGCGGAGATCCAGCGCTTAAGGATAGGTAGATGTGTCACCTTGGTATAGATATAAGGGCGATATCGATGGTACAAGAGTGCGTAGAGAAACTACTGCGCGCAGGTGCAGTAGAGATACTCCGGGTGCCACAGATACAGGGCCAGCAGAGGAATAGGGAGGTGTGCACCGAGTACAGGCGTCGTATTACACGCTGGTGTCTCTCCCAGACTGGCCACCTAGGCCGCGATAACCTCTATGAGTCTGTTTTCAGTTGATTTTCAAAATCAAGTATTTAGATGCAACACAGCCTTGTGAAAGATGCTTATTTCATGTTCAAAGGAGGAAAGTGTATCCGAACAGGGAAAAGGTTTGCCCTGATGGATACACGCCCAAGAATAATATCTGTATCGCGAATGGTCGACCAGAATGTGATTCAGGCTCTATCTTCAACGGCAAGGTCTGCGTCGGTGAACGGCCTTCTTGTGGAAAGGATACCCATCTCGAAGGAGAGCACTGTGACTCAAACAAACAACAGGTTTGTGACGATGGCTTCAAGTTGGTGAGCCATCATTGCGTTGCCTATGATCCTCCCAAGTGTCCCAAGGGAACCACCTTTGACAAAGCCAGCCAAGACTGTGTGTCAAAGCAGGAGCCTAAATGCAATAAAGGTCAGGTTTACAATGGCGAGCACTGTGCCCTGGCAAGTGGTAAGTGCATCGACTACCAATTCTGCTCCACCGCGGGAGCTGGAATCAAAGATCCCAATTGCACTTCCGGAGGATGGAAACCAGGTAAATGGAAACAACAGGTTACTCCTGGAGGATGGAAAGGAGGAGGCTGGAAAGAAAGTACTGGTGGACAACAATGGAAAGCCAAAGACTGGCAGCCAACCAAGGAAGAAGGTCAGCAATGGATCGCTCGAGGGTCGCAGTAGTCAGACTGCAGGAACATGATTATTTCAATTACAGGGAACAAACAAGACTGGAACCAACAAAAGTTATGAGTTTTTCTAGGATTGCGGAAGGTTTTGATCTTTATATTTCGATATAGCTTCATTCGTCTGGGAATACTCGAATCTGCTTGAACTCGCTTCTTAAGATTATAGCTCACCTCCACTCGTAGAGGTCAATCGAACAGCAAGATCTATCCCGTATCATCTGTTCTCTGTGGATAAGACAGCCAGAACTCTTGTAGTGCAGTAATAAATGACTTCGTGTCCAGTCGACTCGGCAGGCGCACTCCCTGTATTCACACTGGCAAACAATGGAGAGAACATGGACAAAGTCCCTAACAAAGTCTCTATCTTTACTAATTATAAACTAAACTCAAGGCGGTTTCCTGCGTAATCTCTGGCGAAGAAGCGTGTCGGGTATTCGACCCCCTTTTCCCCTACAATCTTAGGATCAGTAACAGTTTCGCCCATCCGCACCGGTTAATCCTCACCTGAACATTCACCCGGTGGATCCGCCTGTAGAGGAGCGGCCGAGCCGCCTCGAAGATGGTGATCGTATATTCGTTGCTGCAGCTTTTGCAGGTCGTCCAACGAGCCTACCTGAAGGCAGGGATGGCGGGGAGAATCCGGATCATTCTGTCCGAATGCAATGTGGATTTGCTGCTTTCCATCTGATGTGATATTAAACCTGATCACTTAGCAATATCCCACCTGGAGAGCAGTCGATATAATTACCAGGCAGTTGTGTCCTTTTGTAACTGGGGGACCGGAGCAGCAGTCAGCCCTAGTGTATCCACGTAGAATGTGTACGCGTCATTTAATGTCCCTGGAGGAACCAGGAGATTAATATGAGAGATTCCACTAATCATCTTGAGAGTATTTCTATCGATTCTTTGATTTATGAATATGGTTATGGGGACATCGAGTCGTTTATGTACAGCTCCGATCATCGGAATCTGAATCCCGTCGTCGGCAATCATCATCATCATCCTCATCCTCATCATCATCATCATCATCATCGTCGTCGTCGTCGTCGTCGTTATTTGTCATCATTATGGTCATTAATTTCATTGTCGTCAATTCATTCTGTGATCCCCCGTGTAAAAGACAATGTGATCTCTGCAGCCTGCACCGAGACTTCCCATGTCTTTCGTAAGCCTCTGATCCCCGTGATGCTAATCTTCCACCAGCCTATAAAGAGTCTCCGATCGAGCTCGTCTTCATCCAGAATCTCTGCCTCCAGTGATCCAACCCCTTTCTTGCCATGCGCAACTAGCCAACGACCACCGGCACGGTTCTGTATATCGACTGGGAAGAAATGCCACCACTCAATGTTGCCGCAATCGGGGTGACTGTTCCCACGGTCGTGGCCTTCTTTACTCCCGCAGTGACAGGAAAACACTCGCACACAGGGAACAGCCATCAAGTACCCCTGCTTGGCTCCGGATGAAAGATCGACGAACGTAATGCAGGAGTCGTACAGCTCAGAATTATCCAGAGCCACCCCCTGTAGCCAGACGGCACTCCGGATCATGGGATCACCAGTAACAGCATGAACGGTGATTCTATCCAGCCGTATCTCAGCTGGAAACGGAGGAAGCTTTGGACTCAATGTCCAGTCCACTCGAACAAAGAGTTGGCGAAGCTGCTCAAAGGACATGCAGTCGAACAGGTACGCATGGAATCCCCGTGGATGAGTCGAGGCTTGATGGCTTGCCAGCTCATTGAGAAGCAACGAGACCTGCTGCCGGTCTTCTGGTGGCGCCTCATTCCACCGGCGACACGACATGATTCCTTGCTGGATGGCTGTTCCTCCTGCGGCAAAATAGTAGACAATGGTCCGCATAACGAGCCATAAAATCTGGAATCCGATCCAGAAGTACAGCGCTTCGGTCGGCTCACCGTCCAGTCGAATAAATGTACCCAGCAAACCCGCCAGGTTGACGGCAATCCCCACTGCCAGCACGATTCGCCACAGCGTATGACGCCGTATGTTGGCAGGGATCCCCAAGACAATCTTTCCTTGCTCGCCCATACGAAGCGGCGACGGTAGGATACCCGCCACCAGGTGTCTTGTCCGCTTGAAAGGACTGTCGCGGCCCAGACCGGTCACCTGCAGGAGGACAGCAGCAACAAATGCATGAGCCCAGCCTGCCATCGTCCACGCCCAGACTCCTTGACTACCCACTTTCCGAAGCGTGAAAACCTCTATCAGCTTGACCAGCGAAAGAAAAAGCCATAACCAATCCCTCCAGGGCGATGGAAGTCCTCCTTGGTCCGGAATGAAACGGTATATGTCAATTGGTGACCCCCTCTCCGCCGCGGGCACCGTGTCCAGCGCCAGTTGAGCATTTTTGTCCAATGTGTAAATCGCATGCGCTGTGTAGACGTCATCATGCGACTCCGACGCCTTGATCCGAGTAATTGCATCCATTTGCGTGGCCTCGTGCGCTGTCATGATGCCAGACCGCCTCTTCCACTGCTGCAGGGAGACGAGAGGCGCAAGGTTCGGCCAGCCATTTGTACGTCCTATCCATGTCAGGGCCCATCGACCGATCCAGTGCCGGCGCGGAACGACCTCGATGGCACCCGCGTCGCCGAAGTCGATACGGCTGGGCGCTCGTCGGAACCGGTTCACTGGCAGGAGGACTCCGAGGGCATTATCGACGAACTGATTGCGGAGACCCATCGATTCGCGCAAAGAGTCTGGCACCGACGCAGACAGACACGCTTTGATAACATGAATTTGCCCGAAACAGCTCATGGGAGCCCAGACAATGCCGCACGCCGCCTTGAGACCGTGAATCAACGCTTCCGCTATGGGGGCGCCTATGATGGTGGACACGGCCGAAATCTCCACCAGGTTGCCTCCTATCCGAGACATATCTGTCGCTGCAACAGTTTGTAACAAGGAAGTGAAGATGTCCGTTAGAGTCCTGAATATCAAAAGAATCGGCCATAGAAGCCAGTCGGTCACATGGTTGGCGATGGCGGGAAGAGAGCCTTGTAGAGGAAAGGTAACATTCATTTCGGCTTGTGCTCACTAATAACAAAAGAAAGGTGATACTCCAGCCAAGCGAGAGGCTGAGGAGCCTTCACAATGAGTTAAAGGCTTTTCCCTCAATTATTGAGGGGCTGACGAGGTCTGGTGAGACGGAACCAGCCACAGCGCCCCAAGACTCGTGTTGCACTGATATTGGCATGTTTGGAGCCAATGGGAAGCTTCGCGGCCCGGGTATAATTGCCAGAAATTGTCAAGCAACTTGGCGGTCTGAGGCATGCCAAGGCTATGGGTAGATACAAATAATCATTCATTGGAGTGTTCGCTGTTTGCTGCAACATACACCTGCATGATCTGTGCCTGCCTCTCTGTATGGCAGCCGGTCCTCCCCCGTCGGTCTGACGAAACTCCAGAAGGACATTGACGTGCATCTATATGTCGTGCAATGTATTCGCCCATCTCGATCATGTCCAATCCTGCAGTTCCTTCCCTGGTCGAGGCACTGGAAAGAAGCCCAGCGGTGGACCAATACGACCCCGTAGTGATACTGCAGAGCCAAGGTGACAAGCCATCATGGCGGCTTGTACCTGACTTCAGCAGATACTGAAGCTTTTGACTAAGCAACTTTTATCGTCGATCGATCCGTATATGCTCTTCGAACTCGGGACACCGATGTTGGGCGAAGCATCCTGTCACTGTACCGTATAGCGGTTGACTATGATGTGGCATGCCTGTACTGTCCACTATCTTTCCTCCTAATAGATGGAATGTGCCAGCTATTTATCCTTGACGTGCGATGATTCCAAGAACATCTAGTTTTTTTCCGTCTGCTATTCGAAAACCCTCTGTGGCTGTGATCCTGTGGCCCAGGGATCTGTGACAGTTATTCTGTCAAATATAGCCATATTAATTTATGTGAATCCCATCTTCAGCTCGTTGACCCAGGTCAATTGGAGTAAATTGTTCGTTACCTTAATACCAGAATATGATAGACCCAAGCCGGTTCGTGCCCACGCTTCTAGACATAGAGCTCGAGGGAAGCCCGTAGCACAAATTCCATACGGAGCTTGCCGAAGTCAGAGACTCACAAGGGGGTTATCTATGGCGATATCCGTCCATTTGCTAACTAGTGCCCCGATTGTGAATAGAATTCAACTTGGAAAGTGAATACAAGCCGTGGACCCCCGACTATATAAGGTTGATGCTGCTTCCAACTCGGAAGCCCTCTTCTCTCAACCTCAACTCGACCGCTGCCGTCAAAGAAACTACAATATCTACATATCAGTTGCATTTGGAAAGTTCCACACCCTTGAATACGTTACAATGGCTTCCTTCTTCCGTGAAGTGGGCCGAATAAACGGCCAATTGCACGTTGCTGCCACGCCAATTTCCAATGTTCCTGTCAGACATGATCCGATGCATCCATTTTATCAGTATGATAAGTAGGTTATACCATCTTTTCTGTGTGTCTTATTCGACTAAAAAATGCCAGTGAACAGGATGGCGATAATGCCGTCCAGTGGCTATTCGGCCGCGACGACGAGGAAGAGGCTGTTGACCACGATGAACAAAACAATGTGATTTACATGAGAAACTGCCCATCGTGCATACGGAGTGCGTGCTACTACATCTACCCTCATACATCGTAGAATGCTAATATCAATCGACAGGGCTGGAAGCTGGTCAGAGCGGCCTGTGCCTAGGTTGCGAGATCTTGGCTTTTGGGGGAATGGTTCTCTTTATGTTCTCATTCTTCTTGCCTATCTTTCTCTTGCTCATATTTCTCTGAGACCACCTCTCACTACTCGAATTCCCATCCGGCTTCTACCCTTTCTGCGTACAGCCGAACCAGATATCATCGGCTTCAGTGAGGATCACCAATTTGACATTGGACCAATACCCCACTGAACATGAGATATCTCCCTTCAATATTATAATTCGGACGCCAGTTGTGGACCTTGTCGCAGCCTCCGCTGAGATCGTCGAGCTGCTGCATAGAGAGAGACGGGGGAACCGTTGGGTGTTGTAATAAACCGAGCTTGGGAAGATGCTGCCAATAGGTGGAGAGATGTATTTTGAACGTCTAACGATTCCCAGAGAGAATCTTAACGATGGCTTGTGAATAACGCATTAAGTGTCTCAGTCAACCTTATGGGGGATCAGATTATTAAGTGGGATATTACCATCATGTTTGGTTGTATGGCTGATTCCCTGCCAGAAGGCGAATGGTATTACAAATCAACATTTCTACCAGTCCATGCTAGTACTTTTTGTATGGTAACGCTGCTAACGCATACACTCAGACTACTAAGGGATAGAGGTCTGATTCCCCCAATCTACCATCTTATACTAAATTGATAGGCAGGAAAAGCGAAAACAACGCTATATAAATAAAGTAGATGTGACTTAGTAGGTTGAACTTGTCCCAAGAACAGTATATTTTTCATAGGCTCGTTGGTCAAATGAATCCAAAGAGTTCAATGAATTCTCACCCAAAACAATAAAGCACATGATGCCGATGACAGCGGAGACTTCTACAGTATGGTATTTCTAATCATCAACGGGGTGATATCCAGCCGATGTGGCTGTATTAAAACACCCATTCCTGTCTTTTACGAGTATTCATCACCATCCATACTCCTTTACCTCTGCAGTAATCCGAAATGTCCCCTATCCGCGTTGCCCTGATCGGCCTCTCTGGTGCCACAGACTACGAAGGCACAGCTTGGGCAGCAAGTGCTCATCTCCCATTTCTGCAGCAATCAGAGCATTTCACTATCGCGGCGTTGCTCAACTCATCCGTCCAGTCAGCTCAGGCTGCTATTGGAAAGTACAATCTCCCAAAGGATACCAAGGCGTATGGCAATCCACAAGGTGTGTTCAACCGTCAATACGTTTGTTGGATAATATTGACTTGAAAGACCTCGCCAATGACCCCGATATCGACTTGGTTGTCTGCGTTGTCCGAGTCGACCGACATTTCCAGACAGTGCGTCCCAGTCTGGAGGCCGGCAAAACGGTCTTTGTCGAGTGGCCCCTCGACCGCAATCTAGACGTCGCAAAGGAAATGGCTGCTTTGGCAGCTGCACACGACGCAAAAACTATTGTCGGACTCCAGGCTTCATACTCACCGGTTGTCCGCAAGCTGCGTCAGTTGGTGCACGAAGGAGCCATTGGCCGGATTCTGTCTAGCACCCTTCTAGTCTCGTGTGGGAACGAGGTGGCCGCCGAGAGTAAGAATGTGCGATACTTCCTCGATAGAACGGTGGGAGGAAACCTCATGAGTATCCATGTTGGACACTCCCTAGAATCTGCGATCTCCGGTACGTCACCCTACATCGGCGACATGTAACATTCTGACGATAGACAGTCCTAGGGGAGTTCAAAACCTTCACCAGCAGCTGTGCCATTAGCCGTCCGCAGCTGGACATTGTCAATTACGCGGACGGGGGCAAGGTGCTCGAGAAAGCAGTGCGCAACACAGTTCCAGATCAGATTCTCATTCATGGCACGGCAGAGTCAGATGCGTTCGTCACCATAAACCTGTACGCAGGGAAGGAAATGCCAGGCCTGCCGCGACTGGACTGGCGCATTCAAGGGGAGAAAGGCTGGCTGCGAGTAACTTCACCTATGGGGTTCCTCAATGTCGGCACGCCAGAGACCAAGCTGGAGCTTTATCGTACTGACACCGCGCAAGTCGAAGAGGTCAAAGTGGACGAAGACGAGTGGGATTCTTTGCCGATCCCTGCTCAAAATATTGCTCGACTGTATGAGGCATATCGTAAAGAGGAGTGGTACCCTACATTTGACTGGGCTTTGAGGAGACATGAGTTGATTGATGGGATGTGGAAGCGATTTGACCAAGGGATTCAGCTGTCCTAAACTGGGCCTACTCATCATGATCACGGCCACCTTTAATAGTAAGGCATCATTTGCAATTTTATCGCTGTATTTAAACGGATAGTTTCGTCTATTTGCCATGGATTGAATGCTGTACCTGATACAAAATACTGTGACACCATTCTGTCCCGCAATGATGTGACCTGTCGGATGGCCCCGCCACCGAGAACAGAACAGCAAACTCCTCAGCAGACGACCGAATCAGGCCATTCAGAGCTGATCAACGCAATTCTATCGTCGATGGCGTGTATCATTTGGTGATAACACGTTGATATGTTCATTTAAGTAAAGATCCACATACAATACATATATAGGAGCAGCTTGGGCAGTGGCGGCATCATCCATCGATCGAGATAGCCACAATGTCAACGACGAAAGGTCCCATTACTACCACCCAGACGCTCTTGCAGAACGGAAACCCGGCCGATAAGAATGGAACTATCACTCAGGTAAAGTCTGTCGAAGTCGACGAACCGCATCCACCGATAAGACCGTCATTTGAGCTCGAGGAACATCCCATAGACGAGGTTCGACAGATCAAAGTCGGGGTAATTGGAGCTGGTCTCTCAGGTATTACAGCCGGAGTATTGCTACCTGCTAAGCTGCCCGGACTGGACCTGAGGATCTATGACAAGAATGCCGATGTGGGCGGCACATGGTAAGACATTGGAGGAGAATTTGGGGCGTAACTAACCTCGTCAGGTTTGAGAACACGTATCCTGGCGTGAGATGCGACATCCCTGCGCATGTCTATCAATCCGGATTTGAGCCCAACACGCAATGGACGGAAGAGTTTGCTCAGGGTCATGAGATTCGCGAGTATTGGCAGCGGGTCGCTCGTAAGTACGATGTCTACAAATATCTCCGGCCACGGCAGAAGGTGCAGAAGGTCGTCTGGCGGCCAGAAGAAGCCAAATGGGAGGTTACTCTGCAGGATCTGGAGAGTGGAAAGGTATTCTCCTGTTATATAGTAAACGAACACGGCTAACATTTCCAGGTCTACGAGGAAAAACTCGACGTCGTGATCAATGCCATCGGGCATTTCAATGCATGGAAGCTGCCCGACTACGAGGGCATCAATGACTACCAAGGCGACCTGTTCCATTCCTCCAGCTGGAATCACAACGTCGACTTAAAGGGCAAAAGGGTCGCACTGATTGGCAACGGAGCATCAGGGCTGCAGGTACTCCCGTCGATCCAGCCCGTCGCAGCACACGTCGATCACTACGCCAGAAATCGCACTTGGATTGCGGATTCGTTTGGAACTACGGGCGTTCGACGGCTAGAGCCCAATCTATTTTCTGCGGAGCAGCTGGAGTCTTTCAAGGACCCCGGGAAGTATCTCAAGTACCGCAAGAGTGTCGAGCAGGGTTACTTCTCCCGTTTCGGGGCCATCTTCAAAGACTCCCCCGAGAATAAGGACCTGCGTGAGAAATGGACGACCCTGATGCTGCAACGTGTGGGCAACAAACCTGAACTAGGAGACAAGATTATCCCCGACTTTCCACCCAATTGCCGTCGGCCCACGCCGGGACCGGGCTATCTGGAGGCGCTCACAAAGGACAACGTCAGCTACATCCAGACACGTATAAAGAACTTCACAAGCAAGGGAATAGTAACAGAAGACGGAACGGAACGTGAGGTTGACGTCGTCATCTGCGCTACAGGAGCCAACGTCGACCACGCGCCTCCCTTCAGCATCATAGCAAATGGCATCGATCTGAAAAGCGCATGGAAACCGGACGGGCTGTACGGCCATCCTTACAACTATCTTGGTGTTGCAACGCCGGGCTTTCCCAACCTCTTCTGGATTGGGGGTCCTCATTCCACCGGACACAGCGGCAGTGTCCCTAACAGCATCGAGAATCTGGTCACCTATGTCGCCAAATTCCTTCGCAAGATCCGCAGCCAGGGCATACGGACGATGCAGCCTTCCAAGGCAGCCACGGACGACTTTGTCGAGTACTGTGATCGGTTTTATCCCAGGACGGTGTGGAGCGACAACTGTAGCTCATGGTATAATGGTGGTCGACCTGGAGGGAGGATCCATGGCCTGTTTCCCGGGAGTGCAGTGCATCTCAACTACATTCGACGTGATCCCCGGTGGGAGGACTGGGAGTACACCTACACCAATCCAAGTGGAAATCGGTTTGCTTACTTTGGCAATGGATGGAGGCAGAGAGAATTGGATAGTGAGGCTGATCTGACGCCGCATCTGCAGAAGCCTGAGACGATTGATCTTCGGTCGTACCTCGAGGGTTGGTGGGATGTTTGATTCATGTTATATAGATCTACAGTAGATATGCGTTCTGGATATATTGATATACTCTTGTTGCACCGTTGAGGTCTCCTTCTGTTATAATATCGGTCAAGCAATATACACAGCTCATTGCCCGTCTCTTGCATATGCAGGAGCTTCCTCTCCCTCTCTCCAGAAGTACTTGGCTCCTGGATGCGTCTCTGGCAGCCGATTCTGGCCTTTCAATCCATACATGTTCTCACGCAGCGTTCCCCCCCTGACAGCGTAATCCTCCCAGAATAGTCCCCGTCGGCGCAGTTCAGGCAATAGATACTCGATGATATCGTCAAAGGTTCCGGGAATGGTAGCGTAGCTGAAGTTGAACCCGTCCACATCGGCCACTTCCACCCATCGTTCCAGTTCATCAGCAACCGTCTGCGCGCTTCCAATCACCTTGGCTCCATTTCCCCCAAGACGCAGGTACTCGGCAATAGTCTTCTTGTCCCACTTTTTACCGTCCGTTCCGGGAACAGTACTGGCCCAGTGGTTGACCATGCTACGGATGGCGGGCTGCTCGACAAAGCGAAAATCCTGGTCATCCTCATACTTGGACAAGTCGTAACCGGACCATCCACCAAAGAGCGCCAGCGCACCCTCTGTGTCACCATAGCTAGCCAGCTCCTCAAACTTGGCCTGCGCCGCTTCATCCGTCTCCGCTACAATGACCAGCAACCCGGCGATGATCTTGATCGACGCGGGATCTCGCCCAAAATCCTTCGCCTGCGCGCGAATACTATCCACCGACACCCTGACCAACTCGGGCTTCTGCCCATTCAGAAAGATCGCCTCCGCGTGTTTAGCCGCAAACGCCTTACCCGCCGACGAGGTGCCAGCCTGCAAGAGGAACGGCGTGCGCTGCGGACTCGGCTCGCAGAGATGCGGACCAGGAACATTGAAATACTTGCCCTCGTGATGGATCTGCCTCACGGCCTTGGGGTCCGCGTATCCCGCCACGCCATCCTTGCGGTTGACGGCTCCATCCCGCCAGGAGCCCTCCCACAGCTTGTACGTGACGTCCAGATACTCGTCCGCGATACGATACCGCTCATCATGTTCCACCTGCGTATTAAGACCAAAGTTCCGCGCCGCGGAGTCGAGGTACGAGGTGACGATGTTCCATCCCACGCGTCCGTTGCTGAGATGATCGACCGTCGAGAACCGCCGCGCAAGGGCATAGGGCGCGTCATATGTTGTCGACGCCGTGATACCGAACCCGATACTCTCTGTTGCGGCCGCCATCGCCGAAACGCTGTATAGCGGGTCATTGATGGGGAATTGTGCGCCGGCGGGGATGGTGGGCTCGAGGTTGGCGGGACCTTTATAGACATCGTACCCGCCCAGCACGTCGGCGAAGAAGATGGCGTGGAACTTGGCTGCTTCGAGCTTTTGTGCCAGGGCGATCCAGTGCTTGATAAACTTGTAGTCGTGCCCTTGGTCGGAGGGGTACCGATGGAGACCGGGATTGAGATGAGAGGGCGATTGCATGGCAAACGCGTTGACGATGAGTTGCTTTTTCTGTGCTGAGCCCATGTTGCACTCCAGAGGTTGATTGAAGGAATAATCAGAGAATGCTGAATTGAATTGGGATTAGTTGTGTAATTCTTCGTGGTCGCATTGGGTAGATATATTTCCGATTTTGTATAGTCAACCAAAGCACGGGATTAGACCCACAGAGCTATTGATACTTACCCCTCATAGCAATCCATCCATAAAGGAGTGTGAGGGGCATATCGTGTCTAGTAATCTGCTAACGTTGCCTAGTAAAAGCAAGACAGGACTGAGCTCGCTCTTCGATGATGTTAGTGGGCTGTGGATTCGTGCCGGGGAGATCAAATTGCGCAACACTTGGCGTTGATTGTAAAGAAACCGCAAATGAGAAAACGAGAACCTAAGGTGTATTAGAGTAATTTTTTTAAAAACATTTGATTCCCTCTACAGAGTCCCGTCTGTGATTCTACCATGCCAAGAGATTGGTAATGCGAAGCCTGGTAGACGGAATAGCCGAATACCGATATCTATTGTAGACTTGACTATCTGTTCGGAATTGTTCTATAACACCAAACTGTCATCTATCGTCTTAAATCCATGACAATTCTCTTCCCTGATGCCTTTCCCTGTCTCAAGGCCTCCAAGGAGTCGTTGATACACTCTAGTCCTCCGTCTGCCAGTATAATCTCCGGCAATCGAATCGTCTCTGTTTGTAGCAGCTCCTCAAGCCAAGTGACCATAGCCTCTCCCACTGCAGGAGAGGTATGGAACAGTTTAATTGGAACAGTATGGTAGACGATCCTGCTGTCCCTCTCTTTGGGCAGCCCAGTCAGCCCCAGCAGATGCGCATGCGAGCCATCATCGTGCACAGAAGAATCAAGTGTCTGCTGCAATAGAGTGGCCGTGTCCTTGCCCACAATATCAATAGCATATCGCAGCCTTTCCTTGGTTACGCCGCGGATGATTTCCACGGCTCTTGCGGTATCGTGGCGGTCAACGAGTAGGTCTGCTCCAGCATCGAGGAGTTTGGCACCGTGCCGAGCTACATCGGCCACGCAGATGACCTTTAATCCCGCTAGTTTGGCAAGCTGTAGAGTGATATACCCCGTCGTTGTAGATGCTGACTTGATTAGCCTAGCGCCATCATCGAGATGGTGTCAGCTCACCTCCCCAGATTACAAGCCAGTCCCCTGGCGTTATTCGTTCCGCTTTCGAAGATGATCGAAAGCACTCATCCGTTATATCTGTCGGAAGCTCCTTGCGGTCGATCTGCAAGAGGGCTCCAGGAAGGTCCGGACCAGGACATCTCTGAATACGGCCAAAATCCAACCCGAAAGAGACGCCCAGTGCCAGAGCAGCTGCAACAAAGGCCACCCCCAAAGACGCAGAGGCATGTATATTGCCTGTCGGCGGAATGCGAGCGGCGTTGAAATGCGTCGCTACTGCATATTCCTGAAATGCAGCCTTGCGCATATCGCGGTAATCCGTGGACGGAACCAGGACGATATCACCGACTCGAAGACGGGAACAGCCTTCGGACACCTGGATGACCTCTCCAGCTAAGTCACGGCCGTTGATCCATGGCAGGGTTGGGATTCCAAAGTTGTATGCACTGAAAGGTCAGAAACGGCCTCATGGGATGGATGGATACTTACGGTCCTTTCCAGTCGATGGGATTCAATCCAATGGCCATGATCTATAATGGTTAGAACATTTCACGCAATCCAGTTGCATTAGTACCTTGACTAAGATCTCATCTTTGTGCGAGACTGTAGGGATGTCATGATCTGTCACAAGAGTATAGTTCTCCCCTATGCCCTTCAATAACAGAACGCTCTGTTGCTTCTTATGTTGTTTGGTGGCTGATGCGACGTCGAGTCGATGTGTGGTGGTAGGCTCTGATGCTCTTCCCGCAGACAAACGACGACGGAATAGCGGTTCTTCCAGGCGACTGACTCGGACATAAGTAGATACCGTAGTCATTTTGTCAGGGTACAAGGATTCTCCTGTGGTGGCGTAGAGTCGAGGTTGTTTCGATAGATAGTATGGATATCAGGACACCACTACGACGGCGTGCGCTTACACGCTGACCAAATATTATCTGCTGTTTTCCCCATCAGGTATTGAATTCCTGGCTCCGCATATAGTCCAGTACACTGTCGTGTCTCATTGCTCTCCAAGAAAGTTCTCCATATGGCGCATGGCGGGGTTATGATGGCGTGATAAAGGCACAACAGTGGTTCAGGAGACGAGGTTTATCATCTCGACCACTGACGTTCAGTTTCTCAATGGAGAGGATGCTCTTGTACTTTGTCCTGGTGGATCAAACCGTGGTTTCGCCATTATAATACTCTCCTCGCCATCGAGCTCGTCGCTATGGGGTCGGTTGACTCTTATCGCAGCATAGGGACTACGGCTTCTCCATCATCCGCAAAGACCGCGATGATGTGATTAGGGCTGATAATGGCGCTGATAGCAGTAGACCCAGAAAATCTGGACGTATCCTCAAAACAGAAAATGCAAATTTGCAAATGCTGTTTGGCAGGTTCAGAGAATTCCTCGACGGCATCATGGTTAGCATATGTCTAGTAAATACTGTGGAGGCAAGATGAACTTTGTAGCCAGGCATACAGCCTCCCTCTAGGTCTCTTATCTACCACAAGAAGAGTCTATGATTATGGTTGCATCTGCAGGGATGGCACGGTCAGATCAGCATTATTAATACTTGAGCTGTACACAACCGCGGCCAACAATGGCGTGCCTAGAATATTGATACACAGTAACGCGTATATGTAGCTCAGGTAGACTAACAAAGGAAATGGTTTGCATGAGACAGATATGATGAAGTCCCATACTGCTGCTAAAGTATACAAAATGGATGATTCTGAAAATCAACCACTCCTATACCCCACATCCGCTCTGTATGAAACTCTTTCCTACGAGTCTATCCAGGACATCAGAACAAATGGGCGTCCTGTGTCTAGCCGCAGCACAATCCCCGAGACTGCCAGCTACGGCCGTAACCTCACATGGACGAGCGCCTATATCCTGGTAATATCGCGCGTCATCGGCAGCGGCATCTTTGCAACCCCAGGCTCAATCGTGAAGTCGGTGGGAAGCGTTGGGTTGGCGCTGCTGGTATGGCTCGTGGGGACAGTGCTGGCAGCATGCGGCCTGGCTGTATCGATGGAGTTTGGCTGTATGCTCCCCCGGTCTGGTGGCGACAAGGTCTATCTCGAATATACGTATCGGCGTCCTCGGTTTCTGGCATCAACGTTGATCGCCGTTCAGGCGGTTTTGTTGGGCTTTACGGCGAGCAACTGCATTATATTCTCCAAGTACACCTTGTTCGCTCTGAGCATTGAGCCGACAGAATACCAGCAAAAGGCTCTGGCTGTAGGCCTCATGACTGCAATTACCATTGTTCATGGGTGCTTCCTGAAAACCGGCATATGGATACAGAACCTGCTGGGATGGATGAAGATTTTCATGATTGCAGCAATGACACTGACGGGGCTCTGGGTGATACTCTTTCGCCGTGAGGAACAGTCCATGTCCGTGTCGAATGATGCGGGCAGGACAGGGTACGACGTCTTTCTGTGGGACAATCTATGGGAAGGGTCGAACTGGAGCTGGAGCTTGCTTTCAACATCCCTTTTCAAAGTGTTTTACTCGTATGCTGGGCTGAATAATGTGAACAACGTCCTCAACGAGGTCCAGGACCCGATCCGGACAGTCAAATCCGTTTGCCCGTCCGCTCTCGTCACTGCTTGTTGTCTTTACCTACTGGCAAACATCTCCTACTTTCTCGTCGTCCCAATCGAAGAGATCAAGAACAGTGGTGAGCTCGTTGGGGCTCTCCTGTTCGAACGCGTTTTCGGGCCGCATGTTGGCAGGACCTTGTTTCCCCTGGCGATTGCGATTTCCGCCGCAGGAAATGTCATGGTAGTCACATTTGCCTGGGTAAGTTGACTCGATGACTTGGAAATACAGTAAATGACGAGTATAGGCACGGGTAAATCAGGAGATTGCTCGACAGGGCTTCCTCCCTTTCTCCTCCATGCTCTCATCATCTCGCCCGTTCAACTCTCCTCTAGGCGGCCTGATTGTACATTATATCCCTTCCCTCTTAGTGATTGTACTTCCGCCTCCCGGAGACGTGTATAGTTTCATTCTAGATGTTGAGGGCTATCCAGGCCAGATCTTCGCCTTGGCTATTGCAGTTGGCTTGCTGATTTTGAGGCGACGTCAACCTAATATTCCACGACCGTTCAAGGCATGGCTTCCTGCGGTCTGGCTCCGAATCGTCGTGTGTGTTGCTCTACTGGCGGCGCCGTTTATTCCTCCTCCGGACAGAAAGGGCGATGTGGGCTTTTTCTACGCAACATACGCAGTCGTGGGTGTCGGCATGTAAGTCTATCCTCCTGTTCAAGAACTGGCTGACAGATACAGTCTACTCTTTGGGGTGGTTTATTGGTATGTTTGGACCGTTCTCCTTCCACGGTGGGGGGGATACAGATTAGAAGAAGAGGTAAATGTGCTGAATGATGGGACCAGTATTACGAAGCTTGTGCCGTCGTATATTCTCTAGCTTTTAACAATGATCTAAATAATCTTGAATCCGTTTGGCTAGACTTGCAGCCGTGGTAGTTGGAACCATTTTCTTCTATAGTTTGACTAGATCTATTTCAAGCTACACACACGGATTATTCCAGCGTAGATTCAGTACGAAGAGCACGGTACGGTAGATGTAGGTCAGTAAGAACTGTCCGTGCTGCAGTCAGACTGGCATACAGGCAAAATGGCGTGAACGGATGGCATAACATGGCCTGATTAGAAATGTACTGGCTATATTATAAATGCATTCGTTGGCGTTTATTTGCCATCTGCGAGCATCACATGTCGTTTTGAGGATGTACAGTATCCTGAAGAGCAACTCATCAGTCACAGGGTCTGACAGCGCCAATCATCGTATTTCCTATTTCTCAGCATCTGATGCTTTCTAAGATGATGCTCGACTCGCAGCCATGACGTGCTGATCTGACAAATGCCTACCCCGCAAGAGAACTTGGTGATATAAGACCAGTTCAATGGAATGGCCGATTTATACCATCACTATCGATTAAATTCAGAAGCAATTACCAGCGAAAGACATCGACATGGCATCGGCAGCTGTTCAACTCCCAACTACCCATGAGCCTCAAGCTCAGAGAGCGCCTCTCCTTCCGACTTCAAACGCACCACATCATGTGCAGACCACTCTTAATTTCCTCAAAGAGAATGAGGATGGCTCTCCTCCGGCCCCGACTTACGTCGGTAAGCCAGAGACCTACGACCGGCCTTCGGTGACGCTGCCTGTTACCATCCACGATGTCAGCGGCCACGAGCTGGAGTACACTCTGGACAAGAACGGGTTCCAGTTCTACTACCACGAAAGCAAGGAGAAGGACTTTGTCGACAACGAGAAGATCAAAGCCGAGTACTACCCTGAGGTAGAGCAGCTGCTCAAAGATGCGTATGTACATAAAACCCATCCGCAACGGAATATACTTACAGAACGACCAGCACCGGCGCATCCAAAATCTTCATCTTCGACCACACAATCCGCCGCCAACCGGAAGACGCACGCTCTTTCGCGGCCCAACTCCGCGGTCCCGTCCAGCGCGTCCACATCGACCAGTCCTACGCTGCAAGCAAAGACCGCGTCTCCTACCACCTCCCCGACGAAGCCCCCGAACTCCTCAAAGGCCGGTACCAGATCATCAACGTCTGGCGGCCGATCCGGACCATCCTCAAGGACCCGCTAGCCGTCGCAGACGCGCACTCCGTCCCGGACGATGACCTCGTCCCGACCAAACTCATCTACCCGAACCGGGTGGGCGAGACGTACACGGTGCGACCGAATCCAGGCTTCAAGTGGTTCTTCCGGTATGCGCAGACTCCGGAGCTGGTGACGCTGATCAAGTGCTTTGATTCCAAGACGGATGGGCGGGCGAGAAGAGTGCCTCATTCTGCATTTGTGGATCCGGCGACGGAGGGTGAGGCGCTGAGGGAGAGTATCGAGGTTCGGGCCTTGGTGTTTCATCCGGAGGATCGGGAGTAGCTGTCTTTGTCTGGTCCGGTCCTTAGACAAGGAGATTCATGCTGTAGTTGTCATTCGTTCTTGTGGCCTTATATTAAATGTGATTTATCAGACTGTACTATTCCAGATCTTGAAGCGTAAGTTTGATTGGACAGACTCAAGTGAATTAGATCTGAGCCAGGTGCAGCCACCCTCAGGCATGCACTGTTCCACAAAGCAAGGAGCAAAACCGAGTCTGGTAATTTTCACTTCAAGGATTCAATCATGGCGAGGATAGAACCAATTGTTACTGGAGCGCTCCCCTCATATTGATCATCTTTGCTAAAATGCCGTGCGAGCACGTAATCCGCCTGGCAAAAGACAACATTACTTCAAGCTCTGAACTCAGGATTTGACCGCGAACAACTGTCGAAGCACTTGATATCTTTGGTTTAGCTTGCCATGCTACTTCTACATGGTTGGTTAGCTAAAGGGACACATTCTGGATTGATGATTTGCGATATCGCCATCGCACGCTAGACATATAAAGCGATACACATACTACGTGAACGGTCAAACATTGTCTAAAGATCTACCAAAGCCAACATGACCGCAATTGAGAAAGAAGTCCGTCCCACAGACGAAGAAGTTGCTCGCAGCATATCGCCAGAACCAACGAAGCATCCTGGTAAGTCACCCCTCCAGTAACTCGTCGTCTCTAACGAAACAGTGAAATGGTACCGCTCAACCTTCTACAACGCCCTCATCCTGGGTATCTGCAACTTCCTCGCCCCCGGCATCTGGGGCGCCATGAACTCGCTCGGCGCAGGAGGTGCAGAGAAGCCCTACCTCGTCAACGCCGCCAACGCACTAACCTTCTGTCTGATGGTGGTGACCTGCTTCTTCGGCAGCGCCGTGGTGCGACTCGTCGGCATCAAATGGACCCTCGTGATCGGGACGATGGGGTACGCCCCGTACGCTGCAGGGCTGTATACAAACAACCGCTTCGGGACGGAATGGTTCGTCCTGCTGGGCGCGGCGCTGTGCGGTTTGTCCGCCGGACTATTCTGGATGGCGGAGGGGGCAATTGCGCTGTCGTATCCGGAACCACACAATCAAGGCCGGTTCCTGGGTTTCTGGCTTAGTTTCCGCGTGGGTGGCCAGATCCTGGGCGGCGCGATCAACCTGGGGATCAACTCGAGTCGGTCGACGGCCGGAAGCGTCTCGTACTCGGTCTACTTGGTGTTTATTGCGTTGCAGGCTTTAGGTCCCTTTGCAGGCTTGCTTCTGAATAAGCCGTCGCGGGTACAGCGAATGGATGGTCTCCCTGTCCGCCTGCGCATCTCGCATAGTCCACTGTATGAGCTCAAGGCGATGGCAAAGCTGTTCGTCCGCCGCGACTTCCTCTTGATCATCCCGCTCATTGTGCAGGCCGTCTTCAGTGAGGCTGTTATGTTCACGTTTCTATCGCTGTGGTTCTCTGTGCGAGCTCGTGCCCTCGGGTCGTTCCTGTCCGGAATCATCGCCTTGATCGTGGGTAATCTGCTCGGAGCGTTCCTGGACAGTCGAAAGCTGTCACTGCGGTCGCGAAGCCGGGGAGCCTTTTTCGTGGTGCTTGGCCTACAAGGCGCATGGTGGGTTTGGGCGACCGTTATCGTGACCGAGTACCATCGCACGCTGCCGACGTATGACTGGACGGATGCTGGCTTTGGGCGAGGCTTTGCACTGTATCTGTTTTGGGTTGCGGGGTTTCAGCTCAATTACATGTATCTGTATGTATCCTGTCTCTGTCCTTGGATCCGTGCTAACAAGGCAGGTTCTTTGTCGTCGGCAATCTGGCGTCGAGTGAAGAAGAGGTCGTCCGGATGGCCAGTCTCCTGCGTGGGACAGAGTCGGCCTCGCAGGCTGTATCGGTATGCCACTTCGTCTGACGGTGCGATACTATTGCTAATTCCTGTAGTATGGTCTGGACAGTGTCAAGATCATGAGCTCTGTTGGCAGCACCTACCTGAATTTCGGTTTGTGGGCCATTGCACTGCTACCTGCGTGGCTTGTGATCAAGGAGATTGGAGTGTCTCTGGGGGATAGGAAGGTCGAAAGGGAGACTCGGGGGATTGACAATGATTCGCAGGGATAGATATGTATTCTCTATCGAGAGGTATATATAGTGTGTGACGAATGGTACGGCTGGCTCAACACAGTGAAGAAGCTCCTCGTATATATGCAACAATAACAAACAAAGCGCAGAATATCGACGGGTATTCAACTACACTCTCGCTAGAATCCACTCGGCGATATCATCGGCAAACACCTGCCGGTTCTCAGGCAGGTCCGCATGGAGCAAATGGCTCCATCCCTCGTATGACTTGAACTGACGGTCGGCGACCTTGCCAGCCTGCGCGTCGAACCAGTGCTTGCTGGCATCGTAACTGGTAACCTGGTCTGCCGTCCCATGAGCCACATACACCGACTTGACGCCATCATTGAGCACCAATTTGCCCGACGTCAGATCAGCCGCCCGGTCGAGCATATGGGCGAACATCTCCAGTGTGCCGGTGGTGTGATTGAGGGGATCCTCCTTCAGCGTCTTCTGCACGACGGGATCGCGCACAATCGTCTCGACCTTCATGGGTTGGACGAGTTGGAACCGCGGTAGGAGCCTTCCGGCCAGCCGACCCAGGAACACGGTAATGATACTGGGTTTCTGCTTCGGGTCGAGCCCGATGAACGGGGCCTCGAGCATGATCCCCCGGAGTCGGGAGACGAGCTCTTTATACTTGGGGGTCGAGGCCAGCGTGGCGACCAGACCTCCGCCCATGGAATGGCCCATCACAAAGACCGGGACATCTGGCGGCACCTCGAACTGAGCCTCGATGAATGCAGCCATGTCGGCCAGGATGGCGGTGGTCGGGCCAGTGTTTCCACGGTCGGCTTTTGTCTGGGCCGACCGACCCCAACCACGCTGGTCGATTCCCGTGCAGAAAATTCCACGGCGGGCTAATGATGGAAATAGATCATACGTGTTGTTGATGTGGTCACTGAAGCCATGAAAATGGATCAGTTTTGCGACCGGGGGCGTCGTCGGCTGTGGCAGAGGTCAGTTTAGTGCCAAGCACGGGCAATGGCAGGAGGGAGCAAACGGACAGCCCATGTTTTGTGGTAGACCTGGAGCCCATCAGGGAGCTTGAACTGGCTTTCGGTGATGATGACGTCGGTCATCTTGCGACTCAGTATACTTCTGATGGACGATGCGATGAACCACTTTGATCAGAAGTAAATTTTTGAAGCTGACCTGGAGTATCTCAGCTCTTTCTCAGCTGCTCAACCTGAGGAAGATCCGAGGCATCCAAGGCATCCAAGGCACGTGCAAGGCGCAGTCACGGGATCAGATGGCTGACACATGATATGCAACAGCTGCATGAACAAGACTAAGCCATTATGCCAGCATTACTAAAGAAATATACTGCTCAAGGAATTGGAGATGGGGATCTACTATGGGGTATTGCTCTCTTTCTTGAGGACGGATGTGTTGCCCCGTCCCTCTCTCGTTCTGTCTGTCGTGTGGAGATATATTTCGAGCACTACTACAGAGTACTCCATATATATCTCGCTTAAAGGTAGCTTGACGATACATTGACAAACAAGCTTTTTCCCCGGCAGATCAGAGGAGTACGGTAGGAGCAGATGAATGACTGTTTCCAATAAGAATTCTTCAGGAAGTCATGCAATGTGCGACTACCGGCGAATTGGCGATACAAGTCCGGATTCGCCGCTCATTGAATATCGGAATGGGGGCGGAAAGGGGGAATGCTACGCTGACCAAGCCGTAAAGGAGTTTTTCCAGGGCGCATTGGCATCAAATGTCAAATAAAAACATCCGATCCCCAATCAGCGGCTGGATCTTCAGCCATGTTTCAGCCAGCTGGACTCTGCTATTCTGGCCACAATAGCAGCTCTGGCCTCTGGATACAATATAAAAGGCACCATATACCTCATTCTTTGCCCATATCAGCAGACAAGCATCACCAGGACACTTGAGAAGTTCTCCAATACCCTCACCACCATGCCGTCCAAAACCATCATCCGCCAACTGGCCATCTCCGTGGCCCTGTGCAACTCTGCCTTGGGCCAGGTCGTCAATGGCGCCGATTACAACAAACCTAATGGAGGTCCTCCGGCCAGCTTCTTCGCCGCTGCATCGACCATGCCCGTGGCGGCCCTTCAGGCAGCGGCCGCCAAAGCCAGCAAGGTTCCCAGCCTGGCCACGTACCCCGTGAGTCAGGACAGTGGTGCGGCCAAGTCGACCATCCACACCGACTGGGCGTCGTTCAGTGAGGGCGCTTCCATCTCCTGGGTAGCGGACATGGACGTCGATTGCGATGGGCTCAATTCTGGCTGTCAGGTGGGTTCGGACCGCGGTATTGACAACTCGTCGCTTACCCAAATAGGGAAATCCGGATGGACAACCTCAGACCAACTGGGGCGCTCTGTCTGCGTATGAAGTGCCTTTTATTGTTATTCCGGACAAGTACCTGTCGGCCAATACTGGCGCTCTTCCTGGCAACAACATTGCCGCCGTCATCTGGTGCGTCGCGCCATCTCCGTTAGTGAGGGACTACTGACACTGTTAGCAACGGCAAAATGTTCTATGGTATTCTTGGAGACTCCAACGGGGACAGCCCTCAGGTCACCGGCGAGGCGTCCTGGTTGATGGCCCGGACGTGTTTTCCCAACGAGGGCCTGAACGGCAATAACGGCCACACCGGTGTCGATGTAACCTGTATGTTATTTTACGCCGTTGCTCTACTGATGCTAATACAAGCAGACATCGTCTTCACCGGCAAGGATGCAGTGCTCCCCAGCAGTGCCTTGACGAAAAACTACATCACCAATTTCACCACCCTACGCAGCATGGGCGACAAGCTCGTCAACGCGCTGGCGTCCAAGCTGGGACTTTCGGGGACTCCGCCCACAAAGACCACTACTCTGGTCACAACGACGACGACCAAGCCGACCTCTACGGCTTCATGCTCCTGGGCGGGACACTGCTTGGGTGCATCTTGCTCCAGCAACGACGACTGCGCCGATGCTCTCGTCTGCGCTGCTGGTAAATGCTCGGTGGATGGGGCGGCGACCTGCTCCTGGGAAGGTCACTGCGAGGGTGTGTATAGCTGATCGCCCTGTTTGTTTCTATACTGACCGTTGCAGGTGCTTCCTGCTCGAGCGATGACGATTGCGCGGACGACTTGTATTGCAAGAGCGGTTCCTGCACTGCTCCATAGACTCATGGACTATGATGATGTTATGACTTGGCAGTAGATAGGAGAATGGATTCGTCTCATTGTGTCTATACCTTGTGCATAAAGTTGCATAGAGTGTAGTGTTTGTGCATAGTTAGTAATGTTAGCTTACTAATGCAGATGACTCAGCAGACGCCTTGTGATGTCATGCCTTGGGCAACAACACATTCGTGTCTTGATAATAATCTCCTTCTCTCAACTACCTTGCTCTCTCTACTCTTCTACTCCATAATCTGTGCAAGATATTAGATACAATGGGCGTCGAAGAACTAAGCAGGTATGTTACTATCCACGAAAATAGTGTCGTGTTAACAACATCGTAGTCTACAAGCATTCCGGTCTGCCGTTGCAGACAACATGCTGGTGCTGGTGGACGCCTACGCTGACTGGTGTGGCCCGTGCAAGGCCATCGCTCCCAAGGTGGAGCTGTTCAGCAACCAGTACGCCAATATTAAATTCTTCAAGGTCAACGTCGACAAAGTCCCCGATGTGGCACAGGAGTTGGGAGTGTCGTCCATGCCCAGTTTCTACCTCTTTCGAGCGGGCGACTATGTGGATAAGGTAGTTGGCGCCAATCCGGGGCTGCTTGAGACCTACATCAAGAAACATGCAGAGAGCGCCCAAGGGTAACTGCATCTACTGATCATGTATATACACCTGGATGTCGTTATTCTGGACGAGTGGACTCCGATTTACTACTTTGTTTTGATCTCAAACACCCCCGTAGCAGCCGGCTTGCTCAACGCCCATTGCACCCCATGCGCCATGACCGAATCCCATCGCTTGCATTCAGACAGCGTCGCATGCACTCGGAATCCGTGCGGTAAGCCAGGAAAGACATGAACGTCGGTAGGAACTCTGCCGTAGTTAGTATACACGCCCACAATGACTGCTGCTCGACTCCAACGCACCCATTATCTGTCAACAATTTGGCGAAAAACAGCCCTTCATCCCGGAGGGGATCACGGCCGGCAATTCCAAACGTCGTAGGAGGCAACCCCCGGACCTGTTCCGCAGTGGCATTCCCCGGATTGAGCATCAGGTCCGTGTCGTTGCTCTTAGTCTCCAGCAGGCCCATGAAGAAATTGATCCGTGTCACCGGGAGAATCGGCGCATGCTCGCTGTCTACGTAGCTGGACAATTTTGGATCCTTGAGGTATTTGTGCTGCGGCGCATAGCACCCCGGGCCCACCAGTGCCGGGATCATGAGCACCTGTCCTTTGATTTTCGGTCGCTTGGCCAATTGCTCGTCTGTGCCCAGGTGCTGCGCCAGCGTCAGGGAAGCAGTCATCCAAGCGCCGGCGGAGATGCCTCCGACGACAACATTGTCGCCATCCCCGCCCAGTTCCGCCAGATGGTCGTGAACCCAATGAAAGGCGTCTGCGGCGTCGTTCCACGGGACGGGGTACTTGTACTCAGGGGTGTGGCGGTAGTTGACATTCACCACCACGACGGGTGTATTTTCCTTGGCCAAAGTAGCGACGATCCGGGAACAAATCGCGTTTTCCGAGGCCAGAGTGCCGAACAGAAAACCCCCGCCGTGTAAATGGAGGTAGACCGGTAGGCGCTGAGAGGACGGCAAACCGACAGGACGGTAGCTGCGTGCTTCTAACGGGAAGCCATCTCTTGCTGGGATAGAATAGTCTTGCATCGAGACTTGCGATTGCAGTCCTGACTGTGTCATTAGATGCATTTTGTATTATTCCGGCATAACCTACCTTCATTTACCATCGCGTTAACGGCCCTCTCCTCCCGAGCTCGGTTGAACATGTCCTTCATAGTATGGACATCCCAGTTCGTGGCCGGTGGCGGAAGTGTCTTTTCCAGAGCAATCCATTCTTCTGTAGGTATGCTGTATTCCGAGTAGTCTGCCATCTTCCTGTCTGTACGGTCTTCAAAGATCAATGTGAGGTATTTGATATTGCGGAGATGGACGGCGGGGTTATATCAGTCGAACGGAGATGATAACCGAATGCCGACAACAGATGCCGATTGGGTTTCTCATGGCCTCTTTGAATAGAATCCTACTGAAATAGACAAGTAGCCGGGATTACTCCGGCAGACTACACTCTGAGTGATTTATATTCTGCATTCAACATATACACTGCCACTGGCAGCCTTGGCAGGCAATGCCATTCCAACCACTGCTGTCGTGCCTCCATCAACTGGCAAGATTACTTACCCGTCATGCATCGGGCTGCGCGTATACACCATTCCTGGACAAACGCAATGCACTCAGATGCCGTCCTCTTGAGAACTCGGACTCATACTTGGCCATCAATACCATACTCGAGATATTGATGTCGAATCCCGGTGCTTACCTCTCCATGACCGTCTCGGCCGTGCACCCCGACACAGTTGAAGAGGGTATCCAATCTTCCATTGCTGCTTCATGGCGCATACAACTGTACAACTGTCTTTAGCGAGAAAAATGGCCGCCGTACACCCATTGCCCATTCCCTCGCCTGCCGTGCCTGCCCCAGTCATGATGGCTACTCTGCCTGCGAGACTCGAGTCGGCCTCTTGATTTCGGGCCTAGCGTCGTTCCATATCCGTTACAGATAACAGATGAATGGGATGATTCAGTTGTACAGAAAGTATCGCGTCTCCCCAGTCCAATTTCTTGAAGAATGATCGACATATCGACGAGGGCCACTGGTCACCCCGCTTCGGCAGCCGAGGTACAATCCTGGTCGTCTTCTCGGCATGATTCGCCCCGAGGGAAGTAGACTAAATAAGGGATGATCATTATAATAATAGCCGATCTTTCACCATGTATTATTTATTCTGGGGGTGGAGCAAACACCGAACCATCCTATGCAGATTCCCTGCCATATATGGTTTCCTCAATAAACTGTTGCCCCCCCCCGACCCCCCGACTGGGAAAATGCTGTATTCCAAAGAAGGTACTCTCGTCTGTCCTTAGGAAGACTTCGAAGTGGGATACAGTACATGATCTTCACTAACAATGCCAGAGCTCCTCGTCGAGCCTTTCCGGGAGAAGATTGGTTTCTTGCGAAGGCTCTATACGCCCTCAATCCACTTCGGTGGCGTAAAAATTCATCGTAGATAATCTGCCAAAGATCGGCTATTATCATATCTTGCTGGACCTACCAATGCCACCTCAGAGAACGCGAGAGTGGCTTCCTCGCGGAGACACTGCTCTGGACATGACTGGAGAAAGGCAGCGAATCTGGCGAGATACGACGTTGATACGATCCTGATGCCACTCTCCTTGGCTAAGCGGATTGCCGAGCTTAAACTACAGCTCACAGAACTACTCAGTACTGAGATGGTACTGAGATGAAGTTAACGAATCTAAAAGGGATACACAGCTCAAGTGTTGCAGAGGTTATATATCCGCGGAGTTGCTCAAAACTTTATAATCACCGGACATGAACTCATGACATCACCCCCCGCCTACTTATAAATGTCCACGGCCAGCACGATTGACCCAATATTCGAGACTCTAGAGAGCAGTTTGATGTCAAGATTTCAGAATGTCCAAATACGTATTGTTTGGGGGATCTTGGCTGAGAAGGGGTCCTCCATGGGAATGGGTGTTGATACCTACGCGTAGTCCAGCCCTGAGAAAACCACTGTCGACTTGGACGACAGCAAAGCCAACATCCTCGCGGCCAAAAGAGTGTCTACAAGTCTGGCCATGGTTGGCTGGTCCTATCCTCGGAGCCAGCCTGTTCTTCTCCGTGCACAAGCGTCCGATCCAGCTCGAGACAGACACATTCCTTCAACGAGTCAACCTAACTCGCGAGGAATCTCAAGACGACATTGACCTACCCAAAGAAGACGCTATTCTGACCCCCGCACCTAACGTCCCTCCTCCCATCACCCGGACACATCCAGTTCTTCTCCGCGTCCCATTGACGACGAGCACCAAAACGCGCCAACTAACCAGTCAATACAAGTTCGACACATGGACCTTCAACGACAGCGTCCCCGGCCCGTTCATCCGCGCGCGCGTAGGTGACGTTGTCGAGCTAAGCCTGACCAACCATGACCGCACCGGCAACCCACACAACATCGACTGCCACGCCTTCACCGGCCCCGGCGGCGGCGCAGCCGTCACCACCGCCGAGGAACACGAGACCAAAACCGCGCGGTTCAAGCTCCTCTGCCCGGGTCTGTTCGTCTACCACTGCGCAGCGGCCCCGGTCCCCGTGCATATCGCTAACGGCATGTACGGGCTGATCTACGTGCAGCCTGAAGACGGCGATGCCCTCTCCCCGGTGGATAGGGAGTACTACGTCATGCAGAGCGAGTTCTACCACGAACCTCCTGAGATTGAGGACGACGGCCGGCCCTCGTCTACAGTCGAGTTCTCGTACCCTGCGGCGCTGCGCGAGGAGCCCTCCGCGGTAGTCTTCAATGGGAGCGAGTCGGCGCTGACGCGGGACCGGCCGCTGAAGGCGAAGACGGGGGAGTCGGTGCGGATCTTCTTCGGGAATGCCGGGCCCAATCTGACGAGTTCGTTCCATGTCATCGGAAGCCATTTCCAGCACGTCTTTCGGGATGGAGGGGTGGTTGACCCGCCGGCGAGGGTGTTGTCGACGGTGGGTGTGCCGCCGGGCGGTGCGGCAATTGTCGATTTGAAGATGATCGTCCCGGGGACGTATACGCTTGTCGATCATGCGATATTCCGCATGGATAAGGGGGCGGTTGGGTATTTGAATGTGGCGGGGGCTCCTCGTCCGGACATCCTTTATAGTGAGATGCCGCCGGAGCCTTGTGTAGGGTGCAAGCTGCATCCATAGATCTCAGAAGTTGTCTATACCATTGAGTAAACTCTCAGTCTCCCGGTTTATGTCAAGTATTTTGGTCGCTGTCAAATGTGCGGCGCAGCATATATGGAGGATGCCTGTATGAGATATGTGAAACGTATTTATGTATTTGCTCTAGGGAGACCCTGTATGGACATGAATAGTCATAAACACTATGCGGCTGGAACCATAGCCCGACCAGTATATATCCATCACCTAGAAAGCCCCCTTTCCAGGAGTCGTATCCCCGTTCAGCGCAGCACATCCTTCCTGGTACACAGCCTGGTCCAACAGCTGCGCGCGGGTCTCAATCTTATATGCAAGCCCGATCAGCGTTTTCTCTGATTGACGTTAGCATCACGTCTTATCATCAACTGGTGATTCAGTTACTGCTAGGATGATACCTCGGCCATCCAAGGCTATCCAACCCCCGCTCGGTATCCATCGCAAACTTCACCCAAGCAGACGCAACATACCTATTCGCCCGCTTCTCCACCTCAGAATCAGGAGTGCCGGTGACATTCTCTACGGAAAACGCTTGAAAGATATCGTCCCCGATGACCGAGTCAAAAGCTCTCAAGGTCTGATCTACGCATTGCTTCCATCGCGACTGATGACTGATGAGGACAGTGGTTTTACGGTACCCGAATCGCGTACAAGGTTGTCATCACCGTCAACAAGATCTCCTCCTGTGTCTCTACCTTCGCATCTTCATCCAGCCCGTCTTTCGCCGCATCTGCTACTGCGCGATCGCCTTTCTTTCCGCCTGGGGTCTCGCCTATATACTCGATACCTTCTTCCATTGTACCCTCGTTGACGCATACTGGGGCAAGACAATCATGAACAAGACTTGTGTCAACAGCAAAGCGCGGTGGTTGTCGTATGCCGTAATCAATATCGTTTACGACGTAGCCATCCTTGCGCTGCTGGTGTACCCGGTTTCGCAACTACATCTGGCCCGCGGGAAGAATATTTACTGCGCTGGCAGTGATGTTCGGCCTGGGGACATTGTATGCCGCCTCCACATTCAGTATGATCCAAGCTAACGAACCAGTGCCTGCATAACGAGCATCATCCGCACAACCACTCTTGCCGAATCAGCCAACAACAACGAAAAGATCCTACCAGAAGGTGGTAATCCTCCAAATCAACGAAGCACGCTGACAATATAGGCGGCCCCATCCCCGGCACAATCTGGAGCGTCATCGAAGCCAACGTCGCATCATCTGCGCATGTCTCCCCGTCTACCACCAATCGCTGAAGTGATGCCTCCCGCGCCTTTTCGGTTTCCAGCACTCGGCGCATCCCTCCGCCAGGCCATCGCGCGGAAGAGGTCAGAAGACCCCCGGGAGTAGTCGGTCACTACAGGATTGCAAGGATACCGCCTGGCGCGAGCTACATGGTAGTGAAGGTAGTTGCTCGAATAATGTGTCGACGCAGGGGTTTGAGATGTGTGATGTCGAAGGCAGGAAGACGGAGGCGAATGAAATCATGCGGATGACGGGCGTGAGTGTCTCGTACCAGGACGATCAGAGGTCCGATGCATACTCGAAAGAGCGGAGGATTGAATTGGCGTTTGAGTGTGATACCCCTGCCTGTATACAGAAAAATTGGTTATGCCCTTGAGTAATGAATTACAATTATGTCATGACATCAGTCCAGCAACGACGTAGACTTGTGTTCAGTGACTGCTCACACAGCAGCAGAGCCAGTCAATAGCTAACGTGGACAGTCTTCGCCACGCCGAGTCCAGGGATTGATCAGAGTATCTGAAAATTCTGATCTTCCGTGCGAATTCTGGACGTTGCCATTCTCAGGCTAGCTGCATGTGCATATTTAATATACACAAGGGCCTCGCCTGCGGTCGGTTAGCAGCGGACGGTACCCCAGTCGCGTCAATCGACCTCATGAGGCCGTCTATAGCCGACTCATGAGGAATGTCAACACAGCCTCAGATGGATAATTTGTACCTAACCGTCAATGCAATGCCAACCTCATCCTCATTCCTCCCTCTAAATACTTCTAGATCGCTCTCGAAGTCGAGCTGCTTCAAGTCTAGATGGCACAACCTTGCAAGTTCTGTGTCACAATGATGCATTGTATGTACCTCTGAGTAATGGAAATACCAGGATCCCTTGCGATTTTCCCGACATGCAGGCGGATGGCCTGACAATAGCATCAATACCACTCTGACAGGGAAAAATTTCACGTCGAAGAAACGGCTCGTCTTGGCCGACTGTGATCCATCTGTTGTCTGTATGATTCTAGAATGAGGCAATTGTGATCATATCCATAGAATCATCTATGTATTCTGCACATGCCAAGGAGTACGTGCCGAGCAACAGACTACGACCTCATGGTGGCGCTGGGCAGTCGCAAGGTATATAAAGGAGGCGAGATCCAGTGTAGTTTGCCAGAAATCATCAGCAAACATCCTCATTGATTCATTGACTCAATTCACCCAGACCTCAAACATCCAACCCTTGATCACCATGAAGTTCTCCCTTGCTTGCCTCCTTGCGTTGGCCGGACTCCAGTCCGCCCTCGCCGACCCAAAAACCTGCGAAAAGGAAGCCCAGTTCGTGAAGCAAGAGCTGGTCGGCCAGCCGTACTCTGAAGCCGTGGTATGTGTTTGAGATATTCCATATCAGGACGAAGCTGACGCGGGTCAGGCAAACGCGCTGCAATCGGACCCCATTCGCGTCCTCCACCCTGGAGATATGACCACCATGGAGTACATTGCTTCCAGGTACTGTCTGCCCCAATTGTATATTCTATGGTAGCTGTGACTGACTGGGTGGCCGACAGATTGAACATCCATGTGAATGAGAACGATGAGATTCTCTCCGCCCATTGTGCTTAGAGCACGGGCACGGTCGACCTAATGGTCAAGGAATAGGGATATACAAAAGTACTGTCATTTTTAGTTCATATAATGGAGAGATTATTAATTATTTCTGGTATTATGAAAGAAAAGAGGTAGCTCAATGACGTAGTATAGACAAGGTGTCGTGGTGATTATGGCTGTCACACTATAAGCATCGTTGGTGAAACCTGATTATAATCCTAGTAAGCATCGCAGTAAGAGAGCCTTCAGAATGAGAACGACATGTATCCGAGAAGACTGAAATGTAATCAGGAACGATACGGTGTGCGCAAGTGGCGACTGCCTAAATAAGCCAGTCCTAGGTAAAGGCTTCTATACCAACTGCAGTGAATATACAGGTCTGTCATCCGGGATTGCTTTCTTTGCGAAGTAGATTGCATTGTACTCGTCGTTTCGGGATCCGATATTGGAGTATCTTGACCCGTCTTCAGTTTGTTCTTCTGTAGCTGGGGGTTAGCCTACGCAAGCCATTCACCAGTGTCTAGCACCAGCGGGATAGACAGGATTTTACCTTGACTGCCCGAGACATTGTTGGCTTCCACTGTCAGAATATTGATCTGGACGATTTCACACGCCTGTTGAGCATTATGAAGTTGGGACTAGAAAACCACCAAGGAGATCGCAATTACTACAGCTTTGTCCGAGACAAAGAGACAAAAGGGAAAGAAAGATAGGAGTGGAAGGGCCATGCCTCGGGTATGGATAGAGTGGTGGAAAAAGAAGGGTGTCCTCTATCATTCATCATCAACCCTTCCAGGGAGTATATGCCCAGGTGAGTACATCGAAAATGTATAAGTGCTTGGTTTGCTCTTTTAAACAACAGTCTCCTAATCCTGTGGCTTCTGGCCGTAAACATGATACCACTTAGCATACATGTGGATGTTACGATTCAGCAATTCCGCTCTGGCACCTGCCAGAAGGGCATGCACCTCAGTGATATGCCATCCGAGAACCCGTGTCATCAGAGCGAAACTGTACGCATCCAGACTCTCTATCATATTTACCTGATGGAATTTGCCCAGCTCCTTCAGCTTGGGGTCCTTTGCCCAGGGTGAGAAAGGGATCTGTGTCTCCGATTAGTGGCCAGGTTGGTAATAACTACATTCACTGCTGCCTACCTTGTAGATCTCCTCGCGGACATTGACAAATCCTGCATCTTCAAGGCGCTGCTTGTGCTGGTTGGCCGTTCCCATCAGCTTGCCGAACCTTGCGCTGGCGTCGCATACCAGCCGGTTCACCTCGAGCATGTTCTTTGCCTCTTTGACGGTATCGTCGTCGCAGCAGACAAGCAAGTCGGCATCTGCGAATTCGAACCATCCGCCGGGCGCTAGGTTCTTGAAGGCTTGCGCGACGAGGCGATCGTAATCGGACACCGAGCCTTGCAGGTCGCGGGCGTGGATGAAATCGAATGGCTTGGAGTATTCCCATTCGGACTCGAAATCGTCCACCTCAAAGGAGAGATTCGGGGGGACCCTGGCATGATGTCAACAGCAAAACTCCAATGACATTAGTCATTCCATACCATGTAGGCTGAATTGGGCTCAGATCGTTTCCTGGAGAGTCAGACAATGGCCGTTGTCACCTTCTTCAGACATACCTATGACTTTTGCCGTGGGAAATTGACTGCGACATTAGCATGGGCGACATCATCAATGGCAATAGACTCACTCGGCCACTTCGATTGCCCAGATACCGGTGCCAGTTCCCAGATCGAGAATTCGGGAGACATCGCTTGGGATGGGAGAGCGGAATAGTTGCCCGTCCAGCTTCAACCGATGGATATGGTGGTGCTTCCAGGGTTAGTGTTGAATTGCCTCTTGATATTGACACAAGTACCAGATCAAGACGATTTTGTTCCTTCTCGTCATTTGGCTATTTAACATTAGCTAATTGTCACTTAGAGATCAAAAAACGTACCATGTTGTATGAGCCCTCTCGGAATGCGTGGTATCGCCGACCATTCTAGATACTCAGTCCTGCTCGAGGAATCTATTTTATAAACACTTACTTCATACCTGGCATGGTTAGACGTTGCAGTGCAATGAATAAATTTATACGTACTTATAATTGCGAATGCTGGAAGAAAGTGATGTTGTTTCGCTGACGCCGGAGCTGCGTGGCTTGTTAGGTAGAGGTGATGTGGTGTCGGGCAGTCACACGCACCTATTAACGAAAGAGCCCGAGTCGTCCGAGTACAGATTCTCGTCGTCCTAAAGAACTAATGAGACCAAGTCCTACAGCTCTATTCAGCTGTTCTGAGGCGGGGCTGACCTCCACCTCCACAGTTCCTCTGTTGTAAGTCGGGGTGTGCTTTTCTTCCGCCATTCTGCTCAGTTAAACTGTTCTCGAAGATGAAAAGCTGGACACAAGGAATGTCTCGGAGAAACGCGTCCTTTAAGAAAACCCTTCTGACACTACTTGAGACTCTAGCAGGGATGTCTAACACCAGCCCAAAGGAGCTAATGGTCCAAAGCAATCAAATCGTGCTCACTCGCCCAGACCCCCACCTCCCGCGCTGACATGACACGCGGAAGGATGCAAGTGTCCGTTTTCTCCTCGTTACCAGTTCGATGAAGCTGTTGTTATTGGTCTACACAAATAGCTAATCCTTAGTGAGCCCTTGCCCCTCACCGCAACGGCTCCGGGGCTCGAGTCTCATTGCAGTCCTTCCAAATTGCTCTCCCAGAGTCCACCCTGTGGAAGGGTGAGAAACATCCACATATCTCCGTGTCGGGTATGACGCTATAAGATTAAGATGCGGCCGCTAGAACGATATATGGTTCCATTTCACTGCTATCGAGGATGCTGCTGCCATCAGATCAGGCCACGTCACACTATCGGCCCATCTCATACAAATAGGCAAAACCCCCGGCTAAGCACGAAGGACTATCCAGGATTCCAAGGCTCTCGCACGAAAGGCCAGATCTTTTGTCATAATTACTCCCGGCACCCACCGATCAACGGATAGCTTAACTCTGTTCAAATGTGAGCTGTCAATTCTCGGGGATAGGCTCATTCCCTGAAAGAACTCTAATGCAACATCAGAGTTTATTGTTCCCTTATCAAAGCCATTATAAAGGATAAATAATTAGAACTGGTTAGATTCTGTAAATAAATTTTAATCGAGGATAATATAGAAAGCCTTTTCTTAGGGGTAGTAACTAATCATAACTGTCATATGCATGGGTGACGGAACCGGACAGGAAAAATAGCTTAGGAATGGAAAGACTGAAAAATACTATGCTTAAGTGAATAATTCGTAAGCTATCTACATCATGTCTATCTATTTATCCTTACTCTTAAGGACCACCTTACTAGACTAGATTCCAGAATAGATTCCTCGACAGGTGTTGTAGAAATGAAAACCATAAAGACAGACGCATTGGACTATACTAGAAAGCACAGCAGGAGATGCAGGCATACTTTATAGATGCGAGTGATCTCGTTGCTTAGCTGTAAATGCAGTGTCGATTACAGCTTGGGGAATGAAGGGTATTGAGACAGTTTCTAGAGAGAGTCTCCGGTGAGATGCGGCGCATTGTTGGTCTGTGTCATGTAGGGAGATCGATTGGTTGAATCCTTTATGAGGCATTTAGAATGAGCCATTTAGCGTACGCACTTCGGATGCTTACGGTCGTAAGAAGTCACGGGATTGCCGTCTGCGAGCAATTTAAGTAGCGACATTGGCATTGGCACATTTGATGACTCTATTATTCGACCGCATTATCCGAACCAAATCTACCCATCCATAACACAGAGACTACGCAATGACGGACGCGCACAGGATAGCTATCTGGTACGATCAGAATGCAGCGCTGGAGCATGAACGACTCACTAGTTGCCGACTTGAGTTCTCAATTTCTTGGAAAATTATCACTCAGTATCTGGATCAACTGGGTAGGGGCCGAGCACTAGAAATCCTGGATCTTGGTGGCGGAACTGGTCGATATGGTTAGTCAGATTGAATTTCTTCCCCAGCAGAGTGATTGCCAAAGACCTCGAACTCATGTCATGCCTTACAGCTTTGCCACTAGCCAAGCTAGGACACTCGGTCACACTCGTAGATATTTCGGACCGGGAGCTCAAGATAGCCCACAGTACGGCTGAAGAAGCGCAAGTCAAACTGACTGCTATTGTCAAAGCCGACGCGAGAGACATCCGCTCCAATCCTGTCATCTTCCAGGAACAAAAATACGACATGGTATTATGTCAAGGTCCGCTTTATCATCTTCTTGAGGAAAATGAGCGCCGGGCCGTTCTGTCAGCATGTGCTGCAGCTCTGAAACCCAGTGGAATTATTCTAGCTGCGTTTATGCTCCAATATGCTCACTTGCGAGATCTTGCACAGCGAGACCCTATGCGTCTCGTAAGGGAATATGATTCCTTTTACGAAAACTACCTTGCCGACGGAATATATACTCGAAATCAGCTTATCTGCTCCTACCACTCAGATCCGGAAAAAGTGAGGGCCATATTCAAGACAGTCCCCGAGCTCGAACTGGAGAGATTAGTGTCTTGTGAAGGTTTCCTAGGAGGTGGATTAGCTTCCAAAATTAGTGAACTGCAGCACGACGCTTATGAGCGGTGGGTAGATGTTATGCTTCGGTTCGCCGAGGACCAGAATAATCTGGGAAATGCAGACCATTTGTTGGCAGTTGCTAGACGGAAGATTTGATGTGTGCTGTTGTATATGCTGCTTGGTATATATGCCACAGAACATCCATTTCTGGATTGGTTAAGTAGCATAGGCAACAATGTTAAGTATATCATTGATAATGACGAAACTTTTCGCTTACATTTTTTGGGGAGAGCAGCGAACAGTAGTGTATCGATTAGCGGGCAATTCCTCTTCCGTTGTATGGATGGATGAGTGGATGGATTCATACGCTGACCCCTTGCCTGCTAGTTGAACCTTTGGATGGAGGTACAAAAGTGATGATATTTCACTACCTATGCGAGTTGGCCCAGCTATTTGTAGATCTAGCAGCTGCCACCACAATATGTCTACATATCACGTCAACCGTATTCAAATTCAAGAGCGATATGCAAGCTACTACCGCTATGCTGGTGACGCGCACGGTGCACGCTGTGGCTCTGGAACTACACAAAGGAAGGAAGAATTGCGAAGTAAAATAGAAGACAAGTGGAATTGATTTGCTGGACAGATAACTCGATTGGAAGCGGATATTGACCAATAGCAGGATCACCCCCGACAACTGTAGGAGCGGTCTTGTAAGACTATGAGAGAGACCAAGGACGTAAGAGACCTCTTACAGCACCACGAAAGCCCGGATGATTGGCAGTATATTGCGGTTGGAGTTCTCTGTCGTTACGAGAAGAAACCAGTGACCTCCTTTGAGCCCTAAGGCGAGAGCATACTCAGCAGACTGGGATTGGTTGCTACGATCCTGGTGGAAGGAGATTTTTGAACAAGATGACCTACATCGCCACCTTGGCCTGGTCCGACGTACCAGTGTGCGTTTTGAGCGTATAGGTGGTTCGTCGAGCTTGGCTTGCAACTTGAAAGGGTTAATTTATTACGCATATTACTACTATCCCTACACCATCAGGTCCGCCAGGCGTTGAAACATCCTCTGTCCCTGTACAGCTTCTGCTCTGTCTTGTAACTCAGCAGGACGACGCATGCATCAAGGCAACGTAGGAAGCATTGAGAGCGAGATGCCGCTTTTTGTATCAGGGGAAGCAGACACAGGTGGTACCAACTATAAACTCATGAAGGATTTGAATGGGACTGCGGGTGACGCCTTGGCGAGGTTAGCAAGTCTCGCCGAAGTAAACAAAGAACGTATCCTATCATAGAGACAGCATTTGGTCACCTACAGCCTGCAATTAAAGCTCCCGCCAGATTATCCCAAGCACCTCGGTGCCACTGATACCACCAAGCAGCGGCTCCAATCACTGGAGAAGCATCGGTGACTGGCCCACAAATCACAATATCGGCTCCTACGTCCAGAGCCTCGGCGATTCAACACGCGCTAAGATATGCCACGCTGGAGTGGGCTCTCATGAAGCAGTCTTAGAAGTGCCAGTCGGTATGATCCAAATGAACCAGCTGTGGCGGAGCTCAGGATCCTTGATCAGATCCGAGATATCACCACTCAAAACCATCGCAATCTTGGTCTCATAATACCCTCGAGCCAGACACGTCTCCCGGGTCTTCGCCGCCAGAACAGCGGTATTCAACGCTCCAGCATTGGTAACCACTTTGGTGTCGCGTTCGACGATGAGATCTATGGAGTCGCTCAGCTGATGGAGAATCCGGCCTTGGCGATAGAATTTCAGGCAATGTTCATTTTAGATATCCAGTCTCCTACAATCACATCGACATTTCCAGCCACACTGGTTGATATGCTGTTCAATTGCATTGTTGCCCTACGAAACAGCAGCCTTTGCAAACCCCACTGGCCCACTCCCAGCGGCCAACCAGTTAATCAACGTGATGTCCGGTTGTAGTTGGACAACTCGGAACCTGAAAGGGGCGGGTGGTTTCTGTCACACAAGCTTTGCAACATCATAGCTCTGCTCTAGAGATATGATGAAATAGGAATCCACAGTATACCCTTCTCTCATGTTCACTAACTGTCTGACTTGCAATGCCTTATTTTAAGTTGGCTTCCATATCAAGTCTTCAGACCTGTTCAGGAAAATTAGACGAGCTTATACGGTTATACCTGCTCCAATAATGTGCTCTCTCAGATCCTGTCTCATTCTGTAGTACAGTACCAATGGTAAATATTCCGAACAAAATGTAGAAAGCCGTATGCAATGTAGGGTAGGATGAATGTTGTTAGATAGCACGGCACAAGCAATATCATTATGATATACGGAGTAAGTCTGGGACTCTGGGTGACGACGGAAAGGACACGGTTGTGCGTGGCTTTTGCGCCAGAAACTGTGGCCTTTCTACGGCGGACTATAGCTACGATGTGGACTTTTAGTATTTTTACAATGATTACATGTCACCACTCCCACCACCCCTAAAGTTACACACACTACATGGATAGATAAACACTATAGTATTAATATCAAATCACTATCTAGGATTGATATCGAATCCATAGTATTTGATATCAAATCATTATATAGTAGGGATATTGAATGATTCAAATCATCATATAGTAGGGATATTGAATGATTCAAATCGCCATATAGTAGGGATTCAAATCGCTATATAGCAGGAATATTAAATCCTTATATACTAAGGTCTTGCATGCCCTCTATAGGCAGAATATACATATAGAGAAGGTTATAGGGGAACCCACCTACTAATAGTGTATATATAAAATATATATACCTAAGTATACTAGCATTTAATATTCCTACTACATGGTGATTTGAATCCCTACTAACCGACCCCTTCAACATTAGTCTACGGGGTCGCGCATAGCGCGACC